CTCCAACAGCGCACTAAAAATGTTTGGGATTTAATTCGTGGACACCAGGGTTTTATTTTCGAGCTTGTAAAGAGTCGTGGATTCGCCGAGCAAGAATGGGGACAATTTTGAATAGTTTTTGTAAAAATTTTTGGTATATCAACCTCTTTTGACGAGTTCTAAAAGCTGTTAAAATAAATGACTCAACTCTGAAAACATTCTGTATAATCATATTTTCCACAAACTTTCATATTCTAATTATCAATGTTATGGAAATGTGATTAGATATTCCTGTATTATGATCCTTATGAAAAATCTGGTAACTCTAGTCACCTTGCAGTCGTGAAGGATAGCTATTATTTCTCTTTGAGAAGAATTTGTTTTCATCACTAATTTTAACAATTTTTCCATGCACATGCTACAGAAGACCTTCACCAGGAATGAAAATATTTTAACCATAAATATTATTGATATGTTCATACAATATAAAATTCAGATATGTAGGACTTACGTTTGAATATCGCGCCTACTTTATATATTCCGAATCTAATTTATGCTCTCTGCTACGGCAACATTGTAAGCCCTATTGGGTTGTTGACGTTCAAGTCAACACCGCATGAATGTCACTTTTCCTTTATTGCTCTATGATTTTTGAGTTCTGAGACGAGATGTTAGTTATGTTTTGTGGATATGACGTGTGGCGTTTGAATTTATGGAATTTGAAGAATGAATCCTGTTTCATCGAGCTCCTACCCGTAATTTCATTCCGTTTCGACCAGCCCCTACAGATAAAAATATATTTAAAGTATAGATTTGTTTTACTGTTCTAAAATTTCAAATAACTTTAGGATATATGGATGAATTTATAATGGCCTGCGTTATTGGCTATACTGCTTTAACAGATAAGTGACTACTTTGTCAAAACAGCAAAAATTATTAATAACACATGACGTTATAAAATCTTTCATATTATTATATCATTAGAAATGCGCACTATAAGATTATACAACAGTCTCAGATTTATGTAAGGAGGCGGCAATGTCGCATGTGGCGCTTGTGCACAATCTGGCAACCATGTGAGATCCAGAAAAAAAAATGGCGCTTGACACTGACATAAATCAAGTGTGTTGCCCTATGCTTTGTGTTCTTCAGCATATATGTTCTGTGGACGGAATCAATTTGGACGTCATGACGTCACTTCCCCAATTTTCATTTGCATTTGTTTGAGTGTTTTGCAACGATTTCGCTACGGGTAGTCTCATGAAGCCTAGTAGAAGAGTATATTCCGACGTTATCTTGCGTGGGCAGGTTTGCTCCACTGTACGACTGCACTCGGACCAATTAACGCGGTCATCGTCACCACTATGTATATCTATAGTGGATACCAAATAAAACCCGATGCACGTCATCGATCTGGAGCTGTGCGCTGTTGCCAGACTTTGCACATTTTCTTTTAAGCAAATAAATTTAATAAAATAAATTGTTTATATATACATGTTGTTCTACAAAAAACAATTATACATTCTCTAATTCAAAATATGTTTGTTGGGCAACTTACTGTTTTCATACATGTTGTAAATAGTATTACGAATACCACTTGTATTGAGCCTTGAAATATTAGTGACTCTCTTTGGAGTACATCGTTTTTTAGGAGGCGATTGTAAAACTTCTTTATTTTTGACTGCCTGTGAAATACCACTTATAGTAGACACATTTAATTTCAATGCTGCTGCTACACGCTAAAAATAAGAAAAAGAAGATTAACATTAATGTTCCTATTACTTATGCTATCAACAAGCATAAACTCAGCTCCCTTACAGTAGTTAAAGGTAAAAGTGGGCCATTATTATTCCTTTCCCGTTCGAAGTATTCTAATAAGCATGATATGAGGTATTTACACCGACTGTTAAGTTGTTTTGGCATTTTGGATACTTTACACCACTTCACAGTAACTGTTGTTCTGAAAAGAACAATTTTTAATTGGCAAGGCAACGATTCAAAGCTCAAATAGCGCAAAACTCACAAACTAAACAATAAAGAACTAATAGTACGACAAAAGGACAATGGCAACTGATGTCAACAAATGAGAAGTGGCAACCTCACATTTATCTGCACGGCACTACCAACCGAATCGAGTCGGGGAAATTTAAACTTCAAGTAGAAATGTCACATTGAATGTAGTCAACTGTTGGTAACCATGATTTTTATGAATGACATCACCTATGACGTGCATCGGATTTTATTTGGTATCCACTATATCTGGAATCTCATGGGTGCGGCCCAGTGATGCCAACTCGTGGAGGAAATTTTGAGGTCTGAGGGAAAATCTTTTATTCGTGGGAATTTTCTGTCGGCTACATATTGCATAAATAAAATTACGCAAAAAACATCACATTATCATTTAATTGAGTATCAAACCGGCAAACCAGTAACTTCTCGAGCATGTAAATTTCATGCGGAATTGGTGGGAATAGTGCGAATTTAATCCGAATTTGGTACTTGATTTTGTACCTTTTTCTTATGACCTATGGTGAATGTGCCAGTAACCCGGACACTACTACTAGTCGGACAATTGGTTTATTGGTAAAAAGTTGAATATTAGAAATCCTTTACTTGCTGGTAATTGGTACCAGATTTATCAACTACTTCTCTCTTGGAATTAAACAAACCACTGGCTGGAGCCCCAGCCAGTGGACGTGCAACGAAAGATAACAAATAATGTGAATTATGGCCAGTGATATTGTGTCCGACTATTGGAATGAATGAATTTGTCATACTCGTAGCATCCCAATAGCCGGCCACTTCCATTGCCTCGCCATCTTTTCATGAGACTTTAAAATAAAATTTCACATTTCAACTTCATTTGGGAATGGATACCAAGGAAAAAATAGATTCTGTGTATATAGGCAGCTTAAAGGAGACAGTTGAAGCTGTGAGAAATGTTGGGAAATTGTTTGAAATATGTAAACAGTATGGTAGTTCAAAGTCGACAGCGCAGGACCGTGATTAAAGGAACAAATTAGTTTCTTGTTTATTTTTATCTAGTTTATACAGCGTCATTCACTAGTCGTGACCAAAAATGAAACATCATACACAGGACCGCATTTTAAGGGAGGTCTTTTTAATATCTTCAAAACCGTCAACTGGAATGAACTAAAATTTGCTATGTGAATTTACCTAAGTATTGTCCACACTCAAAAATATTTTCTTGAAATTAACGTGTATCACTGCCGGAGATGCAGTGGATTAGACGCCAACCTACCCCAAAGGTTTTTACGCGTTTATTTCGAAGACTTCGGCAATATGGAATTGCCAAAATTCCCGGAGTTAGAGGCCATGCTGTCCGGCACACTGTTAAAGAGCAACAGGAAGTGATAAATTTGGCGTGGGATGATCCTAAGTACAAGTACTAGGCGAATTGCAGCCTAGTTACCACGTTCAGAAAGTCTTGCGTGGAGAATTTTAAATCGGTACAATGTGCAATGTCTGATGCAGCCCGGCGACGAAGTGCAACGGCGAAATTTTGTAAGTGGTTACTACAAATGCATAATCAAAATGCAGATTTGATTGATGTTCTGTAAGAATCCGCTCGTTTCAACACAGATTTTCTAAAAATGTCTGGTGCGGCATTTTCAATGGCCAACTGTTTATGCACTTATTGCCACAACGTTTAAATGCAAACTCATACTTAGCTTTTCTAGAGAATTACATAGAAAATGTGTTAGATGATGTTCGTCGTGACATTGGCCTGCGAGGTCTCCTGATTTGACCCCCCTGGATTTCTTGTTGTGGGGCGCATTTGAACAACTCGTATATATGTACTGAACAAATTCAAACTCTTGATCAGTTACAAGAAAGAATAGATAATGCGTTTCATCAAATTCAAGCCACAACAAATTTTGCGGAAATAGTCTTTCTTTATTGAAAAGATGCCGCACTTGTATCCGTCAGAATGGTGTTTTTTTTTGATCATTTATTGAAATAAAGCTATGATTTTATACATATATATTTTTTCGTTTTTACGAAAACAATGCACTGTAGGAAAAAACACAAGAGTAATTATTTGTAGCAAATTGAAGGTAATATTCAAAAAATTTCGAAAAAAAAAACAGTGGCGTACTATTTTTAGTTGGAAAAATAGTGCAACTAATCCGCTGTATCTCCGCCACTAGTGCACGTAAATTTTTAGTAAAGACTTTTGAATGTGTGTGTGTACTTAGGTAAATCCACATACCAAATTTTAGTTCATTCCAGTTGACGGTTTTGAAGATATTAAAAAAAATTGGTTTTTATTTGATCACTTCAACACCCCGTATCTTTTTAATGAAGCCCTCGGGGAAAAGATGTTACATAGAAGACCCCCTTAAAATGCGGTCCTGTATATGATGTTTCAGTTTTGGTCACGACTTGTGAATCACCCTGTATTTATGTTTTATAAAAATATCTATATTAAAAAAATGGACTCAGTATGAGTGTTTTTAAGTTCTTTTCCTCAGTGTTTTAATGACAACTGATTTGAAATTTCTATTCTACTATCACAAATTTCCGAGTACTGACAAAATAGCACCTTTTTGATTAATATTGTTTTATAAAATTACAGGAATATCTATAAAAGCATTGCATTTGTTGTCAGCGAAAAGTTAACAACATATATGATCACCTCCAAAAGCATTAGTTGTGTTATCTGGAACACAAAATTCGTAATTAAACTTTGTATTCCAGTTTTGTCTAGACTGTCCGACCACTGGCATATTCACCCTATAAAAATCTCCAATACACCAATATTATTTTAATAATCTTTACTATTACGATTGATCGACAATAATTTGATTCTATTTGTATCAAATTATTATGATGACCATTCTGGAAGGCTCAGTTAGGCATATCGACAAATAAATATTATAAAATAGGGTGATTTTGCTTTTTAATAGATTCATGGGAAATTTTTTGAAAAAGGGAGTTTTTCATCGAACTCGTGGGAAATTTAACGTTGAAAGGCTGGCAACACTGGTTCCGTTGCGGCTAATTATTACAACGACTACAACTGTTTTGTGTCACTCTGTGTCAGAGGGAAGTTTTGGTTTTTGGTTATGGGTGTGTGAAGATCGGCTTTTAATACAATAGCTAATAGCGCTAATAGTGTTTACAAGATAGATTTTGTGGTGTGGTGTCTTCAGTCTTATGTGAATTTTCCAATACGGAGTGTAGGTGTTACAGCCAAAAGGCAAAAATCTGAGGTTTCCCAACTAGCCCAATATCTTATAGTAAGTACCCTGCACTGAAAGGAATAACTTTTGATTCATAACAAGCATATATTTTTTTACATTACAGCTTAAATAGATGTATAGGCTTGTAGGTACTTAAGCAGCCAGTTCATATTGGGTGAGGTCAGATACGTCATTTTTGATGGATTGTTGACAATTTGACGTAGGGTAGGATTTGCGAATCAGCAGCAGTTATAAGTCGGTTTAAAGTCATGTAGGGCCCCTTGGACCCGCAAGAACAGGGAGAATGCGGCTTAATGGACTTCAAGGCAAAGCGAAATCCGGAGCCTCATTTAACCCGTTACGACATTTTTATTCCATTTAATTTTTGGGCATGTGATCCCCCCATCGGTGGTTTTACATGTTTGTGTCCCTTATGTTCATAGGGTAAAAATGGATTAGGCAATCAGCAAACGAACGGCTGCTCACCAATAACTTAACCACGCCTAATTTTTTTTTACTTACACCTACCCCCAATACAAAATTTTTATTAAATCATCTTGCAGAATTGACTTAACAGGTGAACCATGTTGAAACTGCTTTAAACTTTAAACAAGGAATAAAATTGTTCGATAAACATCAGCAACTGTCAGACTTTTGCCAACAACCTCTAGTCACAAAGACTGGAGATAGGTGGTTAAACTGTGTGAGGGATTCATGTAAAGTCTTTTTCGCAAGTATCCATTACAGTAGTAAGTATAGGAGAAGACAATGATAATGTACTACCCCATACCTTTCCACTTTTATTACGATAGCAGTACATCAACAACTTAACAAAGACTTCAATGTCAGGATAATTTTAAAGCCACTTACTTGGTGACATAATGGCAGGGACTCCCCTGGCAAGAAGTAGGGTCGATAGAACTGGGTTGTCAGGGCCAAACCAATTTTTGGGATAAACCTAAGTGCCTTCCATATTCCACCGACTCATGACATGTTCATCTCTACTATCTATTCATTATGTTAGTTAGCTGTTTTGATACTGATCATAAAACAATACAATGGCCATGATATGACTATACAAGTTCTATAATGATAAAAAATGTGAAAATACATTTTTTTACTCTCTTAGAACCTAGAGGTATTCACTGCATCATTAAATATTTCAAATCAGAGGCAAAGGTTGCTGATTATTTGAGTATTTTGATGATCAAGCTCATTTTGCCTGTAACACGTGAATATCATGCATATTATTATCAGTTGAGAATGGATACTTTCCAGAAGTATGGTAAAAAAACCATAGTAGTTCCTGTACCTAAAATTGACAATCCAGATGACTTTTTTGACTTGCAGCCTATTAGCCTGTTGTCAGTTATTTCAAAACTTTTATAAAAAACTGTTCAGTACCTAGTTTTGAAATGTGTTGGGAAAAATAATATACTGACAACAAACCAATACGGTTTCTGCAAGCATGACAGCACTACCTCTTCTTTATTAATCATTTGTGATAATATCTCCAGAGTTTTAGACAAGAAGCTGGGTGTTGTTCTTGTGTCTGTTGATTATTCTAAAGCTTTCGATGACACCAACCATAGCTTGTTGCTTATCAAGCTAAGGTACTATGGCTTCAATCAGAAAGCAAATAGTTTTCCAGAAGTTATCTAGAAAATTGTTTCTTTAAGCATATCCAAAACATCAAATTTTCAGAACAAATTATGTCTGGTGTACCCCAACGATCAGTACATGGGCCGCTACTTTTTCTTTTATATATTTCTGACTTGCCCTGAAATGTCAACAACTCAGAGATACAATCATTTTTTGATGATACACAGCTCCTAGGCTGCTTTAATATATGTAGATAATATCTATGATGCTCAAAAAAATGTAAACTCTGATATTAAAAGGCTCTATAAATTTTTAAAATCACACAATCTTGCCATATATATGCATCAAAGTCTAATGTACAAAATTATTAGGAATTACTGTCGACCACAGACTTAGGTTCACAGACCACATAAAGAATCTCCTAAAGAAGTCATACCTATGACTCTGTGCTTATATGCTAATAAGTTTATCCTGAACTTCAAAGTGAGGAAAAACCCTGCAAGTCACTTGTAATACTAGTTCTTACTTACTGTAATATTTTATTTTATTCTTGCCTGGATGGCATAGCAAAGAACAGACTGCAGGTTGTTCAGAACAGTTGTGTAAGGTTTATCTTTGGTCTGAGGCGATTTGATCATATCTCAAATAAGTTTGCTTCTTTGTGCTGGTTGAAAATGCCCTATTATATACTTTGTATACCTATCCACACTAGTGTTTAAGTGTAATAGTCCACAGCTAAACTTTGCCACTAGTGTTAGATCTGATGTACATGAATGTACTTAATAAATATATATAAATATATTATCAGATATTAAAACACATTGCATGAGGGAACAGTAGCATCCTATCCCATGTCATGCCCAATATGGATACCTTGATAATCTGGTGCTTAGACAGATATGCCATATTTTTTATTGTTATGAAAGACATCCCAAAACAGGATATGACGTTTCCATGTCAATACCCAAAAGCTCCAATGATACCTCTGATTCAGAGATAACAGAGCAGCATGACAACTTTAAAGTAACAATCCCTATACACATCCTACCATGAGATACTTTAAGACTCCAGCCTTGAGGGAAAGCTGGGCAGTCACGCAGACCTACTCTGGCTTTGTAAGTCTCATAACAGCCTCCAAGATGTGGGGGTGTCACACCTCTGCAGATGTTTGACTCTAAGTTTCGTCTCTCTTTATCCTAAATGTTGATAAACATATCTCATCTGACTGTTTTTGACTTTTGACAATTATTATCGCGATTAGAAAATACACATCACATGCAGCACAGCATAACAAAAAAAAATAAAACCTTGCAGTGCACAAATAGTACACACTCAGCATTAATACTAAATAAAACAAAACAGACACGTTCGAATGATAAAAATACAGACAAATCACACTTAATTACACTAAAATATATATAAAAAAAGAAAGAACATAATCAATATAATTATGTCATTAGAAAGGTTTCTATGCTATAAAAAAGCTTTCCGCTTTAGGTATGATAGCAGTGTGGTCTTGAATGTTCAAAAGTCTAACTGACTCAGGAAGAGCATTAAAGAACTTGATACCGTAATAATTATGCCCATCCCTGGATCTGTTGATAAAGTTGGTATAGTTGGTATAGACAAATAATCACAGTATCTAGTACCATAGCTGTGGAACCTGAGGATCCTGTCATAGCATGGGTAACAGATGCAGCAAAAAAATCTAGTGAGAAATTTCAGAGACTCCACAACACTTCTCCACAGTTGCAGAAAACAAATTAAAGAAAATTTACTCTGGTCCTCCATCATCAACCAGGCTCAACAACCAACTTGAACGATTTAGTGAAGTTTCTGCAGCTGAACTTCAAACCATTACAGTCAGTCTGCCAAACAAAAAATCAAGTGGTAATGACGGTATTTCACAAAAGTCTGTAACAAAATTGCATATCTACTCTCAACATGTCTATCTATCAGGGTGTATTTCCTAAACTCTTGAAATTAGCTATATTTATACCTGTTTCAAGAAAGGCCATCCTTAACAAATTGACATCTGGGTCATTTTTCAAATATTGAGTAAATTCAAAGGTAATTTGGTAAATTAAATAATATAAAATTATCATATCAAAATTACTTGAATCTGTTCAGAAAAAGTGTAGTAGGTATTGTGGAACATTGAACCATCTAAGTATTGTCTAATGTTGGATTTATTTGATGTTTTTGGAAAAATAGTGACATGACAAACTTTAATAACGGGAATGGCAATGCACGAAAAAGATGAAACTATATATTTAGGATACATTCAACAATCCTGTTTGAAATAAATCCACTAAAAAGACTGTAAGGCCTTATTCCCAAACTACTTTTTAAAATGGGGTTTGGCATTTTCACAGTTGTTGCATTTTCGCATAAGGCGGTATTCACCATATGTGTTGTGATGTTTAGGTATATCATTGGGATTTTTTCACGAAAACTAAATCATTTACATTCAGACTGTGAACAATCATTTCCATATTGGCATGTGTAATACATTTACAAATGTATCTATCACAAATTCTCCTAAGCTTAATATACAAGGTCTCTCCCAAACAGGACAAAAAAATGAACAAACATTTTTTGTTTTGGAAAGTCGAATTTATTTTATTCCTAATAGTCTCCTTCAGAGTTAATACAGCGATTTGCACGGACTAAACGATTTTCGGATGAGGATTTTAGCTCATTGAGTGGAATGTCCTTCAAAATGGTCGTCGACGCCTTTTGGATAGCTTCTACGTCGGCATACCGCTGTCCCTTCATAGCCAAATGTAGTTTACCGAACAGAAAATAGTCTCACGGTGTCATATGAGGAGAATATGGAGAGTGGTTGATGGTCGAAATGCAATTTTTAGTCAAAAAATCGGACACAAGCGTCGATCAATGAGATTGTGCATTATCGCGCAACAAGCGTCAGCTTCCTTCTTCGCGATATTCTGGCCTAACACGACGAATACGCGACAGCAAACGCCTCGTAACACCAAGATAAAACATAGCATTAACCGTTTGCCCCAGTGGAACGAATTCTTTGTGAATAATTCCCTTCGAATCGTAGAAACAAATCAACATTGAAAAATTGAATGAAAGATGTACCTATTCAACGCTAGTCTAGGATAATAGATGACGCTACTTGTATCGGCACGGGTATCGCGTATCTTGAAAAGTGACATTATGCCGATTTTTTTGGCATTATGCTGTTTTTTATGTACATTACGTAGGTTATTCTACAAGATGTTAACTTAGCACTTAGTTGTACGTGTTGCCTAAACGTCATGCGGCTTGTTATCAATCTTTGGCGATGTGATGCAAAATCTGCTTCTGAGATGGCATTACTGGAGGTCTAAGCTGTAAGTTGTATTTGTTGATGATAATTACATTGGGTTCTTGTCTCAAATAAACTTAATTTAGATTCAAAGCTGGAAATTAGTTGCGCATCCACTTTTTCTTATCCATTCTGAAAATTACATATATAAATTTGCTGAATTTCAAAAATGCGAGAGATAAGAAATAATTATATTCACTGTACACTGTCGAATTACAAGCCATATACGTGCTAACAGTAATTACACACAACGCGGGCGCGGTGATGATTTCCCGTAATTCTGCTCAGTTTTTCGTTATTTATAACTTTGAACATAACCTTTCTTCAGGAAGCACAACATAAAAATAACCCGTCGAGCACAGCCATTAGATATACTTCATTGGCAGCATATTCAGTAATGATTTTCTCACACAGCAAATATCACTGATTTTATACACATGCAGACCAATACACATAATCATCCAGATGCGATCTTGCTATTCACAAAACATATGCAACCAATAATGCGTGTAGTTTAGTTGAGTGGTTCATCCTTAGATGGACGTTCACAACGATCCTAGTGAGCAAACGTGGAATGTCTGTTTGCGCCCTAAAAACTACCTAATTTTCAAGATGACATCTTATAGATTGTTTTTGACGTTTTATGTTTTTTACATGATACCCATGTGGGTATCTTTCAAAAGTTTTGCGACAGACCTTGTAATGTATTATGATGTGTGTACGTTAGGTATTATGTGATATCTACAGACGTCTACTGTGGACGTTGTTTTATTTACTTGCCTCCATTTTATTGATATTTTGGGGAATATCATTAGTTAATTAGCACCATTAATAGCCTCATTTGTACATATTCAAAAAATTCATGTTCAGCGTAAAAGGTGTTGGTTTTGATAAAAGGTTAAAAAACCGACCTGGGTCTATTTTTTCTGCTGTCCCACTAGTTTCATTTGACCTTTATGTATTTTTTTTTGTCGAAAATTGGTTCATTAGTGACTAAGATAGGTAATGTTGAAGGTTTGGCGTGTTTTGATAGACATATTCGTAAAAAATGAATCTAAATTTTGGTGCTTGTACTGTAGAATATGCATTCAATCTTATTTTCATTCTTTGCAGGTACTGAAATACACCAGCAGAAATGGATCAAATACCTCCTCCGAAGGAAGTGAAGATTCTTGAAACGGCTGAAGATATTCAAGAACGCCGTCAAGAGGTTCTTTCACGCTATGACAATTTCAAGGCCGATGCTAGAGCGAAAAGAGAGAAGCTTGAGGATTCACGAAGGTACACTAAAAAATAGCGTCAAATAGGTTAACTCTACACTTCCCACGCAACGATGGCATTGTTTTTGTCATCAGTTAGAGAGATGCTAATTAGGAAAATGTACAAGGGCTGTTCGATAAGTACTAGAAATGTACTATCGTCTAGTACATTCTCGTAGACGGCTACTGTCAAAATTTCAGCCGAATCGGTCTCGTAGTTTTGTTTTGACCGTGTGTGGAGGTGGACGTGTCTGCGGAAAAAGAGCGATGTCGGTCGGTGATTCGATTCTTGTTTTTGGAAGGGAAATCGCGCAGCGAAATCAAAGAGTGCTTGAATGTTGCATACCATGAGAGAGAGAGGAGTTAAACGATGCAAATTATATGAGAGTCGGTCGGTACCATGAGAAACTGTCCGTTTAAGGCTTAAAGGAGGTGTCTGTGTAAGAGGGGTGTCTACGAAGGGGAATTTCACTGTACATGTACCCAGCTCTGTCTTTGACCCCGTATATGTACCAGGTAATGTCCCTTGCCTCTAGTGTTCCCTTCGATCTCCTATTTTGGTCTTGAAGTTTTTTTGAAATGTATTTGTGTGGTCCTTTCTTGGGTCCAGTGACTCGCTTCCCACACGTTTTCTTATTTGAGTGTATCCCATTCTTACCTCGCCCATTATTACAAATATGAAACCGTGACAGCCCAGAATAGTAACTAAGGTACTGAATATTTTGCAGGGTGAGCCATAATAAAATTCACTTTTGAATGTAAATGAAAGCAGGATATACCTAGAAGAGTTTGCTAATTTTTATGATATAAAAGGGCATTGGAAATTTATGTTTTGAAAATGATATCATCAAGATGGCCTCCACATCTCCGAGAATACTCTTCCAAACGGAACATTCGCCTGCAAGTTCATCTTCAGATTGCCGACATTTTGCGTCTAATGCTTAGGTTTAATTCGTTGAGGGTTTTTGGATTAGCATTGCAGACACGGCTCTTGAGATATCCCTATAAAAAGAAATCTGGTGGGACAAGTCAGGGCATCGTGGTGGTCAATCAATGTCACCTCCTCTCAATATCACTTTCCAGGGAACATTTCCTGTACGACGCCCGCTCACGTTGAAAGTGTGACAGGTGGCGCTGTCCTGTTGTAACCACGTCATGGAGTTGTATCCGTCAAAATCTTGGAGTCTTAGGGCCAAAAACTTTCTCAGCATTCGAACATAACGTTCTGAGTTAACAGTTACAGATTGCCCGCGATCGTTCTAAAAAAAGTAGGGTGCAAACAAACCGCTAGCTCATACTAGTAGTAGTAGTAGAAAGATTTATTTAGCACATTTGGCTACATAAACAGAATAATTGTAAACAACTTAGAACTAGTAAATTCAAGCCATATGGTGTATGATGTAAATGCTGGGCAACCTGTAATTGTAGATTTAACAAGTGATTTTTCAATTTTACTTTAAATTTTGTCAAAGTTTTCTGGTTTTTTATCTCGTGAGTATAATTTATTATACGGGTCCGGCATTGAAACTTTCTTTTTTCATAGGTAAAAAATAAAAATATATATTGCACATTTTATTCATTTTTGTATTAGCATTAGACAGTAATATGGGAAGTTTGAAATCAAGTTGTTTAAAACAGAATATTTGACAAGTGTCTACCATTACTGTCGATACATTGCTGTAACCGATTTCTGAAGTGTGCGTGGACCCTTTCCAGCATATCATTCGGTATGTTGGCGATCTCGTAACGAATATTGTTTTTCAATTCTTCCAGGGTTGCAGGACGGTTGTTATACACTTTTGATTTGAGGTAGCGCCATAGAAAATAATCACATGGAGCTAGATCTGGCGAGCGTGCGGGCCATGGAATGTCACCTCGGTTGGAGATAAGTCGTCCTGGAAAATTTTGTCTCAAAACAGGCATTGAAAGTCGTGATGTATGGGCTGTGGCCCCATCTTGCTGGAACCATACAGCGCCTAAGGCCATATTTTCAAGAGCTGACAGAAAGAAATTGTTAATCATTGCCACATAACGCTCAGAGTTTACAGTAACTGTGCGATTATCTTCCTCAAAAAAATATGGCCCAATGATCCCCACTCTTGATATCGCAGCCCAAACTGTGACTTTATCCGCATGAAGAGGCCTTTCATGAATTTCTCTGGGATTATTGCCGCTCCAGTAGCGCATATTTTGTTTGTTAACACAACCTGTGATGTGAAAGTGTGCTTCATCACTGAAACAGACAACCGCGTCCGGAGGCAAATCATCAACAATCGTTTCGCATGCCCTTTGTCGTGAAACAAAATCAGACTCGGAAAGTTGTTGGGCGACTACCATTTTGTATGGATGAAAGTGAAGATCGTCGTGAAGAATTCGGCGAGTTGAGCGGTCCGATAACCTCAGGACAGCGGCACGTTTCGAAGAAGATCGTCTAGGAGATCGCAAAACCGACTGCATCGATATTTGCGGGTGTTCTAACTGTCCGTGTTGCTCCTGGTCTCTTGCGGGACACATTTCCAACTGCTCTAAAAGCCTCCTCCCATGATAAAATGGATCCCCGGGCCGGAACAGCACCTCTATGGGGAATATTGTACCGTAAACGGAACGCACGCTGCACCGCGATGATCGACCGGCCTTGTGAAAAGTAGGTCTCAACGGCGAACGCGCGTTGCTCTCTCGCCCAAAGCATTTTTACGACTGACGACGATTAACAAGCAAACCTCCCCACCAACTCTCTCTGCTAAGCGCGCTTACGCGCTGCAACTAGCTAAAGTCGCGCCACCTTGTATCATTGAAAAAAGAAAGTTTCAGTGCCGGACCCTGTATTCAATCAACCCTTGATGGAATACAGATTTGTAGCATATGTTATACTTTTTGGTCATTAAATGGAAGTCATCTTTATTTCTGGTATTATGTAAATGATGGTCGACATTTGATGATGTTAAATTACTTAGACTTGATGGAAATATATTATTTTTACTTTATAAATGAATATCATTACAAGATATTTGATAAAATTTTTTACATTGAGCCATTTTATTTGCTAAGCATTTGCCTAATTGGAGTATATTTATCTTTATTTAGTATTATTCTCATGCACTTATTTTGTAAAATTTGCAGTCTTTCAAAAATGGAATTATTTGCTAAATATAGAATAGTCGAACAGTACAAGTAATTAGGAAGAATGATGGTATTATAGATAATTTTTCTGCTATATGAACTCAGACATCCAGAAACGCTCGATAAATATCCGACTTTACTACTAATCTTATTTATAACTTTTTCATAATGAATATCAAAAATTAATAGAGAGTCAACAAAAACCCCCAAGTATTTAAAATTTTCTACGAATTCAATATCTTCACCATCAATATTCAGTTGAACATTTGTACATTGTTTTTTCCGATTAACAAGGCTTTCGTTTTACTTGCATTTAATTTTAGTCTGTTAGATGCTAACCATTTTGACACAAGTTTCAAGTCTTCCTTTATATAAGAGATACCAGACTGAATATTTTTAGTACTTATATAAATCATAGTGTCATCGGCGAAAATCTGAATTTTGCATTTTTTTGACTATGGCAGGTAAATCATTTATGTATGCTGTCCAAACTGTGACTTTTTGGCAATGAAGTGGTTTTTGATGCTTCAGCGACGGCTGCTCCGCACTCCAGTATCGACAGTTTTGCTTGTTCACGAAACCGTTCAAATGAAAGTGAGCCTCATCTGAAAAGAGGATCTTTTCCAAATCACAAAACCTCTTAAGCACAAACACTGAAAATTCTAATCTTTTTGTAAGGTCAGTGTCCTGTAATTCTTGGACGATGTGAATCTTATATGAATGAAGTTTCAAGTCTCGCTTCAAAATTCTCTCAAACTCGTACGAGCAATACTCATAGTCTACGAGTTGAGAGCTCTGGATAGATTTGAACAGATTCGCTCACTTGATCCGTTCGACAGCCGGCGGGCGAGCTTGACATTTTGTTGGCAATGTCGAACCGCTTTCTTGAAACCTCAACCGTTGCTTCATTAAATTGGTGCTAGGGCACTGATAAATACGCCGCAATCCATATTTGACTCGAAATAAACGTCGCACACTGACATAAGAACGATTATTATCAAAGAACGCGTGCATCACGTTGTTGCCCCGTGAATTGACTCATGGCTACTGAAAATTCTTGAAGCATGCAATCGAACGGTACCGCCTTCCAGCGTTTCCATCCGCGTTTTGCGGTTTTATTTAAAGACCAAAGAGAATTTCATTATGGCCTGTATTACAGTAAAAGTTACAAAGCACCGCTTGCTTGATCAACAATTGCTGTCCGATAATCGTTTACCGTTCAGTTAATTACTTTATGACTTTTCTATTAAAACGGAAAAATCTTTATTGTGTCGGTTTATACGCATACTCAAGCATTCATAATTCATATTTTTAAAGTACTTGGCGAGTGGATGTTTCCGTAGCGATCCTAATTATTTTATTGTGCTAATTAATTCATATATTTGTAGATTCCAGTATTTCAAAAGGGATGCCGATGAATTGGAATCTTGGATATTGGAGAAACTTCAGTCAGCTTCAGATGAAAACTATAAAGACCCTACAAATCTACAGGTATGTTGGTAGAATTTAGTTTGAACAATTGAAACCTTATTTCTTGTATACAATAACTATATATATAATACTTTGAAAAGTAATGACCAGCTGAGCTTAGTATATTTATACGCCTCCAACCCAGTAATTCGGTGCACCTATTAGGCATTTTTCCGTACATTTGATTTTAAAATTGTAGAGTATTGTTTTCGATCCGCTTACTCCTGCTTGCTAGGCTCATCGCCCGGCGAACCGGGCCGGCTGACTAACCTATCCGTACTGCAGCGTAGCGATGACGCACATATGTGGAAATGGACTTCATGTTCGCAAAATCCTAATGTTGTAGATATCAACATGTACGAGCCCCTTCCCACTTCAGTTGGCCCAACTATTGAAATCTTAGTTTTTTTCTTATCAAACACAAATAATGAAAACGTAGCAGGGTGTTATAGGTTTAAAATATTAACAATGAATATTTTGATAATATATAGTAGAAAACACCAACTTTATCACTCCCTAATCAAATTTGCAGCATAAAAATAACACATGTTGCAATTACAGCATATCAACCTATTTTCATTTCAATGCAAAATAAGTCTATAACGCATAGGAGGCTGTGAAAAATAAAAGCCATGACAATTGTTTTTATTAATCACAGCTGTCAGAATACGTTTAAAATAGTTTTGGGTTGTTAAGGTTTTCAAAATGGGTAGAGGAAAGGTTATTAGTGAGAAAATTCGGTTACTGATAATTAAATTTTTTAATTCTGGGAAATCAAACTCATAAATTGCAACTTTGTTAGACGTATCGCGGTACAGTGTGAGAAATATTGTTAGACGTAACTGATTCAGCTAATATTAAGCCACGATATGTGAAAAAAAGTAACATCAAATGCCGACCGAAGAGCATTAAGAAGAATTATCTTGAAAAACAGGCGTGCAAATTATTTACAATTAAGTGCTTTGTGGAGTGAAACTGTTGGAAGGAGAATTTCGAGGTCCACAACTCGTAGAGAGGCCCACAAACTGGGATTTAACACTTGCAAGGTAAGTTTTCTTATAAAAAAAGTGAAGTAAAAATCCTAAAGTTGCACAACTTGTTTATAGGCCAAAAAAAAGCCACTATTAACTCCACTGCAAAAGAAAAATCGGCTTAGATGGGCTAAAGAACATACACAATGGACACCTCAACAATGGTGTGCAATACAATGGAGTGATGAGGCCCGATTCGAAGTTTGTGTTGGTGACAGTCGCAGTAGAGTTATTCGCAAAAAAATGAAGCATTCCATGTTGACTGTCTGAATAGAAAAGTAAAATTTCCAGCATCCATTATGGTCTGAGGCAGTATGTCATCAAAAAGGAAAACTTCATTTTATTGATGGAAATGAGGATACAAATAAATATTTGGCAATTTTAGAAGAATCGCTTTTACCAGTGATGGAAGAATTTGGTGTTTCAGCAAGATGGTGCAGCGTACCATACCTCAAAAAAGGCTATAAAATGGATGGAAGAAAATAATGTACCACTTTTGAAATGGGTTTCTAGCAGTCCAGATCTGTCACCTATTGAAACTTTGTGGCACGAGATGAAAAAGTTTCTACGACAACATCCTGCTCGTACAATCACCGAACTGAGACAAAAGCTTCAAGAAATATGGGATTGTTTTACACCAAATTTTTGTCAAAACTTGGTTAACACTATGCCCCAAAGAATTTCAGCCATAATAAAAAATAAAGGTGATGTTACCCAATGGTAATCTTTCAATTGTTGCTTTGTTAACTTCGCGCATTGTTTATTTGTTCAGATGTTCTATTAGTTATAGGTCTAAGTCATTTCAAATACGTATTTTTTACGACTAGAGTGTATCTAAAATGTTTTTGGAAAAATAAATTGTTTTAGAAGTAAATAGTTTGGTCATGTTTAGTTTTAAAGGCATATTTTGGTACAAATCTTGAAGTGGGCCAACTGAACTGCGAAGGGGCTCGTAGTACAAAAGTATCAATGGGCCCAAAGTTTTTTCACGAGTATTTTCTGATACCGGGTGGGCCATTATGTTGAGCGGATTTTAAAAAATCGTAGAAAAAACTACAGAGCGTACGGGATATAATTTATATTTTTAATAAAGGAGACGCATGGGGATTTTGGTTTTTAAAAATAACATCATTGAGTTGTGAGCCTTCCAAACGTACGCACTCCTCGAATTCAAATTCATGAAAACTCGCTGGCACCTCGCTCGTGGGATAGCAGACACGTTCTCGGATAAATTGTGCTTGAGCTGAGCCATCGTCGTCGGTTTATTGGGGTAAACGCGGGTCTTGCGGTATCCCCAGAGAAAAAATCCAGTGACGTGAGATCTGGGCTCCGGGGAGGCCACAGAATATCCCCTCAATATCAGTTCTCCATTAAAGATTTCGTTCAGAACTGTTAAAGACTCATTGCCGGTATGCAGTTGTGGATAGAAAAAGTTACTTAACATTGCTATGAATTGATTAGAATTTACTGTTACAGTCGCCTTGCTCGTTTTCGAAGAAATAGGGTCCGATGATTCCTTCAGGCGACATGGCCGCTCAAACTGTAACATGTAGTATAAGTAACATGTTATCGGAAAAACAACATGGATTTAGGAACAAAAGTTCGACAACAACTAGCTTATGCTGTTTCATGAATTATCTGTCGTTTGCTGTAGATCAGCAACAACAGGTCGACGTTATATTCACGGATTTCTCAAATGCATTTGACGGAATAAACCACTCCATTTTGTTTAAAAAAATGTATAAATTTAGGTTTTCTGAGGACTTGTTGATGTTTTTCCGTTCCTATTTATCTGAACGCGTTCAATCTGTGGAGTATAACGGCTTAAAATCGGAACTACGGGAGTACCACAAGGTACTAAGTTGGGCCCCTACTATTTTTGATTTTTGTTAATGATATCAACCATATAATAACAGTAGAAAACCAAATGTTTGCGGATGACTTAAAAATTTACTCAGTAATTCATGGACAAGAGAGCTTTGACCTTTTGCAGGAAAATTTAGACAACATTCTTGACTGGTGCCAGAATAATGATTTAATACTTAATCCCAGCAAGTGTAAAGTAATGTCCATTACCAGAAAACAGTCTATCATACCATATGATTATATGAGTACAGGAAGCAAGGAGGCATTACTATTACTGCAGATCTGTCATTTTCAACACACTTGAATCAAATAGACAAACCAGCTTCACGTATGCTTGGATTCATTATTAGAAATTGCAGATCTTTCACTAACATAGAATCATTAAACATACTGTATTGCACTCTAGTTAGAAGCTTGCTTGAATATGGTTGTATCATCTGGTCGCCTTTATATGTTACATATATATATATATATATATTTACATCTCCACGTGGATAGGTCCTCCTTTCATAAACCAGCAATAAGTCACCTACCAGAAATACTGAATATATATATCAAATTTAATTCGTGAATATCCGACACCAAAACACATTGATCCAAGATCAGTTAAAAAAAACTGTACATTAACATTTCGGATTTCCATACAAAGTCCGCTATATAGGTCTCCCTTTCAAAAACCGTATGATGTGTCCTCTACCGGAATAGCCTCCAGATAACAAAGCGGCATTAGGTCCTCCAAAATACTCAAATTATCTAAACACCAGTGGATAAGTCTTCCGTGCAGTGGTTCCAAGTTTCAGTTATTTCTCTTAAGATAATACAATTGAAGTCTCCTAACTCGGGCTTGTATTATTCTATTACCTTTCAAGGATCTCCATTCAGCATACTCGATTTAGACTATACAAAACATCGCTAGCATGCGAAAGAAGGATGCCCAACTTGTTTCGTAAATTTGTAACTCATGCAAAAAATGCTTTGACTATGCCCTGAACTTATCGGAACATCGAGCAGCCCGCAAAATCAAGGATACCTTCTAAAAAGGAAAAGCCAAAAAACAACGTTTTTGAGTTTCAAAAATGTTCGAACCCATCATAAAGAAAAACTGAACATGATCGGATACCCCCAACAGACATAAACAAGAATCCATAATTTCCTATCACTTGTTTACATGTCATTAGTCTACTAATAAACGCAATATGCTCTCTAAACATGTAGCTCGCATATAATAAACAGAAATAGACAGGTCTTAACATTATATATTTGCGTCATCGCATAAACGCCGAGAAATGCAGTAATATGAGATGTTACGTATTGTAATTCATAAAAGTAGATGTTACCGAATATCTGTGGGTGATAGAAAAATTCTGTTTGTAGATTTGATTTAAGGGTCTCAAAACACATACGATACACCCAAAAATTGTCATGTCACAAGTCCTGTGTTTATCAGTGTAATTAAGTTACACAAAAGTCGTCTTTTGATTTTTTTTGCTCAAAACAAATAAACATAAAATACTTACATAACGTTATTTATTGTTGCAATGTTTTGACAGTGGCGTTGTACATTGGTAACGCTGGAAATTAAATGAATCAAACCGGAAAACGTCTTTTTAAAACTACGCTTAAACTTTTATTTCAATGAAAACATTTAACAGTAAATAATACGATACTCATAATGATTGCTGAAAATGTCCTCTTTCAACCTCAATGCAAACATTAGCTCGTCTTACCATTGATTGCCGAACTCGTTGAAATATTCCCGGCGTATGTTTTATCTGATCACATGAATCTCGTATCCTTTGGATTAATTCCTCTTCAGTGTTGACTGGATTTTTGCAAACGAGGGACTGCCCCCAAATAAAAAAATGTGGACCCGCACGCCCGATCTAGTTTTATCCAAAAGTTGCATCCAAAAATTCGGGAGCTACAATGCTGAAGTGAGGTGGAGCTCCATCGTGCATAAATCCTATTGCTTCTCTTCTCCAGCGGGACATTTTATAGTATTTCAGGTGAAATAAATTCAAAAATGACGATCCTCTTGGCCATTTAATCCCGGGGGCAAAATAAGACCCAATGAGATAATTACCTACAATACCAATACAAACGTTCTCGGAAAACTGTTGTTGATAATTAACTTCTGTATTGTGAAAGTTCAAAATTGAATTTCGGAATAAACACGCTTCAGCGGTAAATAAAATACGGGATAGAAATCTTGGAAACGCTACCTGTTGTTGCAAAAGCCAAGTACAGTAAACGACTCGATGGGAAATATCGGCAGGTAATAACACTTGAACACGCTGTAGTAAGGATACAGTTGATATTCCCTTGAAATCTGCCATACAGTAAGGTGAGAGATGTTAAATTGTTTTGCAATTTTGCATGTACTTGTATCGGTGCATACGCTCAACTTCATGTAAAACTGCTTCCTCCATCTTCACTGTTGTTACTGTGGCAGGTCTCCCAATTACAGCAGCCGACCTTTGAAAGGTGCCTGATTCGCACAGTATTTCCTGTATTCTCACGAATGTTTGTCTATTTGGTATAATGCGTTGAGGATATCTTTCTTGATAAATGCGCCTAGCCGCTCTAGAATTGCCTTGAGCCATTCCATAAATAAAATGCATATTGGCCATTTCTGTGTTTGTAAATTGAACCATTTTCCAATATTAGTAATTTTATAGCTTGAGAATTTTAAAAGCACTTCAAATAATTGTTACTTTATATTATCATTACTTACGCAATGCTTTAAGTGAGTTATGTCAAAGTCAGATTTGTTTGAGTAGCAATATGTTTTTGGCACTCTTATTTTTTGCTGCTTTTAGAACATAGCTGTTATAATTATTACGTTATGCGATTATTTTGTTATTTTGTCTTATCGAAATAAGTTTTAAAAACCTATGTAGAAAAAAGTCAAGAGATGACTTTCGTCTAATGTTAATTACTTAATTAGTTTGGTGGTTTTAATGTTTTACTATGTTATTGTCCCAAGGGCATGCAATAAAGTGCTTTTTATTTTTTATCTCGCAAACGAAGCGAGATATGAAAGAAACTCAGGAGACAAACAAGTTGTATTTTTAGCTGCTTAATTCGAGAAAAATATAAAAAGTTAGTGGCTAACATTTTTTTTTTTGTCAAAGATATTGGTTAGAGTGTTTTTCGGGACGCCACTGGGCTTAATCATTTCAATCTAATTGGGGCTAAATTAACCCCTTACTGGCCTTAATAACACTGTTAAATTTAAACAAAATCGGCTAAAATTTTATTAAGATATTTAGGAAAAACTGATTTTTTTTTTAAAGTTTGACGCCGCCCTGTATCTTGAAAGTGCAGCATTTCTGGACCTATGTTTATATAAACTTTTGATCTTAATATTACTGAACGAATCACCTTCTGAGGTTTAGCCACGTACATAAATAACGCCCTGTATATTCCAACTACAAACTTTTGGACCGCCCTGTTTGAAACTAAGTAGTTCAACATAGGTTTTGTTCGTGGACGCAAAGTATCCCTAACTGGGTCGGATTGTGTCAAATATTTTTTGATGTTGTTGAACACTATTTTATGTTACAGTTTTTGTGGTTTATACCGGTTGGATTTTTGAATGAATGATGCCAAGTTGAAAAAGAAATCGTTTTCGATTAATGCGGAAAAATTCACGTCTCTTCCTGTTTTGTCTACTTATTTATTTGATCTATCGGGTGTTCTTGAACTGTTTTTGCAGCTTGTGCTCACCTTTATTTACTGAATTAAAATTTACAGGCAAAAATTCAAAAACATCAGGCATTTGAAGCAGAAGTGGCAGCGCACAGCAATGCAATTGTTGTTCTGGACAACACTGGCAGAGAAATGATTAATCAAAATCATTATGAAAGTGAAACGATCCGCAGGAGATTGGGTTAGTAGCTTTTACATTCAATTTATCCAAATATCGTTATTTTAAAAACAAAATAGGGCAAAATAATTTCGATATACCACGAATCCATGAAAATGGTTTTTATTTTTTACGCTGAAACGATGCATCGGACGGATGTCAAGGGGTCAAATTTGTTGCAAAATAAACGAGTATTTCAAAAATGATTTTTTTGGAACATACCTATATGATTTGTATAATATTTAACTTTTACGAAATACTCTAAACGGTTCGAGAAGGCTGAAAACCATAGCACCATTTTTTGGCGACTTTCCAGACGACTCTGGTTTTTTAAATTTAGCAAATCTTTTTGTTTACTTCATTTTTTGTCACCTATAAAAGCAGAACATATCGGATAGCTTTCGCGAAAAAAAAGATTAGTTGCATCAAGGCGTTGACCACCATTTTCGTTCCTGCACATAACAATACGGCGCAAAAAATTCTAGTGAAGTTTCTTTAAGATGTCATTATTGTTTAATGTATTTCAGCATTTTGAATTATGTCCCATAGTTCATTGGCGTTGTCTATCAACGTTGTATACCGTTGTTCTTAATGCTTCCTATATAAAAAAATCGCAAGGATTAAAAACAGGAACGAGTCAGCCATTGAATAGGAGCTTCTTGACCTCGATTTACAGACAACAAATTAACAATCAGGAATAAACTCAAACATTACTTATTAACACAAGTTGTCGAGTATAGGGGTTATCCCCTATCATTCATAATACATATTAATGACCTGGCACTGCAGCTATCTAAATTGAAGCTATTTTCGCAGATGACTTGAAGATATTTAGAGAAATTGAAAACTACAGTGACTGTATGGAATTGCAGAGCAGGATGAGTAAATGGTGCGTTGCCAACAAACTAAATATAAACATAGCAAATTGTAAAATTTTGAGCTTGACTCGCAAGCTTAATTCTGTCATGTTTACTTACACATTGATAACACCAATCTAGAGATATGTCATACATTCAAAGATCTAGGGGTAAGTGAAATGGTCTCTTCAGCTAAATATTAGGATACTGTGTCAGAAACTGGTCGGGTGTTGCTGATGTGAACAGCCTTAAAGCAATATATTTATCTTTTATCAAGTGTCCACTTTTATTGGCCAAAACAAAATGTGCCCGTTTTGCTGCGTTTCCATTACTTTTTCGAGCATCTCTGGTGGTATAGCGGCGATTGCGATACGAATGTTTGCCTTGAGTTCTTCAGTGGTGTGGGGCTTGCTGGCGTACACTAGACTTTTCAAATAACCCCACAAGAAGTTTGGTGAGGTCAAATCTGGAGACCTGGGTGGTCAGTCAATGTCACCTCTTTTTGAGATCAGACGTCCAGGGAATTTTCGTTGCAGAAACTGGATTGATTCATTTGCAGTGTGGCATGGCGCACCGTCTTGTTGAAACCAGTAACCATCAAGACCTTTTCACGCATTTGTAGGTAGACATAATGAGCCAACATCCACCGATATCGATTTCCATCGACTGTTTCATTTTCGTTGAAGAAAAATGGCCCAATGATGATTTTGGCGCAAACGCCGGCCCAAACAGTCACTTTCCGGTCATGCAACGAAATTTCGTGGATCTCATGTGGATTTTCCGTCCCCCAAGTGCGGCAGTTTTGCTTATTAATGCCGACAAAGAGCGTGAAATGGGCCTCGTCGGTCATCACAATTTGCTTCGAAAAATCAGGTTCAGCATCAAACATGCGAGCGACTGTTTGGGCATATTCCAAGCGACGTGGACGGTCAGTTGGCAATAAATTTTGTGTTAACTGCACCTTATAAGGAAACAAATGCAAATCATCCTTCAAAATGCGCCGCAACGTGGTTCCACTGATGCCAAAATGCTGAGCGTGTTGACAATACGACAGTTTTGGGTTCTGGGCAACGCTGTCTCTGGCCGCTTCAACCAATTCATCGGAGCGTCTTGGTCGTTGAGGAACGGAATGTTGACTATCTCCCACTGAGCCGTACTCAAGAAAATTCGAAACCAAACGACGGATAGTGTTGTCAGACGGTGCCTGTTTGCCACGATATTTTCGACGATATGCACGTTGCGTTAACACAACTAAACGACGATTTTCAATGTACATTGTGACTATTTCGGCGCGTTGTTTCGGTGTAAAGAGCGACTCATGACTGACGTTGTAGTAAATTGACGTTTCAGAAACACGTATAACCAAATCACTCGGCTGGTAAATATCAAAGTCATTCGATGTTTCAATACCGACATAAAAGATGGCGCACCCGGTATGCTGCACTGGTTTGGTCGCCAATTTATCAAAATGCGATTTCAGCTATTTAATCTGTCCAGCATAAAGCCTGAAATACATCCATTTAAAAGTTTATGGCTTATATTTTGGAAGAGGCTTCCCACACAATATCCTAATTCAAGTCATGAATTTTGATATATTGGTTTACCGTCGACAATTAAATGACATTACAGTGCTTCATTGTCTGGTTAATAATGAAGTGGATTGCCTGGAATTATCTGAAATTAATTTTGTTGTGCCAAAGAGATCAACTCGCTCTAGTGCAACTTTTTACAGCGCTAGAGGTAGAACGAACATATCGAAAATGTCACCTGTTAAAAGGGTGTGTTTGACACTTATTGTCAAGGATGCTATGTCGATAACAACACCATTCAGGTGATTTTGAGCAGTTTTAAGTAAACATATGCGATCCTCAACCAGTTAGGTTTTGCGAATGGAGCCGTAATTTTCAAATATATATTTCATTGTCAATTTTACTGTCAGTCATATACATGTTTATGTATTTATTTCCTGTAATAATGTTTTTCATTCATGTTTTAAATGCATTTTGTAAAATGGACTTTTATACACATGAGCATAGAACATGTTTATTATCGGATGTTCCTGTGATTGGGTGCAAATGGAATAAACATTATTATTATTAATTTTAACTTTATGAAACGTGTTATCAAAAATAATCTGACCCTGACATAACATCCCACATTTCCGCCAACTAGATACCTACTAGATTTTAACACTTGTTGCAATAAGACATTTTTTTAGAAATCAGCTTCGAAAAACATTTTTAATCGAAAACGACGAAACATCCAGTGATAAACGTCCATCAAGGTCTATGTGTACAAAAGTCGATTTTACAAAATGAATTTAAAACTTGAATGAAAAACATTACTACAAGAAATAAATACATAAACATGAATATCTGTTCCTCGGAGCCAGACTAGGTTGAGTCCAAATAAGTAGTTTTGAGATAACTGTATTTGAAATATTTTTCTTGTACTGTATTGTATGCGACTTGATGTGAGTTAAAAAGACGTAACTTCCTTATTATTACAGATAGATGTACTCTGCAAGTAGCAAATGAAAATTTACAATATTATCATAAGCTTAACATATAAAACTCATTTTAGACAAAAATGGACTCTACCTAGTCTGGCTCTGGTACAGATTATGAAAGACAGTAAAATTTTAGACAAAGATATATATGCCAAAAAATTACAGATCTATTTGCAAAATTAAACATTACCGGTTAAGCACCGGATGTTTGCTTAAAAGTACTTAAAATCACCTGTTATTGATATCGCATCCTTGACAATAAGCGTTAAACACATACCACATCCTTTTAACAGCAGACATTTCCGAAATGTTGGTTCTACCCCTAGCGCTGTAAAAAGTTGCATTAGAGCAAGTTGATCTCTTTGGCGCCACAAAATTGATTTTATATGATAATTCCGGGCAATCAAGTTCATTATGAACCAGATAATGACGCACTGTAATGTTATTTAATTGACGACGGTAAACCAATGTATCAAAATTCATGACTTGAAGTAGAATATTGTGTGGATATAAGCCATAAACTTTGTAATGGATGTATTTCAGGCTCTTACGCGGGACAGATTCAATAGCAGAAATTCCATTTTGATAAATCGGCGACTAAACCAGTGTAGCATATTTTAGTTTATGAATATATTGCTTTAAGGCTGTTTACATTAGCAAAACTCGGCCAGTTTCTGGCACAGTATCCTAATATTTTATTTGTTGAGGAGACCATTTCACTTATGTGGACAGAGAACGTCAATTTACTGTCAAAAATTACCCTTAGATCGTTAGCATCTCTCTAGATTGGTGTTATCAATGTAGTTAGTGAACAGGATAGGATAATTTTCAAATCATCTGCGAAAAATAGCTTCAATTTAGATAGCTGCAGTGCCAGGTCGCTATGATATATTATGAATACAATAACGATATGTAATTACTATATCTTTCATGTAAACTTCTAGAAGTCATGTTTAAAAGTTGGAGAGATTATGCTGCTGTCAGCTGCTGTTTACAAATCGTATGACGTCACAGCACATTAATACATAGGAAAAACATGGCGGACTGCGTTTTCGCCTGTCTATGAAAAATATATTCTTAAATTGAACTCCTACGCTCTTTTAAGTCTGAAAAAAAATATAAACTGGGGGACAGTTGCTTTGCAACATGGAAAGTTTTACTCAAATACAAATCTCGATATTTTCGGTCGGTATATTTCTTTTATTTATCTACTTATACAGGGTGAGCAAAGAAAGTCATGTTTTTTAAGCCAAGTTTGGGGCTATGTCAGATTATCAATTTTATATCTTGGAAATTTTTCTATGCATTTTCTTGATCTTTGGAATATCCTAAAAAGGCGATATCTCAAAGTTGACTATAATTCAAATTATCGAATTTTAAAAAAGTGTTACATTTATCCCTAAAAAGGGACTTTTTTGGGGTTTCTCTTGAGAATGGGTATTTTTTCTCATGCAGCATAAAGTGGAATTTCTTGGGCTCGAGAAAAGATTCAAGCACTCATTGAACGTTATTGTCTCCAGTGGCGTGCAGTGAAAATTTGCTACTTTGACATTATGTAATTTAAACCGATTTTATAAATTTTCCTATGCAGTTAAACAACTTAATGAACAATTCCAAGTTACTACATGCTCTTAATATAGGGGTATATTCCAGTGGTGTAACACCAAAAGCATTTTTTTGTTTGGTAAGATATGCTAATAACTTAAAAAAATATTATTCATAATGCTATATGCTGGCCAACACTGATATTCATCTTCTTTCTTTTTTTTGATACTGATATCTACGGCTTAAACGGTATTGAAGACCGATCAATATTATAAATTAAAGCTACATCATTCATCAATATTATACAGTTCTCTCGTTCTTTTTTAAAAAGACGACGCATTTTAGAGAAACTAAAATTATACAGTCAAGTCTACAGTCATTATTATTGTTACTTAATTGCATGTTTGAAATTTGAGATATCACTTTTTTTAGGATAGTCCAGAGATCAAAAAGATTCATAAAAAAATTCCAAGATCAAAAATTGAGAATCTGACATAGCCCCAAAAAACTAACTTCCTTTGCTCACCCTGTATAAGTAGATAAATAAAATAAATATACCCGTCGAACCCTGTACGTATTCTCAGAGTTGGTCAGGAACCTCCCGAATACTGCAACTCGATATCTCTTTCCGTTCCGAAAATATCGAGATATGAATTTGGGTAAAATTTTCCATGTTGCAAAGCAACTGTCCACCAGTTTAGTATAAATTTTTTTGGTTTAATAGGACGACTATTTAAGACCTATTTACAATGGTGTCAACTAGCCCATTATAACGATAAACATATCTACTATTTTAATCTATTTTAATGAAGCAATAATTTGATTTTATAGAAGAGCTGCACAGACTGTGGGAACAGCTTCTTTCCAAGCTGGCCGAAAAGGGGATGAAACTACAACAAGCTCTGGTTCTCGTCCAGTTCATTAGGCATTGTGATGAAGTAATGTTTTGGATAAACGAGAAAAGTGCATTTCTATCAACCGAGGAATTTGGTCATGATTTGGAACATGTGGAGGTATTTACATTACCTCGATCATCAGGTAGCACGTTGAAATATTTTTTATATCCTTACAGGTATTGCAACGAAAATTCGATGAGTTCCAAAAAGATATGGCATCACAAGAATACCGTGTGGTCGAAGTAAATGACTTGGCGGACAAACTACTGCAGGATGGTCATCCCGAACGCGACCAAATTGTTAGACGTAAAGAGGAGGTTAACACCGCATGGCAGAAACTTAAGCAAATGACACTTGCCAGGCAGGATAAGTACGTGCTATGCTTTTCAACTTGATATAGTTACCTCGCCTAAAGCTCACTAATGGAATAACAAAATGTTCTCTAAACCTCACATAAATTCTAATATAGATGAAAATTGGAAAATTTTGTTCTTCAACCTAACGAACCGATGCAGACAAGCAAATTATGCTAACAAAATTTGGGTTGCAGTAGTTTAGGCAAATCACTGGGAAAACAGTCGTTGTATATACAGGGTGTCATATATTTTAACTGCTTGTAGGAATCGGCAGAAGGAGTTGATATACCAAAAATCACCTATATAAAAGTTGCATAATAATATAAATAGTAAAAGATTAAGAATTTTAAAAAATAATATTGTTATTCAGATTTTTTTATATTCTAGAGCACTTCCGTGTAAAATCTTAAGGTTTTTTATTTACTACTCTTATCGTTTATCTAAATTTGGCAACGTTTTTGTGTTATTGTATGGTTTTCAGTACGAGTCTTTGGTTTGATCAATTGAATCAGTCTTTTAATAGTGCGTAACTTTCATTTGTCTGATTATTTTGTGCGAAAAAATGGCCTATGTTTACAAAAGCAATGAATTAGTGGACACAAAACTAACATACCGAGACTGCCAATAAAATGCAGCCACAGCATGCAGGCTGTATCCTGTAAGAAATCATCCTGCTCCACGGATGTTTGTAAATTTGCTTATTAGAATTCGTGACACAGTGTATTCAAAAGAACAACGATGTGGTTACGTTGGAAGACCTGCTCAATCTGAAAAATGTTACAAATTGAGGAAGGCATTTTAGAAAAGGTCGAAGATGACCCAACAATGAGGACTAGAGCCATAGCAGCTCAAGTTGAAGTTTGTCATAGTAAAGTGTGGAAGACAATACGACAAGAAGACTATTATCCTTATAATTATCAATGGGTATAAGCGTCACAACATGAAGACCTTCCTGTGTCCCTATTCTTGACTGTAATAGAAAATCACAATCCCTCTCTTTTTCTACTCCCCCGGTTTTCCATCGATTCGAAAATACTGTATTCTTGAAAGGTCTCGATAAAAAGGAAAAAGTAAATCAAGACACAGAGTTGCCAGGTTTGAGTAAACGTGTTAAGCCAATCAAAATGGAGATAATTTTGACAGTCAAAAACTAACCAATGATTTTAGTCGAAATTCCCTCCTTATAATTTTATCTATGGAGCCGGAAGCTTTAAAAAAGCACATTACAATAACAAAATGATTGAATTTCTCCGAGAGCACCCCCAAATGCACCACGGAAAATTCAATCATAGACTCTGTTTTAGAATGACTAAAACTTAATACCTACTCTTGCCTTTGTTTTGATCGAAAGTCTGGAACCTCGTGGGGGTGGTTGTATAAATGGAGTCAATATCTCCAGCAATTCATACACCAAATCTTTGGTCAAACTAAATATCTGTACAAATTTTCCATCTGAAATTATGAAAGGATCTCGGTGCCCAATAATATCTCTCACAATCTTCCATTCCTCAACTGCCTCCTTTACATCCTCGTTAATAATATCGTTCTAATACATCAATTGATTGAAGTTAACCATTTTTTGCAATATGTTTAGCAGGAACAACAATAACAATGCCAAACACGTCAATTTTTAGGTTATATAGCGCTATTTTCTACTAATTTTTGCAGTTTCTCTTGGTCAGTACTAAGAGAAATCGCGTCTCCTTAAAGTGAATTAATTTCTATCACTTTTCGGTAGAATTGATTTCAAGAATACTGCATTTCTTGGCCACACCCACTTTTGCCACTTTCTCTCACAATTTCTACTCCCTCAAACTCAAGAATAGAGGTCCTGAAAACCTAGATTTTCATTAAATAATGGCATGCTTATTGGACCATACTTTTTTCCACCTCGACTGACCGGTGCAATTTATTTAGATTTTCTTCGACACAACATGTCACAATTGATGTTCTTCTAAATGTGAGACAAAATATGTGGTACCTGCATGATGGGGCTCCACCACATTGATGACATGAACATCTAAATAATGACATTCTTCAAAAAAGTGCCTTTAGCTGACACAGGAGGTAGATTTAGTACAGTAAAACCTGCCAACCACACCTCCAAATCGCATTTTCAAGGCAATTCTGTCGATTACACATTTTTGCCCTAGGAAGTAAAAATTTGACAATCCAAATTAAATTCTAACTCGCGCGCGACATTTGTTGTACTATATTAGCCCACCACAACTATCCATGATTTGGCAACATTGCAACTAGATGGACAAATGATGATAGTGATGGTGACGTAGTGATGGGAATGTTTATCTAAAATAAAAAAATGCTACTTAACAATAACCTGTTTTGATCATTAAAATATGTGTATGTTATATTCATATAATTTAGAGCATTCTTTTGTGTAAAAAAAAGAAATAACTAGCTGATAAGTCAGTATTCTATACAGTATTACCACCCAAAATGCAAGTTTGAAGTTCTATAAAATAGCAAGTAGAGGTTTCCTTTAAAAAAATGATACTTTCGGTCAATTTACATCCAAATCTTTCATTTTATAATAAGAAATGAAATATTTGCGTTATGCTCTAAAGTGGTTTTCAGCCCTACCAGAATCCTGTTCACTTTAAGTTACCAATTAGGAAAGCTCAATCTTTATTTAGTAGCCGTATCTATTTTCTGGTCGTTGTTCAATGTATGTTCTTCCTAGGAATGCTGCTGATGTTTTTTCAATTATCCTGTATATGTATGGGTTTCTAGAACTAAAAAACTAAAAAGTGAAGTAAGTTGATATAATCTAATTCGGTTTTCGTTCTAGACTATATGGTGCTCATGAAATCCAGAGATTCAACAGAGACTCCGACGAAACCGTAGCTTGGATTGCAGAAAAGGATGTCGTCCTATCATCTGACGATTATGGGAGAGATCTTGCTAGTGTGCAAGCACTTCAAAGGTAAAGTGAAAATACCCGTAGTATCGTCCTTGTCTCTATGAAATATCAGTTTCTTACTGGAGTTCGTTTACAAATGTTTTTCACGAACTATTTTGCTGAAATAAAATTACGGTTTCCGACATAGTCTATATCAAATGAGGGTGATACTGAGTAGATCAAAGGTAATTTGATGAATCAAATAATATAAAATTATCATATCAACAATTACTTGAATGTGTACAAAAAAAGTGTCATAAGTAATGTGGGATATTAAACCAACAAAGTCTAATTCGAGATTTGTTCGACGTTTTATGGAAAAAATAGTAATTCGTGAATGACGACCTGTACACGGAAATGTCAAACTTGAAAAACGGAGATGACAGTGCACGAAAGAGATTAAACTATATATTTAGGATACATTCAACAATCCTGTTTCAGATAAATCCACTAAACATACTACATTTCCAAAATATTCTTTTAAATGGGGTTTGGAATTTTCACAGTTGTTGCATTTACGCATCAGACAATCTTCACCATATGTGTTGTGTTGGTGTTTAGATATATAATTGGGATTTGTTCAAGAAAGCTAAATCATTTACGTATAGACTGTGGACAATTATTTCGGTATTGGCATGTGTATCTATCACAAATTCTCATAGGCTTTAATGTACAAGACAAAAAAATGTGTAACTTATTTTGAAGGTTGGATAGGCAAGTAGAAATTTTTTATAAAGGTTCATCAAAGTGTTTGAGAAGAAACGTTTCTGTCTTGTTACTTTATTTTTTTCACAAATTCATTTTTGCCAGCGCATAACCTCTAGTTTTAAGAAGTCTTTCATCCTTTAATAAGTCCTGCTCTTTGGACATTTATAGCCTTTTTTCTCTCAAAACTTGTTAAATCTATCTTTTTGAAATTTCATGACTGTAGAAAGTTTGTATTTTGTATTTCCTTACCCCTTTGTCATACAACATTTTTTAAAAGACTTGTCTCCCTTTGTGGTTCTTGGTAAGTATTCGCAAACTGTCACTGTACTACTCGTACTTCACCAAATCTTATACTTTTCTTTTAATTTTTTGACTCTCTGGGTGCTTTTTTTATTGGAGTCAACTTTTCTAGATCTGACTTTCCATTATTTATTTCATGATTGGTTTCACTAAAAGCCTACAGTAGCTCTTCTTATACCGTGTGACAATGAAAATTGGACACACTGTATTTTTTTTGGCAAATAAAGATATCGCTCCAAGATTGGGACATGATTAGTTGGTTGTTAAGAGGCATTTCTGGAAAGTTGAATGGGTTATCTCTCCCTTCTGGTTTAACACAATGTATTATCAGCATTCATAATACCTTCCATAAAGTGTAAGTTTCCAACTCCACTTGCTGACATGAATCCCCATATCATAACTGAAGCCGGAAGCTTATTTTTTCCAAGGCAGTCATTCTGAAACACTTCTTCTTTAGTTCTTATGGCACGACTCCTATTATCACACAACGTATACTTCAAATGTGGCTTCATCACTCTAAATAATGGAGTTCTATTGATTCAGAGACCATAATTTGTGTTCTTTGGCGTACGCTAGATTGTTTTTCTTCTGAATATTTGCCAATAAACGCTTCTCATTGCCTATAAATACTGAATTAAAAACGAATAATAATAAATAATTTAAGCCTACCCTGTAAGTTTTAAATCCCAGTTTTTGTGCAGCTATGTGACAAGTTGCTCTTGCACACTTTTTTGTGGTTGCTTGATTCCATAATATTTTCAATTCGTTATAATTAGCACGCCGACTTTCCTTGATAATTCGTTTTAAGGTTCTTAAGTTGGTATTGGAATAACGTGGGCGACTTTCAGTTCTGGATTTTTGAGCCACAGATGCCGTTGTTTTATACAATTTAATAATATTTCGAACTGTATACCTATTTGTTAAAACTGTCAGCGATTTGGGAAGCATTTTGGCATTTTAAATGCAAGTGAATGATCATTTTTTTATTTCGTCAGAAACAGCTTAACCACGAGCCATTTTTAATTATTAACAACAACACCAATGAATTGAAAGTTGATTTAAACGTCAAAAATTAGCTTCTTAGCAACGAAAAATGTTATCATTTGTTTTACAAAGCCTACCTTTATTTCATCGAAGCAAATAAACAGACCATTCAACTTAAGTTGTCTCCATCATGTAATTTGCTATACACCAAAAAATACCGACATCGGTTTTGTTATCTTTCCATAAACATTTAAAGAAACCAAAAATATTATATTTGAAATAAAATTTTAATTAGCCCTCAAATAAATTCACAAATATCATGTTTAGGGGCGTTGGGCCAACTGAGACGTGACTGAATTTTTGTATTCATAATCAATTCAACAATATTTTTTTATAGGTTTTTTTTTGTAAAAGTTTAGTTTGACTAGTTGTGATAACGTTTTTTTTTGTGTATTGCAGTTGACTGTGTGAAAGCATGATTTTGGTCATCCTTTCACACTGTAAAAGGACAATTCCATATTCTCAATAATAAGCGAGAAATCTTGAAAACCCGTCAGTTAAATTCCTCATCATTAGAGGGAGAGAGAAACTTCCATGAACAGTTCATCTTGAACAGGCAAAAGATTTTAAAATTTATTTACTTCTTTACAGGAAACACGAAGGTGTTGAAAGAGACTTGGCTGCTCTAGAAGATAAAGTTGCTACCCTTGGTAAAGAGGCAGACAGATTGTGTGCTATTCATGGAGATCATGCTGATGTTATCCAGGCTAAGAGGGCTGAAATCGAAGCTTACTGGCAAAGTTTGACAGCAAAAGCAAAGGTTTGTTATAACATGCATCCACCCATGTCTGTCAAATTGAGAAATACCTTTCCGCATTCACGTGATAATATACAAAATTATAGGCAAGTAAAGATACGCTTCTTATTTGGACAATATGCCGCACTCTATAGGGTGATTTATAACTACGTGACAGCTCAATAATGCAATGGTCAAATGGAATAATTTTAATATGACCTCATCAAAATAAGAAATTTGATATAACGTTCTGTAAGGTTTGATTCGCTGTTTCTGGAGCTGCGGGGTATTTAAAAAAAAAAGAAAAAGCACTCAAATTTGACAGCGTGTGAGCCAGTATTTTTGCAGTTACATTTTGTCAAAATATCGTCATATCCCATACTTGCTCTTTACCTAATTTTTTTTAAATGTTGTATGTACAGTAGGGTGTCCCAGCCTATGAGAGCAAACAAAGGTTTGTTCGAATTTTGATACGCATACCCTCTAATTTTTTCAATTTGACTAACAACTCAAAAAATAAATATTATTGCGACCGGGGAACGATAACCCGTGCCAACTATCGGTCAAACTCTGAATTTGAAAGTTAATAGGGAAACCATGTATGGATTTCAAAACCTAATTCTTGTTATATAAAAATTGTTTTTATTCCTCATCAGCAGTGATTAAGCCATCGAAGTCTTGCATTAACTTGTCTGCTGTTTCTGCCGTATCGTTAACTGCCCTCAGTGTCTGCACCTTATTTTTAGCGTGTTGAAAAGAATAATTATATGGCCATGAAGTTGCACACTCACTGTCATCAGTTTCGAGCCGACTGAACAAGGACTTGCTTTTGATTGTAATAAAGTCACCGATATTTTTCTCTGAAATGAAAAAACGAAGAATAACTAAAAAAATCTAAATATACTGGCTTTGTCCGTCCGAAAAAATAAAGACAGCAATGGACATATGTTTTGAACTTTTTGGCAACTCATCAACATCGACTAGGCTTGGCCTCAGTTTAGAACAACAAACGAAACCATAGCAACTAACCTCTACAGGGTGCTCCATCCATGTGTGGACGGAATATTACTCATAAACAAATACATTTTGGGAAAATCTATTTATGGGATGTTATACATGACATTTGAGGGCACATTTCTAAAATATTGGCAATCATACAGGGTGTCCCAGTTTTGAACTACATATCAAAGTTGTGATTTTTTAAATGGAATGCCTCAAATTTTATTGCATATTTGGATAAACCAATTCAAAAGAAGATTGATATAACATACTATGGGGTTTTGGTAATTAGCTACTGAGATGTAACGTGTTTTGCCCAGAAAAACCGTCCACTTCGGCAACCCCTCAATCATTTTGATGTTTGGAGTGCTGCATTTTGTATCAAAAAAAAACTTACACACCTCAGCTTTTATCCCATTTTTTACTTTTTCGAATTTTCATTTTTGCTCCTACATGGTGGTCAAAAACGCAAATTATACTTCTTCTCAAAAATTTCAAATGCATCACCCTATATATATATATTTGAGCAAGTTTGGATTCAATTTTTTATAAGCTTTTTTGGTATAAGGTTTGATTCAGATACAAAAAAGACAAACAGTGAGCTAGTTCCATATTGCCACTAAGAGTACAGATTTGACGTAAAAATTAATAACAATCAGAACAGTATAAATCAGCTTCAAGCGTAATAGAGAAAAACAACTATTACAACAACATAAACAAACAACTATCACTACTCAAGACCTAATCTACAAAAACTGCTCGAAAATATCTCCACCATGTTGAATAAACAGCCGTAGTCTTTGGATAAATGACCGTTGCACATCCCTCAGCTTGTGTTTCCTTATGCTCAGAAAATCATCCTTAATCCTTTCCTTCATATTTTCCGGGGTAGATGTGGATATCTATAAACCTCTTGCTCCATAGAAAGAAGTCCATCGGTGTCATATCTGGTGATCTAGGAGGCCAAGATATAGGTCCATCACGACCGATCCAACGATTGTTACTCCAGGTGTCCAAATAGTTACGCACACGATTATGATAATGCGCAGGTGCGCCGTCATGTTGGAAATTCATATGCATCCGCGTTTGCAGGTTGACATCCTCCAAAAGCAAAGGAAATGCTCGATCAAAAAATTCAAGTACCTGTTAATCTGTTGTCGAAAAAGAAAGGCCCGATAACTTGTCTGCCAATAACTCCTCTCTAAACATTCCAGCTCCATTTATTTTGGAAATCTATTTGCCTAACCCAGCAAGGTTGTCCGTCGTATAATAGTGCATGTTATGAATGTTGACAACACCCATGTTGTTAAAAGTTGCCTCATCGCTAAAAAGAACCTTATCCAGGAAAGTAGTGTGTTCACTCACTTTATTTAGCATTATTCTACTTAACTCCATTCGAGCTGCGAAATCCTGAGGACGAAGGCCTTGATGCAAGCATAGGTGATATGGACGGTACCTATGTTTGTGAATAATCCTTTGGACAGAAGTTCTGCATATATCAGTTTCGGCTCAAATTTGCCGTCCACTTAAATGGGGATTTTCCTGCAACTTTAATAGAACCTCCAACTGAGTCGGCTCATTGGTGACACTTAGACTATTTATACATTTTTTACTATATTCCACTGCTCCACTTGATTCAAAACGTTCTCGTCGAGTGGAAAATGTTTCCGGCCTTGGATGTCGTATATTAGGGTACCATTTCTGCTTTAGAAAAATTCATTTTCAAACATTTATAATGCTCACAAAGCTAATTTTGACAGTTTGTAACTAATCAACAATTTATTTGTTTCCAAGGATGATGCGATATTTTAGGGAATTAATTCAAATTCAAAATATTTATTTCGTTATGAATAAACATCATAAACAAAGGAAATTCGACAATATAGAGCAAAGACGAAAAAGGACAGTCTCTCGATTATAAAACCGATACATTGGACACTTTAATACAAAGAGTCCATGCGAGAAAGCCCTGAACACCCTAAAAATCCTTAAACAAAATAAAAAAAACAATAAAGCCGTTCCATAAAAGACGTGCTAATAACCGAAAAAATAGCGGTAAAAACACTTATATATCTAGTATCAAAAAAAAGCTGATAAAAACTTGAATCCAAACTTGTACAAATTTACAGGGTGATGCATTTGAAATTTTTGAAAAAAACTAAAATTTGCATTTTTGACCACCCTGTATGAGCAAAAATTAAAATCGAAAAAGTAACAAATAAGATGAAAGTTGAGGTGTGTAAGTTTTTTTATACAAAATTCAGAACTCCAAATTTCAAAATGGCGTACTGAAGGGTTGCCGAAGTGGGGGGTTTTTCTAGACAAAACACCTTATATCTCAGTAACTAATTACCAAAACCCCATAGTATGTTATATCAATTGTCTTCGTTTGAATCGGTTTATCCAAATTTGCAATAAAATTTTAGGCATTACATTTGAAAAACCACAACTTTGATATGTAGGTCGAAATTGGGACACCCTGTATAATTGCCTATATTTTATAAACGTGCCCTCAAATGTCATGTATAACATCCCATAAATAGATTTTCCCAAAATATATTTGTTTATGAGTAATATTCCGTCCACACATGGATGGGCCACCCTGTATACGGGGTATACGATCTATAAAGTGGACTATAAAGTTCTTCTTTCGATGGGATGAGGCGTTTACCGTGGGCTGATGAACTTTCTTTGGCTAAATTAGCAACATTTTTTACTTTAGTTTCCTCATCTACGTCGTTGTCAAACAGAGATAAGACAGAGACCTCATATGTCAAACAACATAAATGTTGCCTGAACTTGTGTAAAGCTGCTTTTGAAGTGGGTTTGTCGATTCTTTCGTTAGCCTACGTTGCCTTGAAGAAGCATACATCCTGGTTAGGTGCTTTTACCGCTAAAGCTGAATAAAGCTATGAGAATCATTTTAAATAAAAACAAATATGTTAGGATTAAGTCTATGTTAGGAGAACTACAGTGGCTGAATGTAGAAAATTTCATATGTAATATAGTACTCATTTTCATTTAAAATGAGAAAATCATTTATTTTCACCTCATTTAGAAAACTTCAAAAATCAAATATCATATCATAACTACGAAGCTAAAGGCAGTATAGATTTTCATCAGTGTTCGAATTTAAAAATGTTTAAGGTGAAATTGAAAAATGACTTCACAAATACTCAAAATTCATAATGATGTAATTTTAATAGACAAGAATGTAAAATTACAGAAAACTGATTCAAAAAATGTGTAAAAGAATAATTATACAAAACTGACATTGCAGCATTAATGCTAAATGAATCTTCAACAAACAAACAGTTTGAATGACGACAAACTATGGGATATAAAGCTCGTTTTGACAAAAAGTTTGCTATCCATCTGCAAAAAATAATTGTAAATAACTTTTTTAGATATACCTATGATCAAAAAGTACCGGAAATTTATGAATAAAACAAAAACGGCTTAATATTCAGTCAAATTTATTTTATCGCCTTCAAAGTAACATCCACCTGAAGTAACACACATGTTCAGCCTCTCGTCCATGCACCGCTGGTATGCCGCCAAAGTTAGGCCTTAAGCTCTCTCGTCGCATTCTGCTTGATGTCATCTAAAGACTGAAATCTATTTCCCCGAAGTGGTAATTTGAGTTTTGGGAAGAGAAAAAAGTCGCACGCAGCCACATCAGGGGAATACGGTGCTTGTTCAATGATATTTACTTGTTGTTTGGTCATATAATCAAACACAATTCTGGCCCGATGCGACGGCGCGTTATCATCGTGCAAAATTCACGAATTATCGGCCCACAATTCTGGCCGTTTACGACGTACCGCATCCCTCAAACGCCTCAAAACAGACAAGTAATACTCTTTATGCACTGTCTGGCCCGTTGGTAGACACACACTATTCCTTGATAACACTGGGGAACAAAATTAAAATATTTTTTTGTGACATGGACAAAACAAGGTGGTTATTATGTAAAACGTACCCAAACAGCTGGAAATAGCATTCGATTTTTTCTATCAGTCACGGTTTTCTTGCAATAAGGCATTTTATTTGCTGCTTATACTCGTAATGTATAAGGATATGTGTGTAAGAGTACTAATAAACACTCGAATAAACATTAATCTCAGAATGTTATTGTCGATGTTTTACGACGATATGTTGCTCCTGAAGTATCTCTTAACAATGTCCAGCAATAATCAGCAAGCAAATTGATACTCCATTTACTTTGATACCGTTTTTTCATAGCAGAAATGTCTTGGTGGAACCGCACTTTGACGGCGACAACTCCGAATGAATGTGCTGGTGCGTTATCGTGTTGAAAAAGCACCTTCTTTTTCGTCAAATGTGGCCGTGTCTCCTTCAAGTGTTTGTCGAAGCGGTCCAATAGCTTACTATAGTATTGTCCAGTGATCGTTTTTCATTTTTCTAATAAATTCACGAGGGTGACGCCGTTCGCATCCCAAAAAATCATCGCCATGACCTTTCCGGCCTATGGGACCGTCTTAGCCTTCTTTGCAGCAGATTAACCGGGATAATTCCATTGTTTTGATTGTTGCTTAGTTTCTGGTGTGTAATGATGAATCCAGGTTTCATCGACGGTCACAACTCGACGCAAAAACTCCTTCGGATTTCGCTTAAATTGCTCCAAACACTGATTCGAAGTTAACAGCCTCATCCGCCTGTTGTCCACCGAGAGCAATCGCGCCGACAATTTTTAAATCCATTGAACCAATATCTAACTGTGGTCATGGATGGCGAAGTGCCCCCATAAACAGCATCCAACTTTGCTTTTATTTCCTCGCATTTTTTTCCATCCAATAAAAAAGCGAATTACCGAACGATACTGCTCTTTTTCCATCTTAGCGAAAATCACAAAATACGTATTACTCGAATGGCTGCCAAATCCAAACTAACCTATCAATCAGTCTAAAATTTGTTGTGCCGTCATCTGATAGATGGCAGCACACGATGATAACATTAACTTTCCTCAGGAACGCCCTCTGTCGTCAAGCACGGGTACTTATTGAACCGCCCTCGTATTGCCTTTAAATCTGCACATATGGCCCATCCATCTCTAACAGAACTCGCATATTTTCATATGATTCCTTCATATGCACTGCGTGCGCTATTTATCACCATTGTGTACCAATACCGCTTTTAAACTAAGCTTAGAGGAATCAATGATCAGGCGCCAATCATTTGGATCATGTTCCTGTCCTAACGCGTCAAACAAATTGTTGACATCGGAGCAATATATCAACTCCCTTTCTTGACGGAAACAGTGCGTGAGGTCTTGTTGCCGTTTTCTGTAAAAACTAATGTTTACATCACCGTGGAGAAGATTCCATCCTTTTAATCTTGACGCTAATAGTTCTGTCTGGGATTTTGACAGATTTAATTCTCAAACTAGGTCGCCCCGTATAATCAAATGCGGCGCTGTTGAACATACTTGTAGAAGGATCGGAAAAACCAAGATTCTGGTGGAACTGGGACAGAAAGTTCATCACTATGCTTAACGGGCCGCAAAGCTGATGGTAAATTAAAATACTTAACAGTATGTTTCGATTTTGGTCCAATACCTTTAATATTTGTGAGGCAAAAATAGTAGTATGGTCCCTCGGTTCTCTCCAAACCATTGGTACCGCAAAGGGCATTTTACGATTGTCGCCTCTTAACCAACCTGTTAACAACGTTACACAAGTCTCACAACATATATGAGGGGCCCATAGTTTATCTTTGTCGCCAACTTTAATTCCAAAATAAAGTTCGTATGCTTTCAACACAAGGGGAGTAAAAGTACGTTTTTGGGATTTAAAAGTTAGCTCTCCGCACACATAAGAAAAACTGTTCGCACTATTTACACAATTCCTAGGCATTGCCCATAAAGCTAGTCTCGATCACAACAAACTAAAAACAACACACCGTTTTAACAAAAATTAACAGTACTCAGAACATCTCAGTACTCTTTAACACAGAAAACGTAACTGACTCGGCTGCTATGAGTCTACTAATAAACGCAATATGCTCTCTAAACATATAGCTCGCATATAATAAACAGAAATAGACAGGTCTTAACATTATATATGTGCGTCATCGCATAAACGCCGAGAAATGCTGCAATATGAGATGTTACGTATTATAATTCATAAAAGTAGATGTTACCAGATATCTGTGGGTGATAGAAAAATTCTGTTTGTAGATTTGATTTAAGGGTCTCAAAATACATAAGATACACCCAAAAATTGTCATGTCGCAAATTCTGTATTTATCATTGTAATTAAAGAAAACGGTCAATAAAACCTTCACTTTTGAGTGGCTTCGACTCTTCTTCGAAGCGCCACTCGGATGATTGTTGAGTTGTCTCCATGCCAAACTCGTAGACCCGTCTCATCACCAGTAATTGTGCGTCTCATGAAGGTCGGGTCATTATTCACTTCAGAAATCATGTCCTCAGCAACCGTCTTTTGACGTTGTTTTTGAAGGAAATTCAGGTCTTTGGGAACGAGCCGGGCTGCGACATGTCTCGTGCGTCAAATTTCTGCCACAATGTGCTGAGCGGTTCCATATGTAATGCCAAGTTCAGTAGCAGTTTCTCTTAAGCTGATATGACGATTTCCTAGCACCATTTCTTTCACTTTTTTGACGTTCTCGTCGGTATTTGACGTGGATGGGCGGCATATCCTCTACCACTGTACGACCAGTTTTAAAGCCTTTGTTTCATCCTTATGCCCGAGTTTTCGACATTTCAGACTTCCCAAAGGATTTTTGCAACATCCTCAATGCATCAGTACACGAAATTTCGTTAGCAACACAAAACTTCAGACAAACTGTTTGCTCAACAAAACTATCTAGGTATATCAAAAAGGTAACAAGTTGATTGATGTAAACAGCGCAATGCATTGACGCAAAAATATTGACACTTATGGTCAGGTGGTACTATTCTAAAAAAAAAATCACCGATTCTGCCATGCGCTGTTTGCTGAGATTAAAAATACCCGGAACTTTTTATCATAGGTATTTAATAATAACGGCGCTATCAATGTAGCGTACTGTAGCGTTTTTCTGGGTTATTTTGAGTGTGGATTAAAACACTGGATTGCACAAAAAGAAATGCACTAATTTATTTAACTTGATAAAACATTTATGTCTGAGTAATTCTTATGTCGCCATTGACTGCACTATACTCCACTCCGCTCTGCTACTCTACCGTATTCACTACTCTGCTTCTCTGCTACTCTGCTTCCATCTCCCAGCCGCCGAGTTATATAGTCCGCATCGTTGAGTCTAGAAGAATCGGGAGCCACATGGTGGCCTTCCCGAATAGTCGAGGTTGCTTCGCGTCGATCTAGAATACGATCCGCTGTCACGGACCTCACAGACGCCGCCAAGCGGCGTGTGCGGACGTGGTTCGCGTAAAAGCAGAGATCGGCCATGAAGCTCTGGCGAGTAGGAGACCCGCCCAACAGATGGTGCCAATAATATTTGTCACAGTACGTTAAAAACTTTTGCCACCTTTTCATCACCATCTGCAACCTAATATTAGGATCTACAACGACGGGGAAAAATACGGCTGGTGAGATTTGGCAGAACTAGAATTTTACCTCTTATTTTACAATTACTTTCAGGAACGCAAAGAAAAGCTGGAAGAATCATACTCGCTCCACCGATTCTTGTCAGATTACCGCGATTTGGTTTCGTGGATCAATGATATGAAAGCGATCATATCCGCTGATGAACTGGCCAAGGACGTGGCCGGGGCAGAAGCACTTCTGGAACGACATCAAGAGCATCGCGGCGAGATCGACGCCAGAGAGGACAGTTTCGCAGCTGTTGCGGAAGCTGGAAATAGTCTGCTGGAAAGAGATCACTATGCTAGTGACGAGGTCAAGGAGAAGCTGGCCATGCTTGAAAATGACAAAAAGTCTTTGATTGGTGAGTGTGGTTACATTTATTTAAAAATAATTCATTCGTGTTTGTACACAAAAGTGCTTACACACGTCTAGAAAAGTTTCGGCATTTGAACAATAAAATGTAATACAAGAATGACACATACACACAAAAGACATAAACAAAATCGAAAACAAATACTAAGTAATAAAACAAATAGTCAACGATTATGGAACAAAGTCGGCAAAATCATTATTTAAAAACTCGTTAATGCTGTAAAAAGCTTTCGTCACTAAATATATTTGCACAGTTCCTTTAAAAACAGTTCAGTTGAGTGTTTGACAAAACTTGGGCAGTGCATTAAAGAAGTTTACGACGAAATAATTACTTCCGTGTCTAGTTTTTGAAGGTATTGGGTATTCTAGTATCAATTCATTATTTAACCTTGAGTTATATTTGTGAATCTCTTTCGGAGTTCTATAGTCATGATAAAAGTTTTAACATGGATCTGAGATTCCAGTATACCGGGTGACAAGGAAAATTGGAAACGCTGTATTTTTTGGCAAATAAAGATGTCGCTCCAAGATTGCGACATGTTTAGTTAGTCATTAAGAGGCATTTCTGGAAAATTTAATGGGTTGTCGCTCCGTTCCTGTTTAACTGGAAGTGACCTTGACTTTCGTTTTTCAATTAAAAACATATATTTCCTTCCATAATCGTACTCTATGCAAAATTCCCATTCCAACGATGTTACGTTTTCGTATTAAAATGCCGGCGCTATATAGGAATTTGTGAATAACCTAAAGTCCGCCATATTGCTTACAAGACAAAAACATATTTTAAACTGTTAAGGTGGCGATGCGATCAAAATAAAAAAATATAATTTCTGGCAAAGTAATAAAAAAATGTTTTTATTTTCTATTTTATAATAGACTATCAAAACAACACCCTTTGATTGCTGCTAACTGAAATTATTAATATTATCCTCTTCTACCTTTTCTACTCGTACCTATTTTGCCCGACTATTTTAGTTATAAAGAAATTATTACAAAATTAATAACTGAAAAATGTTCAATATTCATACTAAAGCTAATACAGTTCAAAGCGTCCTCCATCATTTTCATTGGCCCTTATGGTTTCTGCATGTCCATTGTTTAAAAAATCTTCAGATAAGGTGTTAATTGCTGCTCTAAATCTAGCAATTCCTTCAAGTAGGCCCAAATGAAAAAGTCTAAAATGGTTACGTCAGCTCATCATGCGAGCCACCTAATAGGACCGTTCGTCCCTAGCCAACGATTCCGGAATATATCTGTTGAATATCTTGTAATTCTCTGCTGTTGTGGGCGGGCGCCCCATCTTGTTGAAGTACAACATCCCTATTGTCAGCCAGGGGCAAATCACCAATAAAATCTTCTATTTCATTTTGCAAAAAGTTAAGATAATCTCCCCCATTTATGGGTCCATAAAAAAATATAGGTCCACACGTTCACTCCCAAACGGTTCTGAAAGGCCGCTCCTCTCATCAAACGTGGATTTTCAGTTGCTCAGTAACGTGTATTATTTTTATTAAATAACTCAAGATTCATCAGACCACAAAATATGATAATGAAAATTTCTGTCTTCTTGAAGTTGAGCACGAAACCAGCTACTAGGCCAATCTCCTTGAAAATCATTTTCATATAAGTGATAGTGTACCTGATATTTATGTGAGTGGTATCCATTTTTCTTCAAAATCTGCCTAGCTTAACGATTTACATTTGTTGCTTGTTCCAGTTGCCTAGTAGATACCGTTGGGTCAAAGTGAACACATGCCAAAACATTTATCTTCGCTTCTTCACTTACCTCTTCATCACCATTGACATCCCCATTCCTAAACTTTGCCTCTAACTTGAAAAAGTATGGATGTCTTTTATTAGGATAACGCTGAGCGTACAAAGCAATTTCTAGAACTTTTCCTGCATCCACCGAATATTAAAAGCATATCAACTTGCTCGTTTCTTGTAAAACTCATAGGAAAAAAATACTGAAGGTTCACCTTTTATGAAATAGGAATAAGTGAAAATAAATTTAAGTGAAACGAAGATTGCCAAAACGTCAAAGAACTAAACAATAATGGGTACGCTATGAATTAACTTTCATTTATTTTAGACAGCCTACTATTCTTTTCAAATAATTGCTATTTGAAATCATCCTAGATTTTCATAGCCCCCTTACTTTCTTGCTAGGATTGGTAGCTTCTATAAAATAGTTGTAATTTTAATTTGTTACTAAACCGATAGTAGCTTACAGAACATAATTGGAAATGCGTTTTCATTTAGAACCAATAATAAAAAAACTACTTTTTGTTTTGTAAAACCTATATGTTATGGAGGTTGATTCACAAATTATTTTATGCAGCTGTCATTTGACAACAAAAGTAATACTTGTTATAGATCATTCAATAGAGAACAAGGTCCTACTTGAAATCTGTCGGAAATCCTGTGTTGAAGATGTGGATTCCTGATTTTTTATTCAAATAAGTATACTAACACTAAACACACATAATTACAAGCTTTCATTTATCTAGTCAGTTTTAATAGACATTTGATGATCACGCCACATTGACAGTTTAAAATATTTGTTTGTCTTCTAAGCAATATAGCGAATTTTAGGTTATTCATAAATTCCTTTATAGCGCCGTCATTTTAAAACGAAAATGTCACTTGTGACACATCGTTGGAAAGGGAATTTTGCATAGTGCACGATTATGGAAGAAAATATATTGGTTTAAATTTAAAAAGCGAAAGTCAATGTCACTTCCGGTTAAACCGGATGGGAAGGGTAACCCATTCAACTTTCCAGAAATGCCTCTCGATGTCTAACTAAACATGTCCCAATTTTGGAGCGATATCTTTATTGGCCAAAAAAATACAGCGTGTTTCCAATTTTCATTGTCACCCGGTATATTTGTTTGTTTCAGATTTATTTAGCATTAATGCTACAGTGTACATAATATCCATATTACATAGTATATCACAAAATATCATGTCTTCAAGACTACATATTTTGTTCAATACAATAAAATTTTCTAAGTGATTTGGTAGAAGATGATTTTTCAACTTTAATGAAAATGAAAACCAAGTAGGCTATGAAATTTTTAATATTTAACCGTTGTAGTTCTTTCAGCATAAAAATTATTCTAGTATATTTATTTTTATTTAAGATGATTCTCATAGCTTTATTTTGTAATATTTGTAATTTTGAAAATACAGTTTCATTTGCAGTGAACAAAATTGTCGAACAATATAACAAATGAGGAAGAATGATAGTGTTCTACACAATTTTTTTAGAATAAACGCTTAGGCTATTCGAAATTCTGTAAAAGTAATTTATTTTCTTGCATATTTTTGAAATAATATATTCATAGTGCCCTTCAAATTTTAATTTACTGTCTACGTAGATTAATTGTAAGATTTATCATATTTTGATCTAAAGATTTTCCTATTAGTATATATTTTGTTTTGTTTGTGTTTAGTTTAAGTTTATTTACATTTAAGCAATTTATTACGTTCTTCATATCATTATTTAACAGCTCTATTGCAGTTTCAATGTCTTTATTTGATATTTTTATATATATATATATATATATATATATATATATCATCAGCAAATAGTTGAATTTTGCAGTGTTGTAAAATATCAGGAATATCGTTAATATATAAAATAAATAGTAATGGACCTAATTTGCTACCCTGTGGTACACCTACCGAAATGTTTTTAATGTTTGATAATATATTGCCAATTTTAGTTCTTTGACTTCTATTAATTAAATAATTTTGTATAGCAATTTCCTTAACAATTTCTCCCTGTCAATAGTCTTAAATGCTCTCTTGAAATCTAAGAACAATGTTACTGTAAACTTTTTATCATCCATATCTCACCTCCATTCTTCTACTGCCATTTGAATTGCTGTTTCAGTAGAATATTTTTTTCTGAATCCTGCTTGAAATTTTGTCAATATCTTATTTTCTTCAATATATTCAATGACTTGTTCATATATGATTCATTCTAAGAGCTTCTTGACATCTGGCAGTACATTAATTGGCCACATGTTTGTATCTAACTCAGAATGTTGCACTTTTGGAACAGGAGTAATTGTAGAACATTTTAATTTTGAAGGAAATTCGCCATACACATAATATGCTTGGTACAGTTAAAATTTGCTATCTTGCAACACGGTCTAAAATATAAGCTTGCTATTATTCTCAAGATTCAATCCATCGCATTTTGACCAAGAATTTAGGCATGAGAAAGACGTGTTTATGGTTTCTTTCGCACAATCTCACGGATGACCAAAAATTGTTCTACAACATTGTGAATGACAACATTGTGACTGGTGACGAAACGTGGTGTTTTCAATACGATCCCGAACCCAAGCGTCAAAGTGCCTAATGGAAGCACCCAAGCGAGCCAAATCCGAAAACAGCCGAAAAAAGACCAAGTGATGTTGATTTGTTTCTACGATTCGAAGGGAATTCACAAAGAATTCGTTCCACCGGGCCAAACGATTGATGCTGTTTTATCATGGTTTTTTGAGGCGTTTGCTATTGCGTATTCGTCGTGTTCGGTCAGAATATCGCGAAGGAGGAAGCTGGCGCTCGTTGCACGATAATGCACCATCTCATTGATCGACGCTTGTGTCCGATTTTTTGACAAAAAATTGTATTTCGACCATCAACCACTCCTCATATTCTCCTGATATGGCACCGTGTGACTATTTTCTGTTCGGTATACTATATTTGGAAATGAAGGGACAGCGGTGTGCAGACGTAGTTGCTATCCAAAAGGTGTCGACGACCATTTTGAAGAACATCCCAGTCAATGAGCTAGAAATCATCATTCGAAAATCTGTTGGTCCGTGCATATCGCTGTATTAACTCTGAAGGAGACTATTTTGAATAAAATAATTCGATTATCCGAAACAAAAAATGTTTGCTCATTTTTTCTTTGTACTGTTTGCGACAGACCTTGTATTTTAAGCCTACGAGAATTTGTGATAGATACATTTGTAAATGTGCCATTATGAAATGATTGTTCACAGTCTGTACTTAAATTATTTAGTTTTCGTGAAAAAATCCCATTGATATACCTGCAACAGCTGTGAAAATGCCAAACCCCTTTTTAATACGTAGTTTAGAAATAAGGCCTTACAGTCTTTTTAGTGGATTTCTTTGAAACAGGATTGTTCAATGTATCCTAAATATATAGTTTCATCTTTTTCGTGCATTGGCATTCCCGTTTTTAAAGTTTGTCGGGTCACTATTTTTCCAAAAACATCAAATAAATACAAAATTAGACAATACTTAGATGGTTCAACGTTCCACAATACCTATGACACTTTTTTCTGAACAGATTCAAGTAATCGTTGATATGATAATTTTACATTATTTGATTTATCAAATTACCACTCCCCATATTCTCCTGATATATCACTGTGTTACTATTTTCTGTTCGGTAAACTACATATGGTCATAAATGGACAGCGGTATGCCGACGTAGAGGCCACCCAAAAGGTCGACGACTATTTTGAAGCACATCGCGGTCAATCACCTAAAATCATCATTCGAAAATCTTTAGGTCGGTGCAAAAAATATTTATTCGTTTATCTTTGTCCTGTTTACTTTGCGACAAACCTTGTAGATGCAATATTACTTGCTTGGTTTTTGGGTTGTTAGGCCGTCAGAAGATGTTCACAGTTTGGAGTCCTGTGAGCTCAGTAGTTCTTCTGAAGATGCCAACCACTCGTGTTGGCGAAACGAAACGTTTTACGACGGCTTAACAACCAAATAGTATTGGATGATGGCCGCGAAAGCCTTTCTTTCGCATTTCATTCCTTGTACATACACTTTACAGGTTCTCGGTGGTGAGAGCCAATATTACTCTTCTTAAAACCTTTTTAAAACTTTCAGCCTTGTGGGACGAGCGTCGTATCTTGTACGAACAATGCATGGACCTACAGTTATTCTACCGAGACACTGAACAGGCTGATACATGGATGGCGAAACGTGAAGCGTTCCTAGCTAACGAAGACCTGGGCGATTCATTGGATTCGGTCGAATCTCTGATGAAAAAACACGAAGATTTCGAGAAAAGTCTGGCTGCGCATGAAGAGAAGATTAAAGCATTGGACGAATTCGCTACGAAGTTGATCGACGGAGAACACTATGCTGCTGACGACGTTGCACAGAGAAGAGCGATGGTGAGTTTTATTGCAATTTTTCATCACTAACCACAAGAATCGTAAAGAAACAACAACAGCTGTAATCATCTCCTAACTCGACCACTGTATTATCTCTCAACATTCTCCATAGGAGGATGGTAAAAGGGCCTCAATCTTTGCGTGCGTACAGCTGAATTATGCCGGAATAGGTTCAGATTGTAGAGGTGATGGACTTTTTTTGACTAAATTAGCAACAATTTTTTCTTTAGTTTCCTCATATACGTCGTCGTCAAGCAGATGTAAGACAGAGACCTCATATGTGAAATACCATAAATGTTGGCAGAACTAAAGCTGCTTTTGAAATTGTTTTCTCAGTTTTTTCGTAAGCTTTTATTGCCTTTAGAAAGCATAAATCCTGGTAAGGTGCTTTTACCGCTAACGTGCATTGAAACCACTGTTTCACGTATGTTGTCGCGATGAACAGGCAGATATCTAACAAAGCTAGCTGCCTTATCTCTATTAGAAAGTTTGAGCTGGGAACTTCGTAGCTTGATGGAATCTTCAATTTCTTCTATTTCTTCTATTAATTCAACTCCATTGGTCAATTGATGTCGATAAAATTCTAGCCGCTTTTCAGTCTCTGAAATATTCAGGCATGATAGCTTTTCAGTACAAATATGTCTTTTCTCGTATTCCACACTTTTCCAGCTCTCGCGAAACTTTTAAACATTGGAATGTTAGGGCTTGTAGTCACTTGGTCGATCTTCGATTGAACCACGCCTTTAAACACCAATTCACAGACGTGATGGCGGTAAGCAAAAAGAAGCATTTTTTTATTAAGTTTCTGTTCTAGATACACGCAGACACCGTCAATGCAGCAGTAGTATCACAACAGAGAATCTGAACTTTATCTTCAAGATTCCGGTCAATAATAGCATCCTAAACTGCCTGAGCCTACTCGCTGCCTGAAGAGTTATCCAATTTAGGCTCAGCGATAAGTTTCTCTTTATTTTCATACGTTCTAACAATCGGTAGACGCTCTTCTTTAGACTTGACTTTGAAATGACCTTGGAGGTGAGGTTCAAGGCCAAATCCAAGATCACCGTTCACTCTCTCGTTAAAATTTACCAAAGACCTGACCTTGATAGTTGTTTTCATTACCAATCCTGTGAGATTTATAGAGGTTTTTCTAGGAGAGCACACATTTGATATTTAGATAACACGCTGTCTTTGTACAATTTGTATTTGAACGTAAAATTTTTCGCTGTTTCGATTTCCGGCATCAAAGCTAGTAATTTTTCTTAAAAAAGTTAAGTTGACTTTGAAATAACATTGAAGGTGAATGATAAGGTCACATCGAAGGTCAGCGTTCACTTCCTCGTTAAAATTTATCAAAGACCTGACGTTTATATTTAGTTTCATCGCTCATCTTGTGGGATTTATAGAGGTTTTCCTCGCAGCACACATTTGATTTTCATTTGACCTTTAGTCATCTTGACCTTGGACTTTAATAAGTGTTTGAACGTGAAATTTTCTCTGTTCATTCGATTGCCGCCATCATTCTATTTGAAAAAATAAAGTTGACCATGCACTAACCAGGATCAAATCAAGGTCACCGTTGAATTGCTTGCTGAAAGTTACTAAAGACCTGGCCTTAATCTTTTCCAAAAATACCTCTCCCGAGAGAATACAGAGCCGTTCCGGGGCTTTCCTGTCATGCTGTATAACTAAACTAAACGAGGGATGTCTTTTAAGTTTTGCATATAGAACCTTAGTAGGTCGCGCGGATCGAACGTCAGTACTCAATCTTAACCTCACTCTTTAGTAAACTTAAATTCAAAGTTTCACAACAATATGTGCAGTTTTCTCACTACAGTGAATTTTTAAGTGTCACCAAGTCATTAGAAAAATGGAACTCAACCGAGAACATTTTCGCGCCATAATTTATTACAACTTTCAGAGACAATTATCGCAACAAGAATGCCTTGCTGAGTTGCTGTCTGTTTTCGGAAACGAAGCGCCACATCAGTCGACAATTTCCCGTTGGTATGGAGAATTCAAACGTGGACGGGCGAGTCTTAGCGACGATCCCAGGGTGGGTGCACCAAAAACTGCAGTCACCCAGGAAAACATCGATGCTGTGCGCAAACTCATCATTGAAGATAGACATGTGACATATCGCGAGATTGAGGCGTCCTTGAAGATCTCAAAGACCTCAATTCAAAAAAATTTGCATAAGAATTAGGAGTAAGAAAATTATTTTCTTGTTCGATACCCCACCTGATGACTGAAGAGCAGAAAGCAGCCAGGGTCAAAAAACGCTTGACCGTTTCAATTCCGGAAACTCAAAAAATGTGTACAGCATTGTTAGTGGTGATGAATCGTGGATTTACTGTTATGAACCAGAAAACAAACGACAGTCGGCTGTTTGGGTGTTCCAAGGTGAAGAAAAGCCAACAAAAGTAATCCGTTCTCGAAGTGTTTCGAAAAAGATGGTCGCGACATTTGTGTCAAAAGCGGGTCATATTGCAACAATTCCTCTTGAGCAAAGAACTGTTACTGCGGATTGGTATACCACCATTTGTTTGCCAAGAGTCATCACCGAGCTTCGAAAAATCAAAACCGAAGGAAGAATAATCCTCCACCAAGACAATGCAAACTCGCACACAGCCCAAAAAACAAGCCAGTATTTAACGGAAGAAAACGTGGAATAATTGGACCATCCTCCATATAGTCCCGATATAAGTCCTAACGATTTCTTTACTTTCCCGAAAATTAAAAACAGACTGCGTGGTCAAAGGTTCCAGACACCAGAAGAAGCAGTTGACGCATTTAAAAATGCCGTTTTGGATCTGCCGAGTGGAATAAGTGCTTCGAAAATTGATTCGAGCGCATGCAGATGTGTATTAATCTTCGTGGAGTATACTTCGAAAAACAATAGTCATTTAAAACTACCTACCGGGTTGTTTTATTTCCATATGAAAAACTTAAATCCCTTCTACAAGAGAGAAATTACTTTACAGGGTGTCTCGAATGCTTTCATATTAACCCTAGAAAGATAATAACTATCCAGGAGTCGTATGAAAAATTAGGGTTGCTAATTCAAAGCATTATCTTTCTGACGTACATTACAATTTAAAATAACATAAAAATACTACTCCAAGAAATAAGATGAAAATTTAGCGAAGTTAAACTTTTATTTAAAAATGACAAACAAAAGATGTATACTGCTTTGCAAATCAACAAAATACTTAGTTTATTTTCTAAACAAACATTTGAAGTGACTTCTAGTCTTTATATCTGAATATCTGGCAAATTTTAACTCAATTTAATTTTCCATTGAAACTTTTACTTTTCGATGTAAAATGCACCTTATTTCACAAGTCAGTTTTATGATCTCCACAAACAAGCTTTGCACTTCGTGCATGGTAACTTTGACATTCTGCGGATTTTGGATGAATATTATGTGTAGTAGTAGTGATGGTGGGGGAGCGAACTCTAAGCCACCTTTGACCTTTTTGTGGACCACATTTACCAACACTGTACTACCTCCCATTCTTATCTACTGATTGTTGAACTCGTTGTCCCAAGCCCTCAGAAGGTGCTCATCGCTATAAAACCGTTTTCCTTTTAGCTTCATTTTCACATGTGGAAACAGTGCAAGATCTGGACTGTAAGGAGGATGCTCAATAAGTTTCAGTCCAGTAGTGGTCAAATACTCGGTTCAGACTTTGGCGCGGTGAGCTGGAGCGTTGTCATGGTGGAAGTACCAAGTGTCCATTCTTGACTTTGGCCCGAGGTTTTTCATAGGCTCTATGATTTTAGGCAGGCACTGTTCGACAGGCTTCAGAATCCCGCTCGATTTGAAAATAGAGCTATCGTTTTTTTCTTAACAGATCGGGATTTTCTGACAGCTAAGGGTATGTCCTCATCATCAAAGACTCAAACGTTGTTTTGAGCCTTGGCTTTCACATCGTAATAATTGAACCAAGTCTCGGCGCCTGTCACACTGCTGTTCACATATGGAGATTGCCCCTTATCAAACATTTTCAGCATCTTTCGGTACCAAGTCGTACGACGAGTCTTCTGCTCTTCTGTCAGATTATGCTGTACCCAGAAAGAACAAAGTTTCCTTACGTGTAAATGGTCATGCAGAATTGATTGAATTGCTGGTGCATGAAAGTGTAAGATTTCCTCTATCTGTTGGTATGTCACTCTCCGGTCTTGTCAAGCATTTTCCTCACAGCAGTAATGCTTTCCTCTGTTACTGACGTTCGCGGCTTTCCTCCTTTCTCAACGTCGTCCAGAGTGAAATTGCCCCTTTGGAATTCTCTGTACCACCTGATTATAGTGGTACGATGAGGACAATTATTCTTTAGTGCAAGCGTCATTTCTTCTATGCACTTTTCTATGCTTAAACCACGCGTAAAGTTATACCGTAAAACTGCCCTTTTCTCACTAAGTGACCACGATCCCATAGTCCACATTTTACACTGTCAATACGAATGAACAACTAAATCAACAGACGTGCTGCTGACGGCTACTATGCTATCATGGACATGTCTCAACATGCAGTAACATGCAGCCTCCTGCGTCCGTTTTTTAGTACCCTTTGTATCGTTGGGGCGTAAGTCTCGCTATCTTTCTAGGGTTAAGTAAAAATAGGCGGTGAATAAATTGAAAACCTGTCAGTATAACATTTTTGTTGTAACGCAACTATGACGAAGCGAAAATTCCGAAGTATCAGATTGGGCGATTGAATGGATGATCAAATTGCGTTTTTATAATTCTTTGACGTTCCATTTCAGTTACTGGAACGGCGCCAGATTCTGAAAGAAAGGTCCGGCATTCGGCGCGCCTTGCTAGAGGACGCTTACAAACTACAACAGTTTGAACGAGATTGTGATGAGACAAAGGGATGGATCAACGAGAAGCTCAAGTTCGCGACCGATGAAAGCTATCTCGATCCGACTAATCTTGGCGGAAAGGTGCAGAAACATCAGAATTTCGAGCAGGAGCTAAACGCTAACAAATCGAGGATGGAAGAGATTACATCCACTGGCCAGGAGTTGATTGAAGCAAAACATTATGCCTCACGTGAGTTTTCTTCTTACCAATTCAAAATAATAATAATTTATTCACATCAATTACAAATTGTGAACAAATTGGTATTAAACATCGAATATCTTATCAACTAGTATAGGGTGTGCCATAATATACTCAGTGACATTCGAAGCGTTACACCCAGAAAAAATTAATTCTTGTTTTTTTTGGAAACATAATGACTATATTTAAAGCATGCTGTGGCAACAATGTCTACGTTATAACTTTGTTTTTGTTTACCTTGGTTAAAATGTTATCTCTTAGTTTTTGTGAAGAAAGCAGTCTTTGAGATCTGAATAGTACAGATATTTTTAGTTATTGCCCTTTCATTTACTAGTGTTAAGCATAACAGATCGGGTGTATACGGGGGGTGCGGCAGCACTTCATAACGCAATTCATGCAGTTTGGCGGCGACAACTCCGGATGAATGTGCTGGTGCCTTATCGTGGTGAAACAAGACCTTCTTTTCGTCAAATGTGGGCGTGTCTCCTCCAATTTTTTGTCGAAGCGGTCCAATAACTCACTATAGTATTGTCCAGTGACCGTTCTTCTTTTTTCAAAAAAATCCATGAGGGTGACGCCGTTCGCATCCCAAAAAATCGTCGCCGTGACCTTTCCGGCCGATGGGACCGTCTGCGCCTTCTTTGGAGCAGATTCACCGTCGATTGATAGATGACAGCACATGATGAGAACGTTAACTTACCTCAGGAACGCCCTCTGTCGTGAAACACGGGCACTTATTGAACCGCCCTCGTATTCGTACACTCTGTCGTCAATGTTTGAACTGGAGCAGAGAACGTCATCATTGGGACGCAGAATGGCACAGTGTCATCTTTAGACATGTACACAGGACTGTTGGAGTAATGGTTTGGGGGCTATTGCCTATGGTAACCGATCACACCTTCTCTTTGTTCAAGGCAATATGACTGCTGCGCGTTATGTTGATGAAACCACTGACAAACCACTTTACTGTCGTATCTAGAGGGCCGTCCATACGTCCTTTTTCAGCAAGACAACGCACGTTCCCATATTGCTCGTCGTACTACGGACTTTCTTCAAGAAGCAGGCATTAATGTTTTGCCGTGGCCACCCCGTTCACTGGATTTAAATCCCATCGAACATGTGTGGGATATGATGGGGAGGAGACTATCCACTTTGCACAATCCGTTACAGACTCTGCAACAGCTAATCCACGACGTTCGAGTTGTCTGGAATGAGGTGCCACAACCAGACATCGATCATCTCATTTTGTCGATGCCTAGACGTATACAGGAGTGTATTCAGCTGCGGGTCGCCCAACGCATTATTTTTATTCTTAATGCTTGCCAATAATTCTTGATGTAAGACTACCTCATTGCCAAAAAATCAATTTGAAGAATTTATTTTTCTTGGTGTAACACTTCTAATGTCACTGAGTATGTCTTTCCTACCGACTGCGAATGATTTCGTACGAAATATATTACAAAAATTTATTTACGTGGCAGTCAGGATTGATAAATTGGGAACTTAATTCACAAAATTTGGTACCGAATTATGAACAAAATTTTGTATCGTGGCAGATGGCCTTCTGAAATTCTGAGAACACGAAATCTTAGGAATAAGGATTGAATGATGACATTTCCCAGGATATTTCCTTGAAGGTCAGCGTAATGTTTATGAATACACAATTTCTTTTAATAAAAGTGAAGTTCGTTTGTATTACTTCTTGTGCGCGAGCATCCAACTACAGCATATAGTTGCTTGATGGATAACACGTTATTCAATGAATATTGTATTTTGCAGCTCGCATCCAATCTCGTATGGAGGAAATTGTCAACTTGTGGGAGACCCTTGTGCAAGCGACTGATAAAAAGAACTCAAAATTACAGGAGGCTCTTCAGCAGCAACAGTTTAATCGAACTATAGAGGATATCGAATTGTGGCTATCGGAAATCGAAGGGCAACTGATGTCCGAAGATTATGGCAAGGTAATGGCAATTTAACCCTTTATGTATCGCCCAACTAACAAAGTGGCGCTATAAATGTTTGGTAAAAGTACTGCCAAGCCGACAAAGCGCTCTTTTATTGTGGCCTGAACACCAAAATGCTGGCTTAATGTTGTGTAAAATGCAAATTTGCTTCCTGCAGCATATTTGCTCTAAAATGAGGTGTCTAAAACATTCTTGTAACATACTTACGCAGCACCTTACAGAATAAATTTTTAACTGTTGCAAAAACGTTTATACAACTATTTTATACGGCATATTAGCTCGGTAGTCAAAATAGTTGGGGCATCCATAGTAACCTTTATACAACAAAATTACTACTTTAGCCAATAAGTTGCTTCCAACGGACACATTTATACAACTATCGTTTAGTTAAGGCTATACATCTGCAACAATATCACAACTATTATGGTACAAAATTACTGTGCTCAGCATACATTTGTTACTTAATATTCAGGGTGTTCAAAAAATAGATGGAGATATTTTAGAGGGATATTCCTTGCTAATAAATATGAAAAAAAGTTTCTATAAACATGGGTCCGGAAATGCAGGGTTTTCAAGATATAGGGTGATATTTAAAAAAAATATTAATATCTTGAAAAATTGTGGAAATTTGGCAGTATTATTTGATGTATTAAGAGATTAAAATTATTAGCTCCAGTGGCGTCCCAGGGGCACCTTAGCGAATATTAGTGGTAAAAAAATGTACGCTACTGTCTTTTTTGTAAATTTAATATTTATTGTTTGATTAAGCATCTAAAAATACAACTTATTTGCCTCTCGTATTTTTTGCACTGGACATAATTGGATTATTAATTTTTGCTAAAAAAATCAAGCGCATTGGAAAACAAAAAATCAAGAAAATATCTAGAACAGGGTGTTATCGTAACTTTTCCAATAGGTGCCATGACGTACAGTACACTACAATAAATGTTGGAAGTGTCCACCATCCATTTCCGTACAGCTTTTCACTCGACGAATCATTGAACGACGAACTCTAGCTAAAATCAAGGTCTATTTTTTATTGCTTTGCAAGCATTTACGATTTTATTTCTTAATTCTTCTATTTTTTCTATGGGAGTAGCGTAAACCATCGTCTTAAAATGTCCTCATAAATGAACATCTATTGGATTTAAGTCAGGGGAGCGAGGTGGCCAGTGAATTGGCCCACCTCTTCCAACTCAATTTTCACCAAAGGTGTTATTCAGATGAGTTCTAACAGGTATACTAAAATGAGGAGTATAAAAGTTATTTGATCAAGTACATTTAGAGGAACTTGTTCTAGCAATATGGGCAATTCTTGTTGAAGAAACTCTAAATAAGATTCGCCATTTAATCTTAAAGGTAAAAAGAAAGGACTAATTAAATGGTCACCAACAATATCTATCTACACATTTAAAGGAAATTGTTCCTGATGGCGACATTTTACGTAAGCAGGAGTATTTTCGTCACTCCATGCATGAGTGTTATGGTAATTAACAATACCATCCCGCAGAAATCCTGCTTCGTCCGTAAAAAGTGTGGTCTTATTAAAATTCCTATTATTATTAACCTTTTGGTAATACCATTTGTAAAACTGTAAACGAGGTAGAAAATCTCTTCACACGTTGGACATGATAGCGATACAAAAAAGAGAATCTGCCACATAGTGCTGTTGGAATGATTACCCCCTAATCTAATAGCTATAGTCCGGGAACTGATACCAGGATTTTGTTCCACGGCACGTAAAACTGCCTTGTCAAACTCAGGCGTTCTTACGGACCTGGGCCGGCCTCTATCATTGGTGGGAATGGCAAAACTTCCTAAATAACATTATTGTCAAAAAAATCTCAATAAAGAAATAAGAAAATTGACCTCTTTCCCGTAATCTACGATCTACACTTTCAAAGGTTTAACTATCTGGAAGTTTCCGCTGGGGAAACGCTTATTCATACGCGCTTTGCTACATAACTGTTGCAGTTGCATACATTGCATGCATGCATATCTACCATTCCCTCAAAAGTGTAATTTTCCATCACAAAAATCAAGACAAAAACTTTTTAGAGAAATTTCGAAGAGAAAATTACGTGAATAATTATTTGCTAAAAGAACTGACACGCAAATGTCAAAATTCCATGCAGAAATGATTTTTTGTTTTAACAGGTACTTGTGATTTTCTTAGCAAAAATTGATAAACCAATTTTGTCCAGTGACATGCAATAAAACCGATTTTATATTTTTTTTTCTGGAAAACGAAGTGAGATACGAAAAAAATACAAGAGGCAGATGCTTAGTCAGACAATATTTGAGCTGATTCAGTCTTTTTATTTGGAGAAACAATCTTTTTTTAATGTTTTTCGCATCATTTTAGAATTATTGCTGTTGATCGTATTATCATAGTATTTTTTCTTTTCGCTCCTGAGACCTGCGTTACACTCACTTCTTGATTTTGTATATTTCTGTAGTCATCTCGCTTTAATTTAGACAGCTTGGATATCTGTGAAAACCAGGGTGTTGCGTTCACTCTTTCATATGCTATTTTCCTTATATATCATATATATTTATATTTTTCATATATACGAGTATATACGTCAAAAAATTCTATAAATCGATCGACACTTGCACTTGGAGATCGCTAATAAATACACAGATTCTAATTTTTTGTATCCTTATTTCCAGATTAATGTACAACCATTGATATTCAATACCTTCAATGTTCTGTGTTTTGACTTCAATGCTAAATAGTGTATATACTAATATACACCACAATACAAATTTTTCACACTGCTGATACAAACGATCTTTTCTTTTAGGATTTGACGTCTGTGCAAAACTTACAGAAAAAGCATGCTCTTCTCGAGTCCGACGTAGTCTCTCACCAAGACAGAATCGAAGCCATAACATCAACTGCCAGACAGTTTGTCGAACGTGGACACTTTGATGCTGATACAATTGCACATAAGCAAAAGATACTAGCCGACAGGTAATGTATGATGGAAGAATGTGCTATTATGGCACTTCAAATGGGCAATATTTTACTGCATTATTTAGTTACTATATTACGACATATATTTTACATTATCGACCTGTTTTCAGATTGCCTACTTATGCAGAGATGCTGGCGATTCACTTTTTCCACTTTTTCTTACTTTTTTTATTCATCTCGCTTTTACTTACTTTTCAGTGGAAACAATCACTTTTCTCACTATTTTTGCTCTCGCTGTATATACCTGAGTCTTCAAACTTCCTGCTCTAGAACCCCACATAATTGTGAAGGCGTTGCGTCTACACATGCCAAAACGTTGACTTCTCCCGAATCGCGTTTTTCCTTATTATACGTTGTTGGTCGGGGCCGCTCCATGCTCTACTGAATTTTTCTTAATTACGGAAAACATTAAAAGACCAGGTTGTCTTCTTTCTGGATATCTATAAGTTATAGTGGTATTAAAAAAACAAACCCACTTACATTAAAAGGTGAATAAATATTTAAATAAACCTAGTAAACACTAGTTTTCATTGCTCTGTATAAAGCAACCTTACATGACATATTTTTCAAAATGTAGATAATATTCAGCCATCGTAAAAAATATGATATTTTAGATAAAATATAAATTTTGCAAGTTTTGAAAAGGGCTTAGCAAATAATCATTCCATTGTTCTACTAATCACGACCTACTAATATATTTGTCAAGAGACAAAAAAGGTGATAACCACTGGGCGAAATGTCGGGAGAATATGGCGGGTGCGGTAACGGTTCCCAGCCGAGTTCAGAAATTTTTTCTCGGGTCACTTTTGCGGTATGAGGCTTGGCGTTATCCTGCAAGAATATCACTTTCTTCCGATTGATCAGGGACGGCTGTTTCTGGATGAGTGCTGCTTGTACTCGTTGACGCTGGTCACAATACAAGTTAGCAGTGATGGTTTGACCCCTTTCCAAAAACTCATAATGAACAATTCCAGTTGCTGTCCACCAAACACACGACAAAACCTTGTTTGGGTGCAAGGAAGCCTTGAGCGTGTGTGGTACCGAATCAGTAGGCGACAACCAATGATACGACCGCTTAGAATTCGAATATAAGATCCATTTTTCGTCGCAGGTTAATGACCGATTAAGAAATGGTTCATTAGCGTTGCGTGAAATGTTTGCTGAACAAATGGTAAGACGACTTAATTTGTTATCATTTGTCAGTTCATGTGGGACCCATTTGCTTAACTTCCACGTCTTTCCTAGCTGATGAAGATGCAAACGAATAGTTTCAGGACTCACTCTGAACATTTCTGCAAGTTCTTGACACGTTGTCCTGGAATTTGCATCCGCAGCCTGTCGAGGATCCTCGTTGTTCATGATTTTTGGTCTCCCTGAGCGCGGTTCATCTCTCAAACTATCGATCATCAACATCCATGGCAATGTGCGATTTACAGCAACCTCACGAACTTATTTGGTTACCTGATACTTTACTTCAAATTATGAACTTTATATTTATTATTTAAAATACATGTGTTATATATTTTTGTAAAGCTTAAAAAATATACAGGGTGTCCAGTTAAAAAACCTAAGTTTGATTTATAACTAAAAATTGACATCCCATAGAAAAAATCTGGCTACATCACTGTGCTTTGCGATATGTGAAACGATAACAGAGATACAAAGGGGCTCCCAAAAAGCAATATTTTCAATTTCGCCCTTTATCCCTGAAACAAAGCGGGCTATGAAAATATTGTTTAAACCATCTTTCTTTCCACAAAAAAAATAGCGCAGTATTGCGAAAACCGCAACTTTCTATCTTTACTAGTTTAGTGAGATTCCCCGAAATATCGTCGAAAATGGGACACCCAGTACAATATATTGCAAATTCAACTAGTTTCACTGTACCCCTTGTCCATTAGGATTTATGTAGTACAGTACGCAAAACTTAAAATTGATTTTGTTATTAGATATGCTGCCTTACAAACGCCAATGGCCATCAGGAAACAAAGGTTATTAGACTCACTGCAGGTGCAACAGCTTTTCCGAGATGTTGAGGATGAAGAAGCGTGGATTAGAGAAAAGGAACCTATTGCTGCCAGTACTAATAGAGGTAACTGCACTCTTTATGATGTTAGTAATTAGTATTTGTGGGGTGAGTTGGACCATCCCCCAGCTCCACTTCCAGACCTCGCTCAACACTACCTCACTTTATGGGACTCCACTGTCTGGCCGATTTAAACCACATCTGAAAACTTTCCCACCACGGATTTATCGAAAACCACTGATTAAAATAAAAAACGCCCAGACACGTCAAAAGATTTGTCAAGCAGGACAACTTTTTAACCAAAAACTATTTCACCCCCTTTCATCCTTTGCCTCCCAGGGTCATCACCTTAAAAATTTTAAATGACAAAGGGTATCTAGTAACAGCTTGTTTGAAAGGTCTTTCAAAGTCTTTTATTTTGACCTTTGATTTTTTTAAATCAGTCGATTCGTGTCCAAGAAAATTAGCAAAACAAAAACACACGAAAATATCACTTTTTATTTTAATAAGTGTTCAAAATGTTGCCCGTTATTGCTCAATCAGGCGATGTTCAAATTCCTTACGGACATTTTCAAAAACATGTTGTGGGATATCATGGCAGGATTCGATGATGAGTTCACGAAGTTCATCTAAACTCTCAGGTTGGAGAGTAAATACAATATATTTCGAATGGCCCCATAGAACAAAGTGTGATGGCGTCAAATCAGGAGATCTAGCAGGTCATTCTATAGGCCTTCTCCGCCCTATCCATTTGTCTGGAAACTCATCGTCTAGCCCAGAGTTCCCCAAACTTTTTTGTGTCGTAGACCCCTTGCCATGTTTTTCCGTGTTAGGTAGACCCCCTACTTACCTGATATTGATTTCCTGTAAATTTCTAACTGCAGTGAAGTTTAGTGTTAAAAACTTAAAGTAAAAACACATGTTAATTTATACATTTATTAATTGAATTTAAATTAAAACTACTCAAAATAAAATTTTGTATCTGTTATGTAAAATAGTGCCCGCATTGAAAAAAAAATAAGAGGGATAAAATAAAAAAAGTGAAAAATAATAAAAAAAAGTTTTTTACTTAAAATAGTACAATAAACGAGTTCATTTATTAATTATAACATAAACGTATGTTCTACAATAATTTCACTGTTAGTTTGATTAAATTTCGCTTCTTATACGTTTAAGTTATCTAAAAATAGGCAAAACATTAACGAATTTTAGTGTGTACCTATCCTTCTTTAAAAAAATTAATGCGGGCACTTATTGGTCAGATACCAATAAACATAAAATAAACTATAAATAAAATAACATAAGCAATAAGTCAATATTTTTAGTGAGAATGATGAACCTGATGCATTATCAACATTTGGCGTCAATTTTGTAAGGGTTAATCTTAAATCTCCTCGGCTAATGATATCCAGTCTGTTTCTTTTTTTCGTTAGGAGATTGGTAACAGCGCTGAACCCCCTTTCCACTAGGTATGACGATGGAAAGGAAATTAAAAATTTCCTCGCTATATTCCATAATACGGGATAAGTAACGGGTATGTTGTTTTGCAGCCAGAATTGATGATATCCGTTTTTAAACTGAACCTTAAGTTCTTCGTTTGTACTTAGTTCAGTCAGTTCCTCTTGTATTATGACATTCGTTTCTTCTATGTCTCCATATGGATTAATTATCCACGGTGATATTACCATAGTAAAAATATCCTCAAACCTAGATTTAAAATCTGAATAGAGGGCATTTAAATGTTGAACGTAAGTTGAAACGTCGTCTTCCTGGCAGCTTGTCTGTGACAAATTGGGGAACTAAGAAAATTAGCCCCGTCCAATATTTTGCTTCATTAGTTTAACTCTGGCAAGAAACGCTGCTAAGATGGACTTTGTTTTAATCAAATTTAAACTGTCGCCTTGTAATTGCAAATTAACCATATTAAATTTTGTAAACAAATCTGTTAAATAGGCGATGTCTGTTTTCCTCTTCATTAAATTTTCTTTTAAAATTTTATCTTTAGTATCCAGAAATTTTAAAATAGTCTCAAAAAGTGCAAAAAATCTTGTCAAACATAAGCCTTTCGACAGCCAGCGTACTTCAGTGTCAAGGAGTAATTGATGAAAGTGTTCGTCATTTTCTTCACACAACTGCCCAAATAACCGCGTATTCAACGCGTTGCTTCGGATTCGGTTTACTGCATCAATGACTAAATGAAGTGATTCATGCAATCTAACACTCAAATTTTTAGCAACTAAATGTTGTCGATGGATGACGCAATGTATTGCTAACACCCCTGACACATTTTGTTTTAAATAGCTTATAAATCCACGATAACGTCCAACCATGGCAGGTGCTCCATCTGTAGCTACTGATATTATATTTGATAAAGCTTTTTCAATGAAGTAATCCTTCAAAACATGAAATATTGATTCACCTTTAGTGTCGGTTATCAAAGTTCTTGCGAAGAGCAGTTCTTCGTAGATTTCTTGATTCATAATAAAACGAACATATGCCAATAATAATGCTGCATTATCAGGTAAAGTTGACTCGTCCAGTTGTATAGAGAAATGGGTCGTTTGCAAATAATTACATAAGAAGCTTTCAATATCAGAACTCATTTCATCAATACGTCTTTCAACAGTATTGTTGCTTAAGGGAATTCTTTTAATGATATCAGATGCAGGTTTGTGTAAAACAGTTTTTAAACCTCTTCAACGGCTGGCAAAATTAACTTCTCTCCGATAGTTATGCGGTTTTCCGGATTTTGCTATAAGAAACGAGATATTGTAAGACGCCCACAAACATCATAATTTCTTTGTGACGTCGAAGCGAACTTCTGTCCAGTATAGGTCTCTTCTGAATTTATCTTTGAGTGTTTGAAAGTATTTCAATCTTTCTCTGTTTATCAGGGTGGCATCTTCTCAGATGATCTTGCAGTTTAGATGGTTTCATAGCGTCATTGCCCAAAACTTTGTTGCATAATATGCGATTGTTTGTCCGGCAAAATTTCAAATAATCAACACTGTACTGTCTACATTTCTTTTAGATTCGGACATGGCATCAGTCATCTGTGGGCAAAATTAAATTATTAAATAAGACTGAAAATCCAGCAGCTGTATATTAAAAATATTTTTTCATTTTTCCGAAAACATTCCATCATTCGAACATCTTGCAACAATTAGCTCGAATTACGGAGATTGCATTGTACGTACGTAATTATATTACCAATTGCTAAAACTTTCAAAAAGAAACTATTGAGGAGTACTCGTGTAATTTTGCATGATTGAATATTTAATTACTAATAACTAAAGTCATGATTGGCGTAATTTATCTATCTTTGCTAACTACGAGTACAAAACTAAAATTTAATAAAAAATAATGTACTTACTTTTCTCCAGCGCTCTCAAACAAAATAACACTGATTCACTATAATTTGTGTGATATACTATCTGTTTATATTTTTTTAAATATTTTCTTAGCACTTTCCTTTTCAAGATTCAGGAAACGAATAAACGTATTTATCCCACATTCGTATTTATAGAGTGACGAATTGAACAAGTCAGTGCAAGGTAGCGAAGCTCTGAGACTGCGACTCTCAGGTTTTTACAAGTTCAAAATGTATTGCGACCACAAAGCGAATACCAACATCCTACAACTTACACAATTTTATAAACATATATAATAAATTTTTTACTTCATAGGTACTTTTATAAATAATGTATATGTTTTGATATTATAAGATAGTATGATGTAAGTAAATAGGTACTATCAGTGTATGTGTTGAGATCCACTATCGTGGACCCCCATATTCATTTCATGGACCCCCAAATTTTTTTTCGCTGACGTAGACCCCTTGCAGGTTGTCATAGACCACTAGGGGTCGATATAGACCACTTTGGGAATCAATGGTCTAGCCATTGCCGAACCGAAACAACATAGCGAGGAGGAGCACTGTCTAGATAGAAATATATTTCATCCTCATCAAGTATAGGGTTTCCATCCTCTTCGATTTTGTTTTTAATGGTTTCAGTGATAAGCGGATTGATGGTATTCAACAAAATATCCAAATAAGTGACTCCATTCAAATTTCCATTAATAAACAATAGTCCAATCACATTGTTTCCTGAAATGCCTCTCCATCTATTAATTTTTTGGGGGTACTGGGTATGCCCTTCTACAAAAGCATGAGGATTTTAATTGCTCCAATACATGCAGTTATGCTTATTAACAAATCCATTTAGATAAAATGTACATTCATCACTGAAGCAGATATTCTTAACATGAATGGCATTATCATTAATTGGTGCAATCATTTGTTCATTCAACTCAACTCGCATATCGAAACCATCTTCGGTTAACTCTTGCAATTTTTTCATTTCAAATGGATGAAACTTATGGAGTTTAGTAAGTGTGTACAGAGCCTAATGAACTAGCAGGCGCAGCAACATTTTTGCGTAATGAAGTATTAGGATTTATTCCAAAATGACCCAAAACTTCAACTTGAGGGGCTTCATCCAAAACTCTCCGATGATCACGTTTTTTATTTGCAACAGATCCATACCATACCTACCATACCTATGCGAAGTTATCTTACTCGGTTGTCTGGCGATAAACGTGACGGCAGTTTGCGGAGCACATTGCTTTTAGGCACCATAAATTAGAATCATTTCCAGTCTTTCGGATAGAGTCCAAACCATTTTGGAGGTAAAATCTGAATCAATAAAGTAATTTTCTCTATCCCAACATTATCATAAAGGGAGGCAGCAGCGGTGGCCGCAGTAGTAGACTCTTCGGTCTCCTGATCAGTCGCCGTGTGCTGTACAGGTTCGAATCCCGTGCCAAGAGAAATTTTTCTCTTGGCTAAGGATGTTGTGATTGTCCGTAGGTGGTAGACAGTCTCTGACTGATATTGGGAAAGATATGTAATATACCAGAAATATCTCTGTGTGGCTATAAACATAGGTCCGCAAATTCTTCGTTCTCAATATACAAGTTGTTAAAATTTGTAAAAATAGTTTTTCATAAATTTCTTAAATATCCTTTACCTATTTTTTTGTAATTTGGCGGTGGTATTTATAACATTAGGAGCTAAATGTAGCTCTAACTTGATAAATTTATTAAATTCAGTGGCGTCTCTGGTGGGCTCTGAACGAATATTTATGACAAAAAATATACGCCACTGAGTTTTGTGCAATTTTTATTATATTAAGGAAATAGAAATACAACTTGTTGTCTCCTGAACGTTTTTGGTATCTTTCTTAGTTTTCGAGAAAGAAAAGTCCACTTGATTGCATATAATTGGACCACACAATATGGGGAATTATTATTTTTTAATTAATATACAGGGTGTTTCAGTTTATTGTTGCATAACTTTAAAATTCGATGGAAGTTTTAAAATTAATGCATAAAGTCTATATAAACATGGGTCGAAAAATGCGTGGCTTCCGAAATACAGGGTATTTAAATTTACTTTCTAAAATAGTTTCTTTCAAATATTTCGAACAATATTTGATGTATAACAGTGAAAATTGGTATACAAGGGTTTTTTGGTACGACAAAACGAACTCATAAAAAACCTCTCTTGTGAATTTTCATTATAGTTAGCCGTTTTTGAGATATTTCAATTTTTAAGGTTCGATGCATTTTTAATTATTTATGATAAAATAACGTTAAAAAGTCAGTATCTCGATAATTTTTAGAAGTAGGCTGTGCCTGCAAATATTTTTGAAATTGAAAGTATGCAGTTCGGGTAAGAAATTTTCAGCATGAATTTAGTGTGAACGTGTGGATTTGTATTTACCGTAATCGACTATTTGGACCCTACCTTTTGCCTGCAAGGTTAAATGCTGCGACCTTCTTGGAATTTTTAAAGACTGAACATGCAAATATGTGGGATGATGTTATGTTAGATTTAAGAAGATTGGCCTGGTTCCAGCTTGATGGTTGTCCAGCTCATTATTCGAGAATAGTTAGAAACTGGCTGGACGAAAATTATCCAGAAAGATGGATCGGCCGTGGAGGACCAGTCGCCTGGCCTCCACGATCCCCTGACCTAAATCCATTAGATTTCTTTGTGTGGGGATTTCTAAAAGAAAAAGTGTACCAGACTCCCGTAATCACAAGAGATATGCTAATAGACAGAATCAGGAATGCATGTGATGAAATAAGGCCTTATTTGAATAATGCTATACCACGTTCGATCATTCGTAGATATGAATTGTGTATTGGACAATTGGGTTTATATTTCAAGCAACTACTTTAGATTTTGTATGTTTGTCCTAACTATCCAATAGCATTTTAGTTGTAAATAATTAATTTAATTTGTTAAAAATAATATTGGAAAATTAAACAAATTAATATTCTGTTTTTTTGTGTTTATTTGGAGTTAGGAATTATTGCTGTGTTTAAAAACACAATCTAAACGATCATCTTAATTACTTGTAATGCCCAAATCGAAAATGTAAAAAAAATATTATTTTCCCATAAATTAAAAATGCATCGAATCTTAAAAATCGAAATATCTCAAAAACGGCTAACTATAACGAAAACTCACAGGAGAGCTTTTTTATGTTGAAAAGTACGAAGAATCAGTTTTTTTATTCAAAAAGCAAAATATTGCACTAAGAAAAAATTTTCGGTCATGTTAATACACTACAGGTACAGTATAGAGCGCCCTCTAGCGGCTACAGTAAAACTATGCCCATGGTTCGTTTTGTCGTACCAAAAAACCCTTGTATACCAATTTTCACTGTTATACGTCAAATATTGTTCGAAATATTTGAAAAAAACTATTTTAGAAAGTAAATTTAAACACCCTGTATTTCGGAAGCCACGCATTTTTCGACCCATGTTTATATAGACTTTATGTATTAATTTTAAAAGTTCTGTCGAATCTTATGCAACAATAAACTGAAACAGCCTGTATACATATGTATTAATATAATAATTATATAACAACAAATAAACTCTAAATGAAATTACATTACATTTACATCTAACTAATGAGTTTTACTAAACTAAGGAATAGTAAATAATAATCAAGGGTTGCCTTTTAAGACGATTGCAGCATTTAGTGAACAACTTGACAGTCGTCAACTTGGTATTTATAAGCTATTGATTTATAATATTCATAAAAAGTGTTTTTTGTGATTATTTTTGGTCCAATATGGTTCAATTTACTAATAGTGCAATGGCAGATATGCATTTCTGTTATGGACCGGCTCATGGAAACTCTAATGCTGCATGTGCAGCGTGTACTGCCTAATAGAACTTATATACGTCTCTATCCAATGACTTTCTGAAACAGGCAGCTTTAAAAGATCGACTGTTGTCATCGAGAGGCCTGCAATGGTACGAACAGTTCAAGTTGAAGAAGCTGTTTTAAATTAAATTGAAGCAAATCCTCATACCAGTACCTGGAAAATAGCTAAAGAATTGTATGTTACCCATGTCACAGTGTGACTAGCAACTACATGTATATCCATATCATATACAACGTGTGCAAGCTATATTGCTCATAGGTTTGCTTTTCATACCAGCTTTTCCTGATTGGTTATGCAGTAAAATGATAAGGAATCCAGGTTTTCTAAGTCGAATATTGTTTACAGACGAAACTTGTTTTCTCGCTATTCAATTATTAACTTCTGCAACAATCACATTTGGGCCGAAAACAATCCACCCGCGTTAATAGAACATAATTTTGAAGAACAGTTTTCTTTTAATATTGGGGCTGGAATTGTCGGTGACCATCATCTCATTGGGTCTCAGTTTCTTCCACCTAGACTCAATGGAGAACACTGAAGGTTTTTAGAATTTGTTTTGCCTGGGCTTTTATAAGTTCCAGACATGAAAAGATTCCGTATGTGGTACATGTACGACGGGACTCCACCACACTTTATCGAAACAATTTTCTTATGAACATTAATTACCATAATCGTTGGTATTCAATACTCCTATTGAAATTGAAGATCATTTACGGAATAGACTCATCAATTCATGTGACATAATAAAAAATACATCAGGTATTTTCAGGAGAATGTGTTGACAGTTCTATTGAAGCCGAAGGGGCCATTTCCAACACTTATTTAGTAAAATTTGTTAGATGTTAATGTTATTAGTATTTGTTGTTGGAAATTATAATAATAACTTCCAAAATAACTTTTCCCCATATTCCTCGAAAACTAAGCAAGATACGAAAAAAATCAAAAGACAAAAAAGTTGTATTTCTGTTCTATTTGCTTGATACAAAGAACATACTAAAAATTTCACAAAAGTTAGTGTCGTACAGTTGTTTGTCACAAATATTCGTTAAGATCCCGCTCGAGACGATACTGGACTTGATAAATTTAATTAAGTTAGGGCTAAATTAGCTCCTTATGTTATAACTACCACCGCCAAATTACAACAAAATAAGGTAAAAAATATTCAAGCTATTTACGAAAAAAAGATTTAAATTTTAACACCCTGTATCTTAAGAACGAAGAATTTGCGAACATATGTTCATATGAACTTTTTATCTTAAAATTACTCAAAGAATCGTCTATTAAATTTATGGTACACACTTGATTAACACCCTCTATAACATTTAAAGCACCGTAATAAAAAAATGAAAAGCAAAAAGTTTTTCAAAAATGTTCCAGTACTACCTGACCACCGCAGAATCCAGAACTCTTTGTTAGGCTAAAGAACAAAATTTCAATAACCTCAATCAAATATGCCATGGCGCCGACCACAGATATTGTCGAAATCACGAAAGATGACGATTACGTCATCATTTTAGTCTGTAGCAAAGACTAACGACAGCGATTTGTAGGAATATTTTGAATGAAGTTTCAGATATGTTAGACAGAGACAAACAGAATTTTATTGTCTAAATAAACTGTATTGCTAATTTGCATGTATCCGACAAAGATAGGCGATGTTTTCATGTTGCTTGATCGATCATATTTGAAAGATGAATAGTTAGGTTATGTTAAAGCAGGTTATGTTGTCTTCGAATAATACTTTGGTCTTTGGTGTTCCTGTCTTAAGGTATTCTACTCATAACTGTTTTTTTCAAAACAAAAACTCCCCACTAAAATTATTATTAAGGTATCACTCAAAACCCCGAAATAAAATGAAAATAAAAATACTCAGTGAAATAACCTAACTTCCCAAAATCATAATATAAATTTGTTGTCATTATGTCCCTGAAATCGTGATTTTATCATCGACGTACGTCCATTGATTACTTCGGTACAATTTATGATGTGACGTAATAGTCATCTTTTCGTGATTTTGACTTATATGTGACTACTCAATAATATGAGTAATTTGCTGACTAAAAGTGAAAACATATACATAATATATTTTACTTGGAATTCAGGTCGTGACTTGATCGGCGTCCAGAATCTGATCAAAAAGCATCAAGCAGTGCTAGCTGAAATCCATAACCACGAGGCTCGCATACAAGCAGTTATCGAAGCTGGCAAGCAGATGATGGAAGATGAACACTTCGCCAGTGACGAAATCAGGAATAGAGTCAATGCGTTGAATGATCATTGGGAGCAGCTGAAAGAAAAATCATCACAGGTAAGATAAAATGCATCAAATATAAATATCACGCACTTTTGCTAGAAATAGCCCAAATGTAAGGTCCGGAATTTAACATTAATTCGGAAACAATGAAATTTCATAATACGTAGTTAAAATTATTTATTTTTTTTATTGAAAGCATAGATAATATCACTAAAAAGAGTGTCCGAGAATCACATGTCAATCTCTGTTGGAAAAATAGACGGAGATAGATTAGAGGGTGATTCCTTGTTAAAACATATGAAAAAAAATTCTATACACATGGGTCCGGAAATGCAGAGTTTTCAAGATACAGGGTGATATATTTTTCTTTTTAACTTAATATCTTTAAAAATATTTACTCGATTCTGTTGAAATTTGTTGTGATAAGAGGCTAATTTAGCACTAAATAGATAAAAGTTATTAGGTCCAGCGAATATTATTGGCAAAAAAATCTACTCCACTGCCTTTTTTTGTAACTTTAATATTCGTTGTTTGATTAAGCATCTAAAAATAATGGGTGATTTTTTAAGAGGTATAGGATTTGATTTTCAAAAAAAACACAACAAATTTGAAAAAACGATTAAATCTTTATTTGAGTCGATAGAACGGTCGATATAATTTAATGTTTAATGATTATTTCATGTAAATGTTGGCCGTGGCTCCGCTTTAGATGGCCCATGCGCAAGGTCCAATTTTGGCACACTCTCTCCAACATATCGGCCGGTATCTCACGAATAAATGCTTCAATATTGGCTTCCAATGCGTCAATCGTTGCTGGTTCATCCCTGTAGACATTAGGATTAACATGGCCCACAAGAAATAGTCCAACGGCGTTAAATCACACGATCTAGGCGGCCAATTGACGGGCCCCAAACGTGAGATAAACTGTACACCGAACTCGCCTCTCAATAGGGCCATTGTTTCGTGTGCGGTGTGGCATGTGGCACCGTCTTGTTGAAACCACATGTCAGCCAAGTCCAGCTCTTCCATTTTTGGCAAAAAAAAGTTTGTTATCATCGCACGGTAGCGCTCGCCATTCACAGTTACGTTCCGGCCATTGTCGTCTTTGAAGAAGTACAGCCCGATGATGCCACCGGCCCATAATCCACACCAAACAGTGATTTTTTCGGGATGCATTGGTAGCTCTTGCAATGTTTCTGGCTGGTCTTCACTCCAGATGCGGCAATTTTGCTTGTTAACGTACCCATTCAACCAGAAATGAGCTTCGTCGCTGAACACAATTTTTCGATAAAAATGTGGATCTTCCTCCAACTTTGCCAGCGCCCATTCACCAAATTGGAAACGTTGTGGGAGGTCGTGTGGCTTCAATTCTTGCACCAGCTGTATCTTATAAGGTTTTACACCCAAATCCTGTCGCAAAACTTTCCACGTAGTGGAGTGATAGAGGCCCAATTGCTGCGAACGGCGGCGAATCGACATTTTACGGTCATCACTAACACTTGCGGATACACTCGCAATATTTTCTTCAGTCCTCACTCTACGTCTGCGTGTTGGTGGTTTAATGTCCAGTAATGTAAACTGGGTTGGAAATTTAGTCACAAGCTTCCGAATAGCTCCCTCAGTAGGCCGACCAAATTGCCCATAAATTGGAAGCACTGCTCGATGCACTGTCTTAACCGAGCATGAATTTTGATAGTAAAATTCAATAATTTGCAAGCGTTGTTCGTTCGTAAGTCGATTCATGGTTAAATTATAGACCAAACTGAACAAGTTTGACAATGACACGATTCACGCGTCATCTGTCAAAAACAGTGTTGCCAAAAAGATACTAGCAAAAAAATCACCCATTACAACTACTGTGACTCTTGTATTTTTTCGTAACTCACGTCGTTTTCGAAAAAAAAAACATATTGCATGTCACTGGTCAAAATTAGTTTATTAATTTTTGCCTAAAAATCACAAGTGCTTTGGAAAACAAAAAACATTTCTGCATGGAAGTTTGACATTTTAGCGTAAATTCTTCTAGAAAAGAATTATTCACGTAATTTTCTTTGCAAAATTTCTCTAAAAAGTTTCTCCATCGGTTTTTTTTAATGGAAAATTAAACTTTTGAGGAAATGTCATCTGCAAATATTTGAATTTTACAATAATCTAAAATATCGCAGATGGCATTAATGTACAAAATAAATAGTGGGCCTAGTTTACTACGTTGTGGTACACCAACAGAAATATTTATTGAGATTGATAATGTAGGTCCTATTTTGGTTTTTTGACTTCTGTTAATTAAGTAGTTTTGTAGAATTTTGAATTCAGATCCTTTAAATCCATATTGATGCAGTTTTGGGAGTAATTTACCTTTGTCAGTAGTTTCAAATGCCCTTTTGAAGTCCAAAAATGCTGTCACTGTATGTTTCCTAATGTCTATACATCTCCTCCAGTCCTCTGAAACCATTTGTACTTCCGTATCAGTTGAGTGTTTCTTCTTGAATCCATCTTGAAATTTGGTTAAAGTCATATTTCCCTCGATAAATTTGATGATCTGTTCGTGAGTAATTTCTTCAAATACTTTTTCAACAACTGCCAGAACATTAATTTATTAGTCGCATATTGCTGTACAATTCTTAACTTTCGACTCAGGAGTTATGGTAGAACACTTCAGTTTTATTGGACATTCGCCATATTTTAAACAGTAATTTATCAGGATTAATATTCTTGCTCCAATAATTTCAAAACATTCATTACGCACTCTTTTAGATAAAATCTCACTCTTATTTTGATTTGATTTCAATGTTGATACAATCTTCTTGAAACGATTAATGTTTATTGTTCTAAACTCACTGAATAATGCATTATAATCGGTCTAACGGGACGGGATTTCCGTCAATAAATGATCTTACAATGTCGTTGACACTTTCTATGAAATATATATATTTATTCGAACTGCTATTATTTTTTCATTTGTCATTACCCCATCGTCGAACTTAATTTTAGATAATGTATTTCTTCTAATAGGAGAAACAATATTTTTCAATGTTTTCCACATCTGTTTGCTATTATTTTTACTGACATCAATTTTTGTATTGTAATATTTTTTTCTTTTCATCTCGTAGAACTGCTTCAGATTGACTTCTTTATCTTGTATATTCTAGCTAATCATGTTCACTCCCAGTAATCATACACTTTTTATAATTGTAGTCTCTTTTTAATTTGGAATCCTTGAACGTCTGTGAGATCCAAGGTGTTAGATTTTTCCTTATATAAATTCTTGTGTTGACTGTAGCTTCTTTCATGCATCATTTTTCGTTTCGCCTAATATAATTTGACTATAACAGATGAGACGGAAATAGAGCGCAGCCACTGTTTGAAATTACCATCTAAAATCACAGTAATTTCGAAATAACTCAATGATCCACAATACTTATTTAAATCACTGCCAGTCCTAACACTACTAATATCACTTTTTCAGCGCAAGCAAGATTTGGAGGATTCGTTACAAGCCCACCAGTATTACGCTGATGCCAATGAAGCGGAGTCATGGATGAAGGAGAAGGAGCCGATTGTGAATAGTACAGATTACGGGAAAGATGAGGATTCATCGGAGGCGCTTTTGAAAAAACATGAAGCGTTGATGAGTGATCTGATTGCATTCGGAAACACCATCGAAGCCTTGAAGGAGCAAGCTAAAAATTGCCGGGTGAGTAATTAGTATAGACATTGGTGGACCCAGAAAAAAGTTTCACAAAAAAATGTCTGTAAGTGCAATGGTTTGCATGTACAGAAAAACGTGAAACAGTGAATCAGTGTTTAAACGTATCTCTTAAAAGTTTTGGCACAAAATGTTTATCGGATTTTTTTTAGTTATTTATTTAAACAATAACAAGTTATCATAAATTACAACTCAATACGAACTAAACTATAATATCGAATTATGTGAAGTGGCCCGTTCTGCTATACTAGACGCAATGTTCTTCGAATGTCTCTCATGAGGTCCTGGACGGAATTCAGACCAATTTCTCTGTTTTTCGTAAATTCGCCGTCTTCATTGTTCTTCTTATTGGGCTTCCCAGCCTCCAGGATTATCTTTTTTGGGAACAAAAGGTATGTTGTGTTGTCGACGCCAGTTTTGGGTATCTCTTGAGTAATGGCATGATGCTAGGTCTGGCCACAACATGATATGGTGATTAGCATGCTGTTCGTAAAACAACTTGGAAAGGCAGTTATCAATATAGCTCTGAATATTCAAAGCTTCACCTCTTACTCTTCCCACAAAAGGTTGGAATACACCCTTGTTAGAAATTGCGCACCAGACAAGGATCTGTAAATTTCGCTTTATGTTTGTATCTAACATTGTCAGGGCATTCCTCTACGTTGTCCGTATAAAATCCGTCGTTTCCCTTATTTCAGAATTACTCAAAGTGAAATAGTTTTCGTCATCTAAAATAATGATTTTTCCATTGATAAAGTGTGCTTGAGAGTATTTTGTGCACTTAAGACCCTTTCGATATTTAAGACCATTCCTCCTCAATTCCAACGATATCGTACTCTTATAAGATCTGTACTGACGAGCCAGTCTCCTTGTTGACATTCCAACCTGATTTTTTGCTCTTCTCGCCAATCTCTCTAACCTCTGTGCGTGTGCAACTAACTTGCTGATTTTGGGGGTTCTTGAGCCCCGGGTTTCTATAAGACGATTTGGTAACAGTATATGATGTTCTTCAAAACTTACTAAAGTACGTATTTCACAAATGCCTGAATTTCACGAAAATGCTCTGCTATGAACTTTGTTCTTCGATATAATCTACGGTCTTAGTTGAAAAAAAAAACAAAAGTTATAAAATACATTTTAATATACATAATATGTAAGTGAATATATATCGAGTTTAAAACTTAAACAACTTAAATCGGTACTAGAAACAACAAAAAACTGGAACAAGTTATTTTAAATTAAATTCCTCCTAAGTGCACTGACAGCAGACAAAAGGGTTAAAAACTTGAAATTTAATGCACTAAATTCATTTTTCTGTTTTTAGTCCTAGCCAATTCAAAATGATCCGCATAATAGAGAATGACCTCTCGTATGTGACAGACGTTACTGGTAACGTAATTGCCTCTTGAAACAAAGTACATATACTCATATAATATATTGATTGAAAGATTTCTGGTTTCAGTTCATTTCGAAGTGTTTCATAAGATACATCCTTTCGTCAATTAGCTAAGAAGTCGTCTTTGTAGTAGGAATGAGAATAAGGTAATGACATGGCACTAATAGCCGGTACTATTTTGTTACTATCGGGTTTGGGAGCGCTAATTTGTGGCATTACCATCATGTTTGTGACCATCGGGTTTGGGGGGCTAATCTTGAGCTTGGGGGGGCTAAGCCTCCCCTAATTGCGCCACTGCCTCTGTGCAGTAAATGCTCGTGGTCTTCCGCTTTTCCGCTATTGTTCGACAAATGGTTCTACGTCTTCATTCTGGAATATTCGACAGATTTTAGCTTTGGATACCCAACCAACCAAATTGTAGATACTTTTTCTTATTTCTAACTTATACATCTCAAAGCGAAAACTTCAAAATAAATAAATTCAACTGAGAGTAAAGTAAACAAACTTTTGTTTGCAAAGGCAACTTGATATTATTTTGTGTTTGTTGAAATTAAAGCCAATGAATTGTGTGCCAAAACGTTTAGAACATACGTTATTCTTAATAATAAAACATTAAGGACCGAAGAAACGATGCAGTGTTCTGAACTCCGATTTTGAATGTATACTTAATTAATTTCAGCAGCAAGAGCCTCCTGTCGTTGATGTAACTGGAAGAGAAACTGTTCAAGCTTTGTACGATTACACTGAAAAATCGGCACGAGAAGTATCTATGAAAAAGGGAGATCTTCTTTACCTTTTGAACTCCAATAATAAGGTATTTTACTTTTGCTAATATGTTGTAGTAGTATTGCCAGTAGTATTTCTTGTCTGACTGTTGAAAAATATACAGCACAACCTGGAAGAACGGCATTGATGTATCCGAGTTAAATCGTAAACTTTTGGTAGTGCATACGAGGGATGTCCTTTAAGTTTTGCATATAGAAACATAGTAGGCCACGCGGATCGAACGTCAGTACTGAATCTTAACCTCACTCTCTAGTAAACTTAAATTCAAAGTTTCACAACGATACGTGCAGTGTTCTCACTACAGTGATTTTTTAAGTGTTACCAAGTCATTAGAAAAATGGAACTCAAACGAGAACATTTTCGCGCCATAATTTATTACGACTTTCAGAGACAATTATCGCAACAAGAATGCCTTGCTGAGTTACTGTCTGTTTTTGGCAGAAGATCTCGAAGACCTCAATTCAGAAAATTTTACATGAAGAATTAGGAGTAAGAAAATTAGTTTCTCGTTGGATGCCCCACCTGATGACTGAAGAGCAGAAAGCAGCTAGGGTTAATTGGTGTCAAAAAACGCTTGACCGTTCCAATTCCGGAAACTCAAAAAATGTGTACAGCATTGTTAGTGGTGATGAATCGTGGTTTTACTGTTATGAACCAGAAAATAAACGATTGTCGGCTGTTTGGGTGTTCCAAGGTGAAGAAAAGCCAACAAAAGGCATCTGTTCTCGAAGTGTTTCGAAAAAGATGGTCGCGACATTTGTGTCAAAAGCGAGTCATATTGCAACAATTATCTTTTTAATGAGCAAAGAACTGTTACTGCGGATTGGTATACCACCATTCGTTTGCCAAAAGTCATCACCGAGCTTCGAAAAATCAACCCCGATGAAGAATCATCCTCCACCAAGACAATGCAAGCTCGCACACAGCCCAAAAAACAAGGCAGTATTTAACGGAAGAAAACGTGGAATTATTGGACCATCCTCCATATAGTGCCGATCTAAGTCCTAACGATTTCTTTACTTTCCCGAAAATTAAAAACAGACTGCGTGGTCAAAGTTCCAGTCACCAGAAGGAGCAGTTGACGCATTCAAAAATGCCGTTTTGGATCTGCCAGCAAACGAGTGGAATAAGTGCTTCGAAAATTCGTTCGAGCGCATGCAGATGTGTATTAATCTTCGTGGGGAATACTTCGAAAAACAATAAAGTCATTTAAAACTACCTACCGTGTTATTTTATTTCCATATGCAAAACTTAAAAGACATCCCTCGTATCGTGAAAAATATACATTCTGCCAATTTTAAGCACTTTTTAATAACCAGCCAAAGTAAACATGCAATGAGCCATCAGAGTGACAAGTGATATCAATCTTATTACCAAGGTTTTGACCACGCATGAAACAGGTACCTCCAACGATTATGAACGCTAAAATTGTTATTTATAGGGTAATACAAATTACGCTCTGTAACAGTTTACGAACGCAGCCCTGTGGGTCAACATTTGAGACTATAATTTTCAAAAAACAAATACCATAGATTGTCATTTTGTTTAATAAAATAGATTATCCCACATAGTTTAGTGCTCTTAATTTTATGATCTGGAAAAAGTACCTTTACATGAATTACTCAGCTCTTGTTTTTCTAACAGGACTGGTGGAAGGTAGAAATCCACGACCGTCAAGGATTCGTACCCGCCGCATATGTAAAGAAAGTAGACGCTGGGCTGACTGCTTCTCAGCAAAATCTTTTGGATAGCAACTCGATATCTGCTCGACAGAGTCAGATCAACCAACAATACGAGCACCTTTTGCAGTTAGCCAATGAGAGAAGGAATAAGTTAGATGAGACTGTCAAAGCGTACGTATTGGTCCGAGAAGCTGCCGAGCTGGCCGGATGGATAAAAGATAAGGAGATGCATGCTCAGGTATGTTGAATTCTAAGAAATGTCATTTTTTGCCGATGCCGATGAAAAACTGTATAACATATTCACTACTTTTCAAAAGCTTACATACATTTAACAATTGATATTTGAAATTGAGAGAAAAAGTGAAAGTAGAGTCATACAGAGGAGGAATATTTCAATACTTACGTTCATTTTGCAAGTGAAGTGAGATAGTCCAAACAGATATGGGACTATCAAATCAGTGAATGTTACTTCCTGATTTATCATGGAGTTGAAGGAAAAATCTCACAACTTGAATTCGGTATATTTTGCATATAAACAAAATGAAGGGAACCTAAACGCTGCGCTGCGACTAAATGTCATCTCATTTAAACTGAGTTCTGGTAAAAAGAACATACACTAAAGTGAGGAATCTGAAGTGACGTGAGTCTCAACTCTCTCTACTTGAATACCCCGCGGTCAAGATCGACTTCCTGAACATCAATCACCCCGATTCAGAGGTAGTTTTTCTCGGTCATTCCAATGCCCATAATTAGCTGTGGTTCGGCTCAAACAAGACCGATGCAGCAGGTCATGCAATTGAGGCGTTCACTATTACTCAAGGGCTGACTCAGCTCGTGACGAGCCGCCTTACTATTTTTCCCCGCGTTTCGTCACATGGCAGTAATCTGCTGGATCTCTTTCTAACCACCCATCCTGTCCGTTAAAGCACTACTGTCCTGTCTCCCCTGGGTAACTGAGACCACGGTGTTGTGCAGGTTAGTTTCGGTCAGAACTCGCTGTGGCAGCAGAAACTCGCCTAGGTCCCAAAATTTGGCTTTACGGTTATGCCGCCTGAGAGGGGCTCAGAAAATTCTCCACCTTTCCTTGGAGAGATGCTTGTTTCGCTGACGCGGATGCATCGGCTGTCTGTTCTTCGATTATCGAAACTATCCACGTTGGGATGGAGGAATACATCCCTGTTACAGTGAAAGTGCCTAAACCAGGGTCCAACGGCTGGTTAAACAAATCATGCGACACTGCTCGCCAGCAGAAGATCAAGTCACACAGAACCTTCTTACAAAACCCCATTGTAGAGAACAGACAAGCCGACGTCGAGTCCAGAAACAAATATAACGAACCGGTTCGCAAACTTCCATCCTATGGGCTCCCATAGAAGCTTTGCAGATGGGTGGCTTACTTTCTCTCTGGCCCCAAGATATCCGTCGTAATTGACGGGTTCTCCCCTTCATCCCACACCGTCAACGCGGGTGTTCCCCAGGTATCTTAATTGGCTCCGACACTGTTCCTCTCACATATCAACGATTACACAGTAGAAATTATCTAGGCAGCAAGTTGGAATTTTGTCATTTTTTTTAGGTTCATTACGGCATAGCCCTACCGGCGATATGTTTGTGTTGTTGGATATATGAGCCCTGTGTAGTTGGCCCAACCATCAAAACTACGTTTTTTATGAAATTTGTCATATTAGCGGAAACGTATTAAAAACTAAAATGTATTTCTATTAACATACGATATTTTTATTTAATATTAGCCTAAAATACTACATTTTTTTGTAACAAAGAAAAAATGTCTTCCGAATTAAAAAATGCCGATTAATGAAAATCAACGAAACCAAACAGCAGCAAATCACCACTGCGTTACATCTCCTTTTCGACTGATTACTGCTTCGATACGTCTTGACAGTATCAACTAATGTTTGGCAGTCATTTGATGTAAAACTGTCCTTGGAGACGGGTTCGCAATTCTGGAACGGTACCTTTTTTAAGACATTCTGAAACACTTCTTCTTTAGTTCTTATGACACGACCCCTACTATCACCAGCGCATACTCCAAATCTGGTTTCATCACTCCAAATAATGGAGTTCTATTGGTTCGGATACAATAATTTGTGTTTTTTTGGTCCACCCTAGTCTATTTTTCTCCTGAATATTTGTCAGTAAGGGCTCTCTTTTGCCTAGAAATACTGAGAAAAATAATTTAAGCCTGTGACAAGTTGCTCTTAAAAACTTTTTTGTGGTTGCCTTCCATTCCATAATATTTTCAAATTGTTTATAATTAGCACGCCGATTTTCCTTGATAATCCGTTTTAAGGCTCTGAAGTTGGTATTGGAATAACGCGGGCGACTTCCAGTTCTGGGTTTTTGAGCCACAGATTCCGTTGTATTGTACAATTGAATAATATTTCGTACTGTATACCTCGATTTGTTAACACTGTCGGCGATTTGGGAAGCATTTTGACCTTTTAAATGCAAGTGAATTATCACTTTTCTTATTTCGTCAGAAACAGCTCCACCACGAGCCATTTTTAATTGTTAAGTACAACACAAATGCATTGAAAGTGGATTTAAACTTCAAAAATCAACTTCTTAGCAACGTAAAATGCTATCATTTGTTGTACAAAGCCTACCTTTATTTTATCGAAGCGAATAAACAGATCATTCAACTTGAGTTGTCTCCATCATGCATTTTGCTATACACAAATAATTTCGGAAAGAAGACAATGTCGAAATAAAAACGCTTTAAAAATAGCCGCGTTGGTTTTGTTAACTTTCCATAAACATTTAAAGAAACCAAAAATATTATATTTGAAATAAAATTTTAATTAGCCCTCAAATAAATTCACAAATATGTTTTGGAGCGTTGTTCCGACTTCACTGAGACAGGGCTTGTATATATCTCACTATTAAATCATCTAATGGAAGGCATTCTAAAGTAAAAGCGTATTCGATGCCGTACCCTAGCCAATCTAGTCCACACAAAACTTTGTTATACATAGTCAAACTGTTGAATTAACGTGATAAATGCAAAAGCATCCTAAATAATAGCATTCTCATATAGGTACAAGATGTCGGTGAAGACCTCGAGGAAGTAGAAGTCTTACAAAAGAAATTCGACGACTTCAGAACCGACCTAAAGGCGAACGAGGTTCGTTTGGCTGAAATGAACGAGATCGCTATGCAGCTGGTTTCCCTAGGCCAGACCGAAGCTGCGCTCAAGATCCAAACCCAGATGCAGGTCCTGAACACCAAATGGACCAGCTTACAGCAACTGACCAACGAGAGAGCCACCCAGCTGGGATCTGCTCATGAAGTGCAGCGGTTTCACAGGGACGTTGATGAGACCAAGGATTGGATAAATGAAAAGGACGAAGCTTTGAATAACGAGGATTTGGGAAAGGACTTGAGGACTGTTCAAGCACTGCAGAGGAAACATGAAGGCTTGGAGAGAGATTTGGCTGCTCTTAGTGACAAGGTACGTTCCGAAATCAAATAAGATCATTGAATTACACTCAAAGCATAACGATCATTAGGATGTCCCAGCCTATGAGGGCAAACAAATTTTTGTTCGAATATCCTCTAATTTTTTTTTCACTTGATCTTAACAACCCAAAAAATGAATATTATTGCAATCGGGAAACGCTAACCCGGTCAAGCTTTGAATATGAAAGTTAATACGGAAGCCATGTATGGATTTCAAAACCTAATATTCTTGTTCGACAAATAAAACACTGCTTTATTTGTATCTTATATTTCTTGGATATCATTAAAATAACATTATTTACAAAAGTTTTTTTACAGGATATACTTGCCCGTATTCTTGAACGCAACGTAATAAATACTGTTTTTGTTCCTCATTAGCAGTGATTAAGCCAAAGTCTTGCATTAACTTGACTGCTCTTTCTGCCGTATCGTATCGTTAATTGCTTTCAGTGTTTGCACCTTATTCTTAGCATGTTGAAAAGAATTATTATGTGGCTATGGAGTTGAGTCAACTGAACAAGGACTTGCCTTTGATTGAAACAAAGTCATCAATATTTTCCTCTGAGATGAAAAAAACGAAGAATAGCTACCATCTAAGCATACTGGTTTTGCCCGTCCGACCACAGACAGTCAACCATGGACAGACGTTTTTTACTTTTTGGCTACTCATCAGCATTGTCTAGGCATGGCCTCGGATCAGGACAATGAACGAAAGCATAGCACTTAACCTCTATCTGAGGTATAAGATCTATCGAAACAAACTAGTATAAGGTGCCATCTATTGCCAGAATCGCAGTTTATGCTGGCTTATTTTAACAGTTAGCGTATTACATCGCAGCGGTAAAAAAAGACAAATGAAAATTTATTCGTCAGAATTACCATAAAGTGAGCCAGAAAATTCTTCTTTCGTTGAGATGTAGCGTGTACCGAGGACTGATGGACTTTATTTGGCTAAATTAGCAACAATTTTATACTCGAGTTTCCTCAGCTACGTCGTCGTCGAACAGAGATGAGACAGAGACCTCATCTATCAAATACCATGAATGTTGGCAGAACTTTTGTAAAGCTGCTTTTGAAATGGTTTTGTGAATTCTTTCGTAAGCCTTCATTGCCTTTAAAAAGCATAAATCCTAGTTAGGTGCTTTTACCACTTATTGAATCCACGGTTTCACGTATGTTGTCACGATGAAAAGGCAGATATCTAACAGAGCTGCTCTATCCTTATTAGAAAGTTTGATCCGAGAACTTATTAACGCTATTTTAATGAATAGATTGCTCTGACCATCCATCAAGCTTGATGCATGGCACCTGGCGGTCGGATCTTAAATTTCTTCTCTGTATCTCCGCCAAGGAATATTATTGAAAGTTCAATTAGTCCTCGATAGTCGTCTCTAGCAACTTCTTTGGTCAAATCTTATCGATAAAATTCTAGCAGCTTGTCAATCTCTGAAATATTCAGGCATGATAGCATTTCAGAAAAAAATCTGAATTTTCTCTGGATTCACACTTTTACAGCTCTCGCGAAACTTTTCAAAGTAAAATAAAGTTTATTTACCAAAAATAAAGATAATATTATAAGCTCAATATAAAATCATACACAGTTTAGTACGGTAAACAAACAGGAATCCCACAGAAGCAAGCTTGTGCGTGGCATTTTAAACATTGGAATGTCAGAGCTTGTAGTCACTTGATCGATCTTTGATTCAAACACGCCTTTTAACACCAATTCGTAGACATGATGGCGGCAGGCAAAAATAAGCTTTTCTTTGCTAAGTTTCTGTTCGAGAAGGTCGCAGACACTGTTAATGCGACCCCCGTATTTGAAGCCGTAATATCACAACTGAGAATCTGAACTTTAAGATTCCAGTCAATAATAGCATCCCAAACTGCCTGAGCCTGCTCGCTGCCTGAATATTTATCCCATTTGGGAAAAGCGATAGGTTGCTTTTAATTTCCATACGTTATAACAATGGGTAGACGTTCTTCTTTAGACTTGTGTGCATTTAAAGGAAGCAACAATTTGTCATCCCAGTGGACCGTCGCTTTGGAAAATCGTCAGTGTTATGTCCAAGTGTCTGAATGGTTGCTTCGGTAATAAAAACAGCATTTCTCATACTTATCCGACAGCTATTTAATGCTGCCACTAATTTTAGAAACTTTTCCTCATTTGAGTTTGATTAGTATCAGGCTGTGTGCTCTGAGATGTGATGGGGAAAGTTCCTTGTAAATCTGTCTCGAAATCCGAAGATGAAGTTTCTTGCACTGGTTCGTAAGCTGATGGCGAAGAAAGTTAAGGAAGCAACATTTTTAGCTCGCCGTTTTTGTTCTTCGGTGTTCATAAGACGCGCATTTTCTTTTATGGCTAATTTCTTGTCCACCCCAGCTAAATGACTCCTAGGTCGACCTGGCTCTCCCCCGCTGCAATAAGATCCTATCCTCATTTATTTTCATCATTGTCCAAGTTCGCAACAACCTGTAGTCGACGATGTTCAAACACTTCTTGTGTTTTGCTTGCATTTTTTCGCAAATCTCTCCAAACTTGGTATGAGGTAACTAGTTTCTTAACACAGTTAGGTGGAAATTTTAGTCGGTATACGTGCCTTTTCCAGTAAATAACGCATTCATGAATAGTAAGGTTGACGCTCTCAAAAACTCTTAATTTCACTTCCCGGATATTTATAGAACAAAACTGCTAGTACTTGTCCATTAGAGGGAACTTTAAACCGGTAATTTGATGCTTTACGTCCCTTATCAAAAATATTCTCTTTTTAAACAGTGCGTTTATATGTTTATAAGTTTTTTCATGCTCCAACGCAAGTAGGCACGGGTTGCCTTGGTTCTAAGTACATAAAGTTATATTTTTTGGCATTTTTCAAGAAAAATTAGAGGGTATGCGTTTGAAAAAGAAATCTGTAATTTTTTTTGGTACACCCTACTGTTCAGCTCTTGGTGCCTTGATTTTAACCACTTTTCAAACAGAATCTCTTGCAATATCGGAATATCTAGAATTGTATACTATAGTAATATTCTTTATCAACGTATTTTTTATACAATACAACGGAAATATTAGGCTCTCTTGCACTGAAAAAAATGGATGTATACCGTTATAGCAATCTACACAAGAAATCGTAAATGTACTCGTATATAATGTGAGCTCGAAATTTTCTCAGTACTTCCCAGCTCCCAATCTCATATGTATTTGTTAATATCTGATACTCCCTTAGATAAAACAACTTGATGAAACTGCTAATCGCCTAGCTGCTACATACCCAGAATCTACTGAGCAAACTCTGGCCAAACAGCGAGAAATCAATACAATGTGGACACAACTGACCGCTAAAACCAACAGCCGCAAAGAAAAGCTGCTGGACTCGTACGACTTGCAAAGATTTTTGAACGATCACAGGTAAGAAATGTATCCTGTTAAAACCACGGTCATTTATAATATGTTGGTCTCTGTCAAGTATAAGTGGTGCGATAATAATTGCCGAGAATTTTTCATTGAAAAAAACAAGCAAATAAGTTTTCGGCAAAATTTGATCATTAATCGTTACAAACGTTGTGTGCAATTCCAGGGTAAAATACTTGCACCTCTTTCGTAATATTGCTCTAGAAATGTACTCTTGCAATATCCAAACAGGTATTATGTATAATGTTATCTATTTCAGGGATCTTTTGGCGTGGATAAACTCAATGCTAGGGTTAGTCAGTTCCGATGAATTGGCTAATGATGTGACAGGGGCTGAAGCGTTAATTGAGAGACATCAGGTTAGTAGCTGGATCAAAAACAACATTTTTATTACCTTGTATTCCGATCGGGAATTTTACAATTATTCGTAGTTATCATTTTATAACTTGACATAGATTTATATATAAAAAATTGCGATAATGTTAAAATATAATCAAACCTGCTTCAGTTGACCAATTGAACTTGCATCTTGTCATGTTTTGTAGCCATAACTTTTTTGTTTTTGGTTAGAACTTTTTTGTATAGTGTCATTTTGTAGCTTCCTTTAAAGGTCTACAGATGTGTATTTGAAGATTTATTACATTCATGCAAACACTTTTATTTGTTAATTCCCGAAAAATCCATTTTTACATGTGCTGCTTGTGAATAAATACTTTTCCCACAAAAGCAGATCTTTGTTTGTTGAAGATTTGTTTAGTATTAATACTAAAATGTGAATTTTGTATAATTATTCGTTTATACATTTTTTTAATTCATTTTCTGTAGTTTTACATTCTTGTCTATCAAAATTACGTCACTATGCATTCTGAGTATTCATAAAGTTATTTTTTAATTTCACCTTAAACATTTTTAAATTGAAACACTGTTGAGTATCATTCTTCAATTTATTAAATTCAAGTACTCCCTTTTGAAATACAGATTGGCTAGTTATGCTACTATTACAATCTTGCAGATGAAAATCTATACTGCCTCTAGTTTCGTAGTTATGATAATGTCTATTTAATTTTGTGAAGTTTTCTAAATGTAGTGGTAATAAATGATTTTTTAATTTGAAAATGAAAATGAGAACTAAATAACATATGGAAATGTTTTACATTCAGCCAGTGTAGTTCTTCTAATATAGACTTAATCCTAGTATATAGAAGTAATTTTATCTTTCTTGATATTTTTGAAATAATGTTCTTGAAACAATAGTTTACTAACCAGACAGTGGCGGCTCGTGGCAAAATAAAACAGGTGTTCTACAAATCCGAACTTACCTATTTTTTATATGTCAGTTCGATCCTGCGCTGCTTCTTGGCAGCAAATTTGTCGATCACCTTACCGTTGAAATTTTCAATGGTCGAAATAAATTCCTTTTCAATGGACAGCGTCGCTGTAAGGCGATCCTGGGTCATACTCGTAGTATTACGAAGAAAAGTCTTGATTCTTTTCAATGTTGAGAAATTTCGCTCAGCCTCTGATGTTGACATAGGAGTTGTAACAATAATTTGTAATAGCCTTTTTGTTTCTTTTAGTGTTTCCTCCAAACTATTTTGTATCAAAAATTTCAAAAGAGACAGAGTTCCATATCAATCTCGGCAATCATTCCGTGCATAAATAACAGACAACTCTGTCTTTAAACGACTTTTTTCTAATTCGGGATAAGCCAAGCAGGTAGTTTCCAACTTGTCATCAGCAAACTTACCACATTATTCTCCAAAGTGTTCTGGGAAAAAAGGGATGCGGCTACCAAATGATCTTTGAATTGAAATTTGTCATTTGCAGAATCAACTATAATTGTCGCATACTTCTAATGCGGCAACTCGGTGATCGTGACTGCTATTATTACGTCGTCTCCTTTTGTTGCCTTGGGGTTCAGTGCAAATACTTTTGGCTTCATTTATTATGTCATCAATTTTGTTTCTCAAATCGTCAATACATTTTTCAAAATTATCGATAGCCGTTGTAACTTGCGCTGGCTCGGTTTTTCTCTTCTGCAACTGGTTGAACAAGATGTCGACGTGAGGCATGACATGATGAAAAAATGTCAACCAAAACACGAAAACAGAATCGATTAACATACGGCGAATACCGCAAGCTGCCTTGCAAACGGTTTAATTAGTGAAATTTTGTTCTATTTCTTCCATGCATTCAATGAGTGATTCTCTGTTCTCAAACACTACATTTATTGTTCGAATATTAAAATTCCAACGAGTTGTTGCTCCTTGGGGAATTTTTTTGCCCACAATTCTGTTCAGTACCTCTACGCGTTGAGGAGAATTATTAAAAAATCCCGGAATATCTTTCAAATTCCCAAAGAACACCCGAACTTGAGCATTTGCGGAAGCAGCTTGGGACATAATCAGGTTTAACTAATGCGCATAGCAATGCACATAGTGAGCAAATGGGTATCTGTTTAATTTTTGCCTGTACTCCAGCATTATATCCGCTCATTACCGCGGCTCCATCATAGCTTTGTGAAATCAGTTTGTTAGGGAAATTTCCTATTAATGGATCTACGACGCTCAAAATATGTCTTGTGAAAGTATCAGCGTCAATTTTTTCTGGATTCATAAAATTCCAAAAACGTTCTACTGGTTCGCCGTTAAATACGTAGCTGAAAATTGTTACCAGTTGGGTTTTCCCCGAAATGTCCGTTGTTTCATCTGCTATTGTCGCCAAATACGAGGCTCTGTTAATCTGTTTTATTATTTCTTCATGACAAACTTCAAGAATACAATCCAGTAGATCGTTTTGTATTTCTTTCGAAGTTCCTTTAAATATTGAAGCATTTTGTATGTGTTCGCTTAAGGTTGTATCAAGCTCAGCAGAAAAAATAATCAGTCCACGAAATATTCCCGGGTTTTGGGAGCTCTCGGTTTCGTCGTGGCCCCGTAGCTCCGCAAAATTTTATACAATCGATTATTTTTGATAGAACGTACCTGTTTTTTGTAACGGTATCATTATGCTGTTGTATATTTCTCTAATATGCTGAATCTAACTGAGCTCTGAGGTTAACAGTCCCCAATAAAGCCAATTCCATCGAATTATGAAGATGTGTTTTAGAGTTTTCATAGTTCTTAATTTTTTTACTCAGGTGCACTAAATCTGTAACACCTACCTCCGTCCAAGCTTTGTCACCCCCGAAAAGTATGCAAGGAAAGCAGAAAAGGGCATTCTTCCTGTTGCACCCACAAATCCAGTAATTTCTGGTGTAAATCTCCCTGCTGAAATGCCGCGTATAGCCCTTGCCCCGACTAACGCCCTGTGTTTCTATAAATATGTCCGACAGCGGTCGACCTGACACCTTCAGCTCAATTTTTTCTTCAAATGTGTATTTCCAGAATCGTTTCACGCTGATAAGTCTGTAAACCACATCCATTGTCTCGCTACCCTTCTACACAGCCACAGTCAGTCAGTGAGTCACTAGTCACTCAACATAAGACCCAAAATACCCGAATAAATTTTTTTTCGCATTAGACCAATATGCCAATACCGAGGACCGAGTACCGACTGACCAATCAGATATCGTACTTCGCATTAGATCTGTACGGATCTGCATAAATTACAGCACATGCTTGTGTCGAAGTAGTGCACAGACCCTTTTCAAGTTTCGCATGAATAATGTTACGCTGCGGTCGCGACGAAAATGACAAGTACACAATTGGTCGATTATAATGCTGCAAAACAGACTCGACGCCGTGTCTTACGGGGGCAGACCGGTATTGTTTCTATTTGTGTGATAACATGGAAAATAAATAATGATCAAATTACTACTGCTTTTTTCTGTTAAGACAAAAGTTTTGGCAGTTCTGCAGCTCTGCAGAACTTAAGGGCCAGCCGCCGCTGTATCCAGACATATACACTACCGTTCAAAAGTATTTGAACATCTGCATATTTCCATTTAAAATCATAACAAACAAAAAAAAGTATTCAGTACGTATTTATTCCATTTAAAACCATAACAACAAAAAAAAACTGTTTAGTACGTATTTATTGATTGAAAACCATCATATTTGATATAGTTCAAGGTTGTCCAACAAGTGCTTATTCGTTTATTTTTTTTTTTTTGACAAAATGGTTAAAAAATATTCCGAGGAGATTAAAGTTATTATTGGTCTTGATTAATCCGGCCAAAGTATTCGGGAAATTTCTAAATTTCAGAAGGTACCACTGTCATCTGTACACTACATTATTAAGAAATTTATCGCTCAAGGCCCAATATCCAATATCCGTCGTTCAGGGAGACCCAGAGTTACAACTTCCACAGAAGACTTAAGCATAATAGTGAAACGTAAACGCGTGACTGCTCCCGAAATAGCAGCGGACTTGAATGTGGGCCGTAGTAAACCTGTAAGTGAGACTACACTTAAGAGAAGGTTCCTCGAAGCTCGACTTAAGGAATGGAAAACAGTATCGAAACCACTCCTCAGGCCCACTAACAAAAAAAGAGACTGAATTGGGCCAAACAACATCAAAACTGGACAGTTGCTGACTGGAACCTTCTTCTCTGGAGCGATGAATCGAAATTTGAGATTTTTGGTTCCAAAAGAAAGGTACGAGAGGGCATTAGAATCGTGGCTGTTTTGGTCGTTCCGCTCTAGGGGATATTCAATAAAGAAGGTTACAAAGCCATACTACAAAATCATGTTGTGAATTCTCGGACTCGACTTATTGGTCCGGGGCTTGCCTTTCAACATGATAATGATCCCAAACACACATCCAAGCTCTGTAGATTATTTTGTGGAAACAAAAGAAGAACAAAATATTTTGAAAGACATGCAATGGCCTTTCCAATCCCCGGATTTGAATCCGATAGAGTTGCTATGGGATGAACTCGACAGACAAGTATGGAAATGTTGTCCTACTTATCAAGAACACTTATGGAGAATATTACAAGACGAATGGCGAAAAATAACCCCATTCACTGTAGAAAAATTAGTTGCACGCTCACCCATCATTATAAATAGTTGTATGTTGTTAAGAATTAAGAAAATGAATGTTTCATAAATATATAGTAATGTTTTTTTATATAACTTCCATTAGTTTCCTTGTTTTCTGGATGTTCAAATACTTTTGAACGGTAGTGTACGTTTCATGAACAACTTGCATCAGTAAAACCACCCATTACAATTGCGTCGGGCGTCGTGGATTTTTTTTATGATGCCACAGAGACGTAATACGTTCATATGAAACTTTGTAGGAACACCGCACAGAAATAGATGCTCGAGCAGGAACTTTCCAAGCTTTGGAGCAGTTTGGTCAACAATTGCTGAACTCTAACCACTATGCCAGTCTAGAGATCCAGGAAAAACTGGAGGAGTTGAACTCCACTAGAGCTGATCTCGAACGTGCTTGGATAGATAGACGTCTTCAGTTGGATCAAAATTTGGAGTTGAACCTCTTCTACAGGTAAATTGTGCTTTTCAATCGATAGAAACTTATCGCTGATTGCTTAAGGGACAAAAACTCTCTTTGGGAAATTTACCTCCAACATATTTCTCCTTCTTTAATGTAAGCGTTTTGTCGGGTAGGGCCCTAAAATACAGGCCTGTCTCATCGGCATTATAGATGTCTCTCGGTGAATACCCTTAATCAAAGAAGGAATTTTTTTTAAAAACGATCAAACATCTTCAGCATTAACCAAAGCTCCTTCTCCCGAAATCGCTTTAAAACTTACATTGTGGAGAATTATAGATTTATTGAGTCAACCAGAAGAGGTACAGAATGTAGAATATGCCAGATAATCGGCTATTTCTTTTGCTTTGCATCGTATTAGCAGTCCTAAAAAAATAAGTTTTTTTGCGTTTTTGTCACGACACTACTAATGATCTCACTCCTTTTATCCATTTCAGAATTGATATGTAAAGAAAATCAACGCATTAAAATACAAAAAAACCTTATCCAAAAAAATAATATTCATACATACCTGTCAAAGGAATCCCTTTATGACGAGCTGGTATAAACCAGTCATAACACAATTTGTCAATTTTGGTACCATCACCCGTCAAAAAGCTTATTTTTTCATTCAAATTGCTGTTCGACATACATTTCTTTAGAAGGATTTCGTTATGTTTAACTATATCTGCAGCAGCTTGTGTCTTACCAGTATTAAAACGCTTGGAGAAGTTATTTACACTTAACTTCTCCATATTGTGAACTTCAACAATTTCAATTTTTTTTTTCAAGCGTCGGATTTTTTTGTTTGGAGGTATTTCTACAATAAATGTGTTGCCCACTGTGCCTTTTTCACTTAAACTTCATACTAATACTGAATGGAAATTTAATCGAAAGCGTGTACCCAAAGAGTAGGAAGTCCCTAATTCACCACATAGGCTGCGTTTGTACCTAAAGATTAAAGTCGATGAATCTCCAGTTTAGAGAAATACAATAGCTATACGCTCAACAGAAAAAAAAAATTCTTTTTATTTTGCTTTTTGTCCTGTTAGTAGAACATTTTCTCGTTTCCGCGTCCGTTCAAGAAAATGGCCGTCCTAGAGAGAGTTGATATAATGCAAATTATATGAGAGTCGGTCGGGACCAAAGGAGGTGTCCGCGAAGGGGAATATCACTGTATTTTTTTACTCGAATCAAGTGTCCTAATATCCCTCTAGAGACTCATTATTAATATATATTTGCAGAGACTGTGAACAGGCTGAAAACTGGATGTCAGACAGGGAAGCATTCTTGGCATCTGACGTAGTAGATTCTAATGGAGACAATGTTGAAGCACTTATCAAAAAACACGAAGATTTTGATAAGGCTATAAATGTCCATGAAGAGAAAATCGCAACCTTACAGTCGCTTGCTGACCAACTCATTGGTAAGTAGCTTTTAGGTTATGCTTTCTAATCCCTAATTACATGTACGGGGTTGCAAGGTAAGTTGTGCTAAATACTTGAGGACGCTGTGGATGATGTCATTAACGACAGATTTTTTCCATGTATCACAAATTTAACAAAAAGTTCATAAAAACATAGGTCCGCAGATCCTTGGTTCTCAAGATACAGGATGTTAATTGTTTTTAATGGCTTGTAAATTTCTTAAATATTATTTACCTAATTTTGCTGTAATTCGGTTTGGTTTGTTTTGGTGCAAGTAGGACGTTTCCCCGGTATCCCCGCCTTAAACGGTATATTGAGGACCGATCAAAATTGTAAATTAAAGCTACATCATTCACTAAACAACCTTCTCCCAATAATCTTATACAATTCTCTTGTTCTTTTTGAAACAGACCAGGGATTTTTGAGAAAATAAAATTATACTGTCAAGTCTACCGTCAATATTATTGTTACTTAGCATTTGCATGCTTGAGCTGTAGGTATTTAGGATGAAACTGGAGAAACGTCCTATTTGCATGGAGAGGGTAATCTAAAAAAAATCGATAAAAGTTATAGTCAGCTTTCGAAAATATTGAGAAATTACTTCTTTTAGCATAGTCTAACGATCAAAGAGATGCATAGAAAAATTTCCAAAGATCAAAAATTGAGAATCTGGCATAGCCCCAAACTTTGGTAAAAAAACCTGACTTCCTTTGCTCGCACTGTATAAGTGGATAAATGAAAGAAATATACCGATCGAACCCTTTACGAGTTCTCAAAGAGTTGGTCCAGAAGCCCCCGAATACCGTAACTCGATATTTCTTTCCATTCCGAAAATATCGAGATTTGAATTGAAACAACTGTCCACCAGTTTGTTATACAGTTTTGGAAAGTAGTCTAACCATATTAGCAAATTTCTCCGAAATAATTGTAAAGGCTGGTTTTATAGGTGCAAGTTGTTGAAGGTATTTAAAACATGGACGCATAAATTGGGTACACCAATTTTTGTGGAAAAGCTTTTTATTAAAGAATGAAAAAACGTATTTTTTTTTTGGATTCAATCGAAGGCAGGAACGAAAAGACTCTTCAAATACGATTTTTAGGTATTTATGTGACCTACAAAATGAGACCACACGTAAAAACATCCGTCTAATAGTCAAGAAGTTATGGCTGAAAAACGAGGCCAAATGCAGGTTTCGGCACTTGTTGGTAATACGACCATAATTTCACGCAGCTACTTGAAATTCTTTAAATCCGCAGGCTTCATACTGCTAAATAGCCACAACAAAATTGGAGTTGATTGATCAAGTAGTTATTGAGAATTTCTAATTGTTTATCCCAAAACACCTATCTTCCGGCCATCACTGCCAATTTACTGAGCAATCTACAGGATTCTTTCAAAGGGCATTTTGTAGCAAAATTCATGATTTTACCTTACCGACATGAATCACAAACCATTCCGAAAGATTGTTTATGCGAAAAATTACGGGTTACGTTTTTTTTCTAAACAAATTCAAACATTTGTCATGTGTAGGTAGTTGAAGAGATTCGCTACGTTATTCGAAAAACATGCGGTAATATCCACATTTTAAAACAAAGCGCATGTGTCTATCACCTTTTTTGCGAAGAAAAACACTTTTTTTTTCAAGATTTCGTCGTGGCACATGTATAGATCACTGCTTTGTGAAAGACCTATCCAACAAAATTACTTGTATACCAATAATCCTAGAAAGCGATATTACTGACCACTTCTCCACTATTTTACTGATATCTTCAAATGAAAAACATTCTAACATCCCTACCGTTAATAACAACCAGAAAAATTACAAATTTTTTGTCGACAATTCAAAACTAATATCAAATGTCAAACAAGAATCCTGGGAACAATTATACTCTATAAATAATATAGACAAAGCAACGGGACTGTTCATAGAGAAAATAAAAAAACTAATAGATATTAGTACCAATAAAGTAATAATTAGTCACAAAGAGAAAAGCAGAAATGCCTGGATTACCAAAGGATTAATAACATCGGAAATAGAAAAAGAAAGACTATATAATGTAATGAAACTAACGCCAACTACAGAGAATACCGACTGCTACAACCAATATAAAAATAAATTTATAGAGCTTGTAAGGCAAACCAAACGAAAACATTACCTAAATAAATTGAATAATAACTTAAATGATCATAAGCGGCTTTGGACAACTATTGATGAGATTACTGAGAAAACAAAAGTTAAAGAGTGTGTCACTGAGTTAAATACAACATCGGGAACAGTATTAAAAAATACTCAACAGATATGCGATGAATTTGTACAATTCTTTACTGACATAGGCGAAAATTTAGCAAGTAATATACTAGCAAATGTACAAAATACTCAGCCTCCAAAAAGAACTTTGAACTCATTTATTTTGGATAAAGTCGAGCAATGTGAAGTATACACCACTGTTATGTCCTTAAAAAATCGGAAAAGTCCTGGGTTCGATGGTATTAAAAGCGAGCATTTGAAAATTATAGCCGAGGACATAACAGAACCACTCACTTACCTAATCAACAAATACTAGAATGATTCGATACCTCACAAAATTCAAAATTTTAAGTGAAAATCAATATGGATTTACAGAAGGGAAGGCTACATCGGACGCAATAACTAAAATTGTAAATCAAATACATCAAAATATTGATAACAGAATCCCTTCAATCTGCATTTTTGTTGATTTAAAGAAAGCTTTCGACACAGTTAATCACAAATTATTATTAGAAGCATTGGAGAGAATTGGTTTCAGAGGAAACGCGTACTCACTGATCGAAAGTTATTTGTCAAATCGCCCACAATCTGTGCAGATATCAGGATCATTTAGTAAAGAAATGTATATTAAGTGTGGTGTCCCACAAGGAACTGTCTTAGGTCCGCTGTTATTCAATATATATTTAAATGATATTTTCCAAATTAATTGTGTTGGCAAAATAACTAGTTTTGCAGATGATACTGCAATATTATATGAAGGCACTGACTGGTCTGATCTGAAAAATGTAATTGAAAATGATTTTATCAAAATTATTCGGTGGTTTAACAGTAGAAAATTAAGCATTAACTACTCTAAAACACATTTTTTACCATTTGGATCTTATGCTAGACATCTGCCAAATTACACAAATTTCTCCTTCAAAATTAATGATCAAAAAATGCAAATTAATAGAGTGCCCAACATAAAATACCTTGGAGTGGTCTTGGATCCACACTTACGATGGGACATCCATGTCAATTATATTTTAAAGAAAGTTAGATTTATATCCTACAAAATTAAATACCTTGGGAATATATTGACAGAAAAATATCTTCGAACATTATACCATGCACTGATTGAGCCTCATCTCACATATGGTATATTAGCATGGGGAGCTGCATGTTCCTCACATATCTATAATTTAGATGTTTTTCAAAAAAGTATTCTAAAAATGATATTTAAAAAACCGAAACTTTATCCCACTGAAAAATTATACGCAGATGTTCGAATGTATGATATAAGACAGCTTTATTTCTTGCACAGTATCACTCACTACCATAAATTTGTAAACACCGACCAAAAAATTAAACATAATCATCATACCAGCAGTGGCGGCTCTACCATAAGGCCGCATGGCCGCGCGCCCCCCCAGATAAAATGCCGTTAAAAAAGCATTGAATAAAACCATTTTTATTTTTTTTTCTAATTAGCTAACATTTTATTGAACATATTATATATTAAACGTCACCCTAATTATTTTGTAAGAAATCAGTCGATTTTATCCTTATTTGTCCGGACTATACGGGCCGCATCGAACCTCGCGGCCGTACGTCGGTGTTTTCGAGCGCTTTCGATACGACTCGGTTAGAGTCGGGGTACAGTATTAATAGCTATGCTAGGGCGCATTATTTTTGCGGCCTCGCTGCGTCTCGCATAGCTAGCTCCATTTGTTTTGTTGTTTACTATTGAATACTGATTACGCGCTGCATTTTTAGTGTCGGGTTTTGTTTTATTGCAGAATAGAGTAGCAAATGACAATGAATAGTGTCAGTAACATTTTAAAAAATGATTTTACGCGTCTGTCCCTTCAGAATAAATTAGAAATTAAGCAATTGGGCAGACCTTTGCCGGATTTAAAGTTAACGCAAGTGAGTGAACGGAAGGCAGAAAAAAGAAGTTTTACCCGTCATTTTTCTAAAGATACATATAAAAAAAATAATTGGATATGTGGATGTGAGGAGACAAATTTATTGTACTGTTTCCCCTGTTTATTATTTTATAATGCCGCGTCAGGTATGGACTCTAGTTGGTCAAGGACGGGAATCAAAGACCTGCATCATCTTCCTGAAAAGATTAGAAAGCATGAAGCTTCCCGAGGACACATTAATTCGTGCACGGCGCTTGCAGTTCTTGGTAAGACAAATATAGCATCACAAATAAGTTCTGCTTATAGACAAAGTATAGTTGAACATAATGAAAAAGTGAGAAAAAATCGGCACATTTTGAAACGGATTATAAGCTGTGTCAAATTTTGCAGTGCCTTTGAATTGGCACTTAGAGGTCACAATGAGACTGAAGAGTCTTTGAATCGAGGAATATTTAGAGAATTAGTTGATTTTACCGCTGAGTTAGATGAGGCCCTTAAAAATCATTTACAAAATGCCACGGTATTCAAGGGAACTTCTAAAAGCATTCAAAATGACATATTAGATAGCATGCTACAAGTTTGTAGAGAAGAAATTTTGCAGCAAATTAAAAACGCAAATTTCCTGTCAATTCAATGCGATGAAACGACCGACATATCAAATCAGTGCCAAATGGTTTTAATATTCAGATATTTCCACGAAGGCGGCATACAAGAACTTTTTTGGAGTTTTTTGAGAGTTAAAGATAAGACATCAGTAGGTTTAAAAACTTGCATAGAAAATGAAATTGATCCGTTTCTTTTACAAAGTCCTGAAAAGTTGATAGCACAAACATATGATGGTGCGAATGTCATGAGTGGTTCTGTCGGTGGGGTTCAAGTTCACATTAAAGAAAAATATCCTAATGCACATTTCATACATTGTTATGCCCATCAGCTAAACCTTATTATGCAAAAAAGTGCATCACAAAATTCAAAAGTACGTGTGTTTTTTAATAATTTGTCGGCCATACCAGCTTTTTTTTCGAACTCTACCCATCGATGTGATGTTTTAGAAGAAATTATAAATAAGAAAATCCCCAGAGTAGCTGCTACTAGATGGAACTATAACATTCGTACAGTTAACTTTGTCTATGAACATCGTGAGAAGCTCATAGAGGTGTTTGAAGAAATAGAAGAGAGATGTAATAGAGGTGTTACTTTAAATGAAGCTTCAAGTTTGAGAAGAGCGTTAGAAGATCAAGAATTCTTGTTTTGGTTGACAGTATTCCATAAAATATTTCCGCATGTTGACATCCTTTATAATCAGCTGCAGTCAAGAAATGAAGATAGTGTTCAATTACAAAAGGACTTAGTAATTTTTGAAAAGAGTATCGACAATATAAGAGGTCAAATTGATGATATTAAAAAATATACCGAAACAAAGTTTGAATCTAATAAAAGAAGAAGAACTGACGACGGTATACGAGGGGTCATTGCCAAAGAAGTGTGCGACATAATAACAATGCAAGTAAAAGATAGATTTTCCTTTCGAGGTCATTTACAGGCAGCCGAATTGTTCAATACAGAGGCATATTTGAAATATTCCCGAAATTTCCCTTCTGCTATTTTGGATGCCGTAGCTACTTTTTATCCAATGTTGTGTAAAGCCAGACTGAAAACGGAATTAGAAGTTATATACTCCAGGGAAGACTTAAAGGAAATCGTTGGTGCTATGAATTTATTGTCTTTTCTTGTTACGAACAATCTTTGCGATACATTTGTGGAAGTTATAAAATTGTTAAAAATCATTGTGACAACCCCAGTGACCACAGCAGAATCAGAACGTTGTTTTTCAACTCTTAAACGCATAAAGACATTTTTAAGAAACAGTATGCGAAATGATCGACTAAATGCTCTAGCTATGTTGTCAATAAACAGAAACTTGACTCATGAAATAGATAGTTTTGATGAAAAAGTTATGGAAAAATTTATATCTCTAAAAGATCGTAGAGCCGATTTTGTTTTTAAACAATGATTGTTTTTAAATTTACTGTATTATAAACAGAAGCTTATTTTGTGTTATGTGCATGTATTATCATTTCTTTCATCTTTGCTGTTTTTTTTAAGGTAAGATATTTTAATGCATTGTATTATTTTACAAGCATAATATTAGTATTTTTATATTTTGCCATTTCAGTATTATGTATATTTATGACGCTAGCTCTAAACGACTAACAGTTGATTTTTTGATTTGAAGCGTTTTATGTCAATAAAATATTGCAAAATTGCATGTAAAATTTTTTGAATTAGATTTTGCGCCCCCCAAACTCAAATACCACGAGCCGCCACTGCATACCAGGTACAAAATTCGTGGCACAGTAGTTCCTCAACCGCATAAATCTATAATGCAGCGATCATATCTCTATTTAGCGCCTAAATTTTATGAAATTATACCTAAAGACTTGAAAGATTTACGTTTCGGAAATTGTTTCAAAAGAAATTTAAAAAAGTGGCTACATTCTATATCTAGGACTGAAATTCATAAACTCATAAATACGAACATCAACTAAATACATAATCTGTAGCTAATTTTTGTCCTTTTTTGTCATTTGCATTCTACAGTTTCAACTTAAATTATTGGTCCATGTACAGGCGATGCCTTCTATTGGGCCTGTTTTGATTTTATATTTATTTACTCATATTGTTTGTTATCTTTGTACATTGAGTGAATAAATATTATTATTATTATTATTATTATTATTATTATACATATTTAGAGCTGAAACTTCTACAAGGTCACAGATGGGCATTAAATTTTAGCTAAGATGCCAACCACTTGTGTTGACGAAACGTCAAATAAAAATATTTTACGACGGCCTAACTACCCAAATACGAAACAAATAACATTGGATGATGGCTGCGAAAGCCTTTCGCATTTCATGGAATGAATTACTTTAAATAAAATTATTAGGACCAAATTTTTTTAATACGAAATCATGCTTATATAATGTCTCAATATGTATGCGGAAAGTAGTTTTTTAACAATAAATGCTAACTTCGATCAACATTAACTAGCTGTCGTTTAAGGAAAGCGTAGTATTTGTCTACAATAGTGTCGAGATTACTCTATATACTCATTGCGTAAAAAATATTACTTTTACAAGAAGAAGGAACGTTTGGGAAACTTTATTTGCCCGAAACCGCCTTACGACGCCGCTAAATCAACGATTATTCCAGTTTACACAAAAACTTGCAGTTCAAATACGAGTCTTTGTGGATACGAAGTCATACAAATGGAATAGACGACATTACGACCGACATTCAAGCTGCGTAGCTAATATTATTTAAAAGCTCAAAATCAAAAGGGTAATACAAAAATGAGGAAACAAAGGATTATGGTTATTATTTTTTCGTTTTCTCGTGTTTATTTTCCAACATTTTGATTTCGCAGTCGTTTCAGTCGTACGGGATTTCGAAACCAGACGTACACTGTATTGATACTTTTAGAAAAAAGGTCCATGGAATTATATTCTTTCATAGAGAAACTGGATTACGAGACCTACTGATTTGACAACGTCATGCAGCCATTTAGCACATGCTACATACTAGTCTAAGACAGTTTGAAACATAATTGTGTCTTCAGTTTGCGAGCTAATTTTATAAAGAGTTCAGCGCATTTCAGTATGTAATATTTTTTTATAAAATCTAATGCTCATCTGTATCTTATAAATATCTAAAAATCTTATTTGAAGAGTTTTTTCGTTCCTGCCAACACTTTCAATTCAATCCCAAAAAACACGTTTTCTTTTTTTTTTGTTGTCGAGTAAAAACTTTTTCTACGAAAATTGGTGTACAGATTTTATAAGTCCATGTTTTAAATACCCCCTTGAACAACTTGCATCAGTAAAGCCAGACTTTACAATTATTTCGCAAACAGGGGTATTTTCGTCTAAAATCACTAGATTATCTTGAAATCTAAGAACAATGTTACTGTAAACCTTATTTCGCCTCCATTCTCTTCTACTATTTGAATTGCTGTTTCAGTAGAATATTTTTTTTCTGAATCCTGCTTGAAATTCTTTCAATATCTCGTTTTCGTCAATATATTCAATGACTTGTTCGTATATGATTCCTTCTAAGAGCTTCTCGACATCTGGCAGTACATTAATTGGCCGCATGTTGGTATATAACTCAACTATTATACAGTTTTGGAAAACTAAAAAGGCTGTATGAGTGTTGACTGGTTGATTCCATTTCTCATATATATTTCTCAAGCTTAACTAGTACCAACTGAAAAATCTGCTTTAATAGAGAAGTTAATGATCTAATAATCTGATCGTTGCAGCCCGCGAGCATTATGCTTCGAAGCCGATCGACGAAAAGCGCAATCAAGTACTGAACCGTTGGCATCACTTGAAAGACGCACTGATCCAAAAACGTTCTAAGCTCGGCGAGAGCCAAACATTGCAGCAGTTCTCGCGGGATGCGGACGAGATCGAAAACTGGATTGCGGAGAAGCTTCAATTGGCTACCGAAGAAAGCTACAAGGATCCGGCGAACATCCAGTCCAAGCACCAGAAACACCAGGCATTTGAAGCTGAGCTGGCAGCTAATGCCGATCGAATTCAGGCAGTATTGGCCAACGGAGCCAATTTGATAGAGAAACGCCAGTGCGCAGGATCTGAAGCTGCGGTGCAGAAACGGTTTGTCGAAATTATAAATTTTGGTCGCCCTTAGGGCCAATTACGAGGGATGTCTTTTAAGTTTTGCATATGGAAATAAAACAAGACGGTATGCAGTTTTAAATGACTTTATTTTTTTGCGAAGTATTCTCTACGAAGATTAATACACATCTGCATGCGCTCGAACCAATTTTCGAAGCATTTATTTCACTCGTTTGCTGGCAGATCCAAAACGGCATTTTTTACTGCGTCAACTGCTTCTTCTGGTGACTGGAACCTTTGACCACGCAGTCTGTTTTTAATTTTCGGGAAAGTAAAGAAATCGTTAGGACTTAGATCGGGACTATATGGAGGATGGTCCAATAATTCCACGTTTTCTTCCGTTAAATACTGCCGTGTTTTTTGGGCTGTGTGCGAGCTTGCATTGTCTTGGTGGAGGATGATTCTTCTTTCGCAGCTCGGTGATGACTTTTGGCAAAAAAATGGTGTTATACCAATCCGCAGTAACAGTTCTTTGCTCATTAAGAGGAATTGTTGCAATATGACCCGCTTTTGACACAAATGTCGCGACCATCTTTTTCGAAACACTTCGAGAACTGATGACTTTTTTGGCTTTTCTTCACCGTGGAACACCCAAACAGCCGACTGTCGTTTATTTTCTGGTTCATAACAGTAAATCCACGATTCATCACCACTAACAATGCTGTACACATTTTTTGAGTTTCCGGAATTGAAACGGTCAAGCGTTTTTTGACACCAATTAACCCTGGCTGCTTTTTGCTCTTCAGTCAACAGGTGGGGTATCCAACGTAAAACTAATTTTCTTACTCATAATTCTTCATGTAAAATTTTTTGAATTGAGGTCTTTGAGATCTTCAAGGACGCCTCAATCTCGCGGTATGTCACATGTCTATCAATGATGATGAGAGCATCGACGTTTTCCTGGGTGACTGCCGTTTTTGGTGCACCCACCCTGGAATCGTCGCTAAGACTCACCCGTCTACGTTTGAATTCTCCATACCAACGGGAAATTGTCGACTGATGTGGACCTTCGTTGCCGAAAACAGACAGTAACTCAGCAAGGCATTCTTGTTGCGATAATTGTCTCTGAAAGTTGTAATAAATTATGGCGCGAAAATGTTCTCGGTTGAGTTCCATTTTTCTAATGTCTTGGTGACACTTAAAAATTCACTGTAGTGAGAACACTGCATGTATTGTTGTGAAACTTTGAATTTAAGTTTACTAAAGAGTGAGGCTAAGATTCAGTACTGACGTTCGATCGGCGCGGCCTATTATGTTTCTATGTGTAAAACTTGAAAGACATCCCTCGTACACGAAAATCGACAAATAGTAAATAAAATCCCATCTCTTCAGTAACGTTCCATCTATAGTTGTAGTCACCATTCTTGGCGGGTCAAAGTAATGTAATAGATTTATCTCTTTCGGTCTTTTGCTCCCTTAGTAACACAACTTAATTAACTTTATTCTGTCAAAAAATGTATATTGATAGGTACTGCAACGTACCTCGGTCATTCCTCTGCCTAGCGGTGAATTATAACGGGTGTTTTTTTTTTCGAGGTATAGTACTTTAAGTTAAGACTAATAACTACGGATATAAAATGATCTTCCTAGTTCTTTATTTAGTTTTAAAGACTTCGCGTATTATGGAAATGGGGAAAACTTAAATCAAAATACTATCACAGTTAGGATAAATAGTGAACTAGTTGACAAAGTTGAATCAATATTTAGACATATACTGGTTGCGCCAACTTTTATCTCGGCATTGAAACATCGAATGAGTTCGATATTTACCAACCGAGTGATTGGGTTATACATGTTCCTGAAACGTCAATTTACTACAATTTTAGCCATGAATCGCCTTACACCGAAACAGCGCCGAAATAGTCACAATGTACATTGAAAATCGTCGTTCAGTTGTGTTAACGCAACATGCATATCGTCGAAAATATCGTGACAACACTATCCGTCGTTTGGTTTCAAATTTTCTTGAGTACGGGACAGTGGGAGATTGTCAACATACCGTTAATCAACGACCAAGACGTTCCAATGAATTGGTTGAAGCGGTCAGAGACAGCGTTGCCCAGAACCCAAAAGTGTCGTATCGTTACCGCGCTCAACATTTTGGCATTAGTAGAACCACGTTTCGGCACATTTTGAAGGATGATTTGCATTTATTTCCTTATAAGACGCAGTTAACACAAAAAATATTGCCAACTGACCGTCCACGTCGCTTGGAATACCCCCAAACAGTCGCTCGCATGGTTGATGCTGAACCTGATTTTTGGAAGTAAATTGTGATGACCGACGAGACCCAGTTCATGCTCTCTGGCGGCTTTAATAAGCAAAACTGCCGCATTTGGGGGGCGGAAAATCCACATGAGATCCACGAAATGCGGTTGCATGACCGGAAAGTGACTGTTTGGGCCGCCGTTTGCGCCAAAACCGTCATTGGGATATTTGTCGAAACGAAACAGTCGATGGAAACCGATATCGGTGGATGTTGGCTCATTATGTCTGCCCACAAATGCATGAAAAAGGTCTTGATGGTTGCTGGTTTCAACAAGACGGTGCGCCATGCCACACTGCAAATGAAACAATCCAGTTTCTGCAACGAAAATTACCTGGACGTCTGATGTCAAAAAGAGGTGACATTGACTGTCCACCCAGGTCACCAGATTTGACCCCACCAGACTTCTTCTTGTGGGGTTATTTGAAAATTCAAGTGTACGCCAGCAAGCCCCAGACCACTGAAGAACTCAAGGCAAACATTCGTACCGCAATCGCCGCTATACCACCGTAGATGCTCGAAAAAGTAATGGAAAACGCGGCAAAACGGGCACATTTTGTTTTTGCCAATAAATGTGGCCACTTGATAGATGTTGTGTTCAGAAACTAGTCCCAATAAAATGTAAAGGACCATATTTAATAAAAATACCCTATATATAGAAATCAGTTTTTCGGTTTCAAAGTTATTTCATGTTTACATACCGACAAAAAGATGGCGCACCCTGTATATTGATAGTAAATTAAAGTTTGAGGATCACTATGAATTAATTATTTAAAAAATTGTAGTCTTAGTACATATTGCAAAAAATAGTGTATAATAAAATTATTCTACCACATTTGCTATATTGTTTAACTATCTTGTTCACTGCCAATGAAGCTTCACCTTCAAGGTCAAATCCAAGATCACTCGTCAAAATTTACTACAGACCTTAGCTTATCTATTCTTTTTTTCACTAATCCTGTGGGATTTATAAAGGTTTTCCTAGCAGCACACATTTGATCTTCATTTGACCTTTAATAGTCATCCTAACCTTGGACTAATTGTGTTTGAACGTAGAATTTTCTGTTCTTTCGATTGCCGGTATCAAAAATAGGGGATTCTATTTGAAAAAATAAAGTTGACCGTAAATTAACTTTGAAGATGAAGGACAAGGTCAAATTGAATGTCACCGTTGAATTCCTTGCTGAACCTTTTTTTTTCTGTTTTTTAACCATCCAGCATTTTCTTTTTTGGAGCATTAGTTCCTTTCATGTATCTCCATTTATCATTTTATAATAATTTCAGATTGGAGTCTATTGCTGATCAGTGGGAATTCCTTACTCAGAAAACAACCGAGAAGTCACTCAAACTCAAAGAAGCTAACAAGCAACGTTCGTACATCGCTGCAGTAAAAGACCTTGACTTCTGGTTAGGAGAAGTCGAAAGTCTTTTGACCAGCGAAGACGCCGGAAAGGACCTTGCTTCTGTTCAGAATTTGATGAAGAAGCATCAACTTGTCGATGCAGATATTCAACACCACGAAGACAGAATAAACGGTAATCTATTGTTATGGTATCTACTTAGCCCACTAAATGAACACTTTTGACCCAACACAAATTCTATATTGGATGAAAATTTGGACTTAGGTTATTGAAATATTGCTCTTTAACCTAACGAAAAGTTCCGGATCCTGCGGTAGACACGGACATTATTTTTGATTTTTTTGTTACGGTCCTTCAAATATATTAAGAGATTTACTCCGGACGTTTCTGAAAAGTCCTGTCTAACACGTGCGACATGTGCATTGTTTTACTGAAAAACCTGATCTTGCAATGTTTCCAAAAAGGCAAGCAGATGTGGTTGTAAAACTTCGTGGATATAGCGCTGGACAGTCATGCTACCTCGAATGATTACACTAATCGTGACCTGCTGCCGTAAGCAATGGCATCCAATACTATAACACCCACAATGCGATGAATATGCCGTTCGGTAAAATATTGGACGTTTCGTCTTTCACCACATCTTCTCCTTACTCTTGCACGGCCATCATGTGTACCCAAACAGAATCTGGACTCATCGCTGAACATGAGTTCCATTCCATATCCCATTCAAGTCAAATTATCGAGTCTGTGAAGCCTAGGCATGATAATGCAATGAAACAAATGGAACCAACACAGAAAAATCACTGAATATTAAATAAACATCTTCATATTGTTCGGATCCTGATAATGCAAAAAAGCCTTTACAAAAAAAGTACGGCTCGGAATGCCTACAAATTCAATAAATAATTCTGGGTGTTGCAATTTATATGACACTTAGTATAGATATAAGTTCGTCTGCCTCATTTGCAAGAATTTGTTTTATATTGTTTGTTTCTTTTATGCATGGTATGTATTTGATCTTGAAATATGCATACATATGAATGTGTAGTTATTTTTGCTTACGTCAATAAAACAGTAACAAACGCCTTACCTATATGAGTTATTCTTGTTTTTTTGATACATTTTTAATTATATTATCCGTTTAAATTTGGCATTATGATTTTCAATTTCTCAGAAAATTAGCTCATTTTTTTATGTATAAATTCGTTATTTCTCACTTTTTTCTCACTACTTTTTTCGAAAAACCTCACTTTTCTCACTTAATTTCATGCTTTGAGCCGCTAGCACCCCTGACAACGCCAAAATTACCCATTTACCTTTGCGATAGTTGTGAGTAATACGTAAAAAATGACGAAATAAAATTCTTCCTCTTAGAAAATTTTAAATACCTGGGAGTTTTTGTTGACTCTCGATTAATTTTTGATATTCATTATGAAAAAGTTATAAATAAGATTAGTAGTAAAGTAGGATATTTATCGAGAGTTTCTGGATGTCTGAGTTCATATAGCAGAAAAATTATCTATAATACCATCATTCTTCCAAATTTCTTGTACTGTTCGACTATTCTATATTTAGCAAATAATTCCATTTTTGAAAGACTGCAAATTTTACAAAATAAGTGCATGAGAATAATACTAAATAAAGATAAATATACTCCAATTAGGCAAATGCTTAGCAAATTAAAATGGCTCAATGTAAAAAATTTTATCAAATATCTTGTAATGATATTCATTTATAAAGTAAACAATAATATATTTCCATCAAGTCTAACTAATTTAACATCATCAAATGTCGACCATCATTTACATAATACCAGAAATAAAGATGACTTCCATTTAATGACCAAAAAGTATAACATATGCTACAAATCTGTATTCCATCAAGGGTTGATTGAATATAATAAATTATACTCGGAGATAAAAGACCAGAAAACTTTGACAAAATTTAAAGTAAAATTGAGAAATCACTTGTTAAATCTACAATTATAGGTTGCCCAGCATTTACATCATACACCATATGGCTTGAATTTACTAGTTCTAAGTTGTTTACAATTGTTCTGTTTATGTAGCCAAATGTGCTAAATAAATCTTTCTACTACTACTACTAGATATGAACAGTCAGGCAGACTCGTTGATTGAAAGCGGTCAGTTTGATACGGCATCTATCCAAGAAAAGCGTCAGTCTATCAACGAACGATACGAACGAATCAAGAACTTGGCTGCCCACAGGCAGGCCAGGCTCAACGAAGCAAATACTCTTCACCAGTTCTTCAGAGATATCGCCGATGAAGAATCATGGATTAAGTAAGTAAGAGTATACTAATAGTCTAGGAGCTACACTACCGTTCAAAAGTACTGATGGAAGTTATTAAAGAAAACATTACAGTATCTGTATAAAACATATATTTTCTTAATTCTTAACAACATACAACTATTTATAATTAACAGTTCATCTCACAGGATTCAAACCCGGGCATTGGGGAGGCCATTGCATGACTTTCAAAATATTTTGTTCTTCGTTTGCTTCCAAAAATTACTTACAGAGCTTGAATGTGGGTCATTATAATGCTGAAAGACAAACTCCGGACCAATAAGGCGAGTCCCAGAAGGCACATGATTTTGTAGTATGGCTTTGTAACTTTCCTTATTCAGTACCTATTCCCTGTACTCCCACAATATCCACCAAAAAAGCCCCAAATCATTATAGAGCCTCCACCGTGCTTGACTGAAGCGACGGTGCACGATTCTAAAGCCTTGTCGTTAGGTCGACGGCGGAAAATACTCTTCTCTTGGAACCAAAAACTTCAAATTTCGATTCATCGCTCCACAGGACCTTCTTCCAGTCAGCAACTGTCCAATTATGATGTTGTTTGGCCCAATTCAGTCTCTTTATTTTTGTTAGTGGTCCTGAGGAGTGGTTTCAATACTGCTATGCATCCCTTAAGTCGAGCTTCGAGTAACATTATCTTAACTGTAGTTACACTTACAGGTTTACTACGGCCCACATTCAAGTCCGCTGCTATTTCGGGAGCAGTCATGCGTCTATCGTGTTTACGTTTCGCTATTATACTCAAGTCTTCAGTGGAAGTTGTATCTCTGGGTCTCCCTGAACGACGGCTATTGGATGTCTTGCCTTCAGCGTTAAATTTCTTAATAATGTAGTCTACAGAATGTTGTAAATATCATGAATTCACGGATATTAGGTATAAGTGGCGACATCTCTAGTCTGACATATGAGACGGTCGACATCCGATAATGTACCTGTTTGGTACTGTTCTGTGCAGTCGCTTAAAATACAGTTCTGACGACAACACGCGTTTTTCTTTAGCTCCCGTTCCCGTCAACAGTTTGAGACCACACTTCACAAGTTGCACTTGCCTCATAACCAGCTTCCACTATAAATATTTCAACACAAAAGACAGTGGTACCTTCTGCAATTTAGAAATTTCTCGAATAATTTTGCAGGATTTATAAAGACCAATGAACTTTAATCACATCGGAATATTTTTTTACCCATTTTGTCCAAAAATATTTATATATATATATATATATATATATATATATATATACAGGGTGTCCCAGAAGTCGACGTCAAGCCGAAACCGGGTGATAGGCAAAGTCATAACAGCTATCAGAAAAATATTTAAAAAAATTTTATGTATGTGTTTTGAAAATTATAGGTCTTTGAAAAAAATATAGAAATTTCACACCCTACGGCAGTCTGTCAACTCCTGTTACTACAAATATTAACTTTTTTTGGATTTTATTTTTACAATGTAATGATGAATAATGCATCTTCAAACTGGTGTCTCTATCTTACTGCCAACTTTTCTCGTTCAGGAAAAATTGCCACTTCTTTCCCAACCAAGTATTCCAAAGTAAAACTTTGCTCAACTTTAACTGGCTGTACTGGAAAAAAATGTACTACGAGAGTTTGGCAAGTAACCTTAAAAGTTGCCGCATTTAATAAGGATTCCAAAATGGTATAACACTTAGAAGATTACTCGTTAACTTATGCACAATTTTTATTTGAAGAAAAACTGATGAAAATTTTTCAAAATTTCCTAATTAAACAGCGATTATGAAAACGCACAAGGACCCTTAAGGATAACTGTTTGCACAACAGTGGGCGTCAAAATGCTGCTGATGATGATTTACCTTAACAGCAAATGCTCAAACTGTTTTCCTTCAGCCGCAATACACGCTCAACATCTTCTTAAAAAAGATCGGGTTATTAGACGAGCGAATCCACGGTTATTAACAAACTCAGCTGCTTTCAATAGTCTTTGCCGCAGCTCAGCTACATTTTGAATGGGCTTGAAATACACTTTTTCTTTTACAGTTCCCCAGTAAAAAAAATCTAACGGATTCAAATCTGGTGACCGGACTGGCCACGGTATTGTACCAGACCGCCCTATCCATCTGCCTGGAAAGTTTTGATCGAGATACTCTCTCACTGAGGGTGCATAGTGCGCTGGGCAGCCATCATGCTGATACCACATGTCCTTGTAAATACTCAGTGGCACGTCCTCCAATAAATTTTCTAAATGATTTTGCAAAAAACCTAAATAAACCTCAGTAGTCAAAGTCTCTGGGAACTCAAACGGACCGATTATTTTACCATTTAAAATTCCTGTCCAATGGTTTATCTTGAAGCGATATTGAGATTAATCTTCTCTCATCAAATATGGGTTTGCGACGTGCCACTCGTGTAAGTTATGCAGGTTCATGTACCCATCTTTCTTAAATGTGGTCTCATCTGACCATAAAATTTTTTCAAAGAACCGTGGATCTTCCCTGTGTCTTTCTATCATTGTGCAACAAAAAGTAACTCGGGGCTCATAATCCCGGGGCAGAAGAGCTTGAACACGCTGTACGTCGTTTGGATGGAGCACGTTTTTTTGCAAGATTCTATGGGCTGTACTCTTGGGCACACCTGTTTTTAGTTCTATTGCACGCACTGAAGTACTCGGGTCTTCTTCGACAGCTCCTAGCACCACGTCTTCGTAAGGAAGGAAAGATCTTCCCTCACCGTGTGATTGGTTTGGCAGTTGGCCCTCTGAGAACAGTAAGCGGTGCACATTTGTGAACACTCGATGATCTGGATGACGAGCTGCATTCGGGTACCCCCCACAGTAAAGTCTCGCTGCAGCACTAGCGTTGCATCTGCATTCCCCATAAATGAGGTGCATGTTAGCATATTCTTGTACGGTGTACGCGGACATAGCGGCACTGCACAGTCACACTATCAAAGATAGTCTAAGGAAAGCAAATGTTGTTTTGAAGAGCAATTAAACAGTCCAAATCCAAATCACAAGCGATCAACAGTCCAGTTCACGAATCCAAAATTAGTAACAGTACGAAATCAACAAGCACGAACATGTAAAGATGCGCAGTAAACGAAGGAATACTGATCGGTATCAAAGTGTGCAATAGCAAGTAAGTGATGTGCTTCATCCATCCCACATACAGCGTGTTCAACCTCTCCTGCCCCTTGATTATGAGCCCCGAGTTGCTTATTGTCGCACAATGTTAGAAAGACACAGGAAAGATCCACAGTTCTTTGAAAAAATTTTATGGTCGGATGAAACCACATTTAAGAAAGATGGGTACATGAACCTGCATAACTTACACGAGTGGCACGTAGCAAACCCACATTTGATGAGAGAAGATTAATCTCAATATCGCTTCAAGATAAACCATTGGACAGGAATTTTAAATGGTAAAATAATCGGTCCGTTTGAGTTCCCAGAGACTTTGACTGCTGAGGTTTATTTAGGTTTTTAGCCAAATCATTTAGAAAATTTATTGGAGGACGTGCCACTGAGTATTTACAGGGACATGTGGTTTCAGCATGATGGCTGCCCAGCGCACTATGCACTCTCAGTGAGAGAGTATCTCGATCAAAACTTTACAGGCAGATGGATAGGGCGGTCTGGTACAATACCGTGGCCAGCCCGGTCACCAGATTTGAATCCGTTAGATTTTTTTTACTGGGGAACTGTAAAAGAAAAGGTGTATTTCAAGCCGATTCAAAATGTAGCTGAGCTACGGCAAAGACTATTGGAAGCAGCTGAGTTTGTTAATAACCGTGGATTCGCTCGTTTAATAACCCGATCTTTTTTAAGAAGATGTCGAGCGTGTATTGCGGCTGAAGGAAAACAGTTTGAGCATTTGCTGTAAAGGTAAATCATCATCAGCAGCATTTTGACGCCCACTGTTGTGCAAACAGTTATCCTTAAGGGTCCTTGTGCGTTTTCATAATCGCTGTTTAATTAGGAAATTTTGAAAAATTTTCATCAGTTTTTTTTCAAATAAAAATTGTGCATAAGTTAACGAGTAATCTTCTAAGTGTTATACCATTTTGGAATCCTTATTAAATGCGCCAACTTTTAAGGTTACTTGCCAAACTCTCGTAGTACATTTTTTTCCAGTACAGCCAGTTAAAGTTGAGCAAAGTTTTACTTTGGAATACTTGGTTGGGAAAGAAGTGGCAATTTTTCCTGAACGAGAAAAGTTGGCAGTAAGGTAGAGACACCAGTTTGAAGATGCATTATTCATTATTACATTGTAAAAATAAAATCCAAAAAAAGTTAATATTTGTAGTAACAGGAGTTGACAGACTGCCGTAGGGTGTGAAATTTCTATAACTTTTTCAAAGACCTATAATTTTCAAAACACATACAGAAAATTTTTTTAAATATTTTTCTGATAGCTGTTATGACTTTGCCTATCACCCGGTTTCGGCTTGACGTCGACTTCTGGGACACCCTGTATATATATACAGTGTGACGGGTAAATAGGTGTAAAACATTTTAGGAGGTGACAGTACAGCCCCTTTGCTATCGAAATTACCCTATATTCAAAGGTTGAAAAGTTATTGAAGATATAAGATTTTTTAAAAACAATCCATATTTCAGAGTAAAAAAGTTGGCGATTAAACATTTGTTTTTTGTGGTTTTGGGTTATTATTTCAATAATTAACTATTATAAATTAAAAAAGATTCGACAACAATACCAAACAACGTATTTATTTAAATTCAAAAATGTTTAACTAAGAAAAATAACGTTTTACAGTAAGTAAGGTGTTTTACAAAAAAACGTACAAACAATTTAAATAATATCCTTGTTTCATAAGGAATCTAAATTGGTATGATAAGTGCACAAAAACTGTGTGAAACTAAACATAATGTATTGTAATACAACAATAGGGAGTAAATTTACCAATGGCTTGTCTCCTATTTTCACAACTCTCTGATTGATAAGAAAGTGTTTTTGTGAAAATAATGTAACTGTAAGCTATGGGATAGTTAAAAAAAAACTGACTAAAAGTTTCTACAATTGGTAAGTAAAATACAATAATGAAATGAAGGTAAAATTCATTGCAATTGTTGTTCGAACTGACGCCCGCCATTTCTTATGCAAGCCCGTAGTCTTTTTCTCATGTTGGTACGCGTGATGCGGCCAGTTAGTTGTCCTCTGATAGTGTCAGCAACAGCAATAATTCTTTCTTTCAACTGTGCAAGAGTGTTTTTGGGCTCAGCGTACACCAGTGACTTCATGTGTCCCCATAAATAATAGTCACACGGTGTTAAATCTGGGCTCCTCGCTGGCCACGGTGTCGGTCCACCTCGGCCAATCCAGCGACAAGGATATTTCTCGTCCAGCCACTGTCTAACACCCAGACGGAAATGCGCGGGACAGCCATCGTGTTGGTAGATCATCTGCATCCTGATATTCAGAGGCAGGTCTTCGAGATATTCCCAGAGTTCGGATCTCAAAAAGTTTTCATAGGATTCGCCATTCAAGTTGTCAGGCAAAAAAAAACTGGTTCAATTAGTTATACGTATGAATGATTCCCATCCACACGTTTGCCGAAAATCTTCTGTGATGGGATCTTGGCTTTGCCATGTGGGGATTTGCCTCTCGTGGGGCCCAATAATGTAAGTTGTGATAATTTGTTGTCCCCTCTCTGTCAAACTTAGACTCATCGGTCCACAATATTTTAGTTAAATAGTCGTTTTCTTCTTGTTCCCGATGAAGCATGTATCGACAAAAATCAATTCTTCTTGCGGGATCTCCTTCTTCTAATACTTGAACAGGTGTGTAATGGAAAGGGTAAAGTCTCGCCGAATGCAAAACGAACCAAACTTTCCACTGAGTTAAACCAACCTGCTTTGCTATAACTCGTGTAGACGTCGTCGGGTCCCTGCCGTAGCATTCCAGTATTGCCTCTCGAACTTCGTCGTCAAACAACCGAGGTCTACCAGCATCATGACGTCTCTCATGAACCTGTCCACTTTCCTTGACGCGTTGGTACACAGAAGCAAATACTCGATGACTCGGTATTCGCCGATTCGGAAAACGGTTTTCGTATTCTCGCCTGGCTTCAACGGAATTTCCATCACTTGAACCATAACAAAACAATATCAGCGTATTCTTCGTTACGGTAACTCGCCATTATTAAAACTGATCGAAAAAGTAAAAGTACGTCCTACCGCGTTAAAGGTTCAATTCATAACACACGCAGAACTTGCTTCCGAGGAGCGACGACAGATTCCGAATACCGGCACAGGGCACAAAAAATAACAAAAAGGGTGGAACCATGAAATGCTCGGTTTACCTGGTCAGTACAATGAAATGCGCTTAGCGGCCGTTTCTAGCAAAGCAATATTGTTTTGTTAAATGGTTTACTTACTGATATGTTATTATACCATTTTAGAAACCTAATGAAACGAGGAAGTTTTTGCAGTTATTGGTACATTTTCTTTACTATGATTTTTTCGAAAAAAAAGACTTCTTAATGTGAAAGTTGAAAATAAAAATTTTTGTTTAACATTTAAATGAAAATAAATACGTTTTCAGTAGTGTTTCATATGTTTTTTAATTTATGAGAATTATTTATTTAAATAATAACCTGAAACCACCAAAAAAAGAATGTTTAATCACCAACTTTTTTTTATCTCAACTATTTTACTCTGTAATCTGGGTTGTTTTTTAAAAAAAATTAAATCTTCCATAACTTTTTAACCTTTGAATATAGAGTATGGTATTATATACTAATTTTGATAGCAAAGGAGCTGTACTATCACCTCCTAAAATGTTTTACACCTATTTACCTGTCACCCTGATATAAACGAATAAGCACTTGTTGAACAATCTTGAACTAAATCAAATATAGGTGGAAAATAATGGCTTGTTGATTTGACAATCCTGGTGTAATCCACCCTAATAATTCTTATGGACTTTTGCTCCCATAAAAAAACACCTTCATTATTTATGATTAACTATATTTTATCCATAATCCTTGTTGCTAGATATTGCACGTGATGGCTCTGCTGTCCGTAGCATTTCCGGCTACCTGTACCACTTGCAATACCTAACATGTTCTGACAGTTTACAATAACAATGTTCATACAGTGTATTCGTACCGTACCTACACTATAATGTTCCCAAAGTGCCAAATTAGTGATGGTCAATTTATGTTTACTTACCGACAATTTCATTTTAGGGAGAAAAAACTGCTTGTTGGCTCTGACGACTACGGTCGCGATCTAACCGGCGTCCAAAACCTGAAGAAAAAGCATAAGCGACTAGAAGCTGAGCTGGCATCGCATGAACCCGCCATTCAAGCCGTCCAGGAGGCAGGAGATAAGCTGATGGATGTCTCCAATCTGGGCGTGCCCGAGATTGAACAGCGTCTCAAAGCGCTCAACCAGACCTGGATGGAGCTGAAGCAGATGGCTGCTACCAGAGGGCAAAAGCTTGACGAGTCGCTCATCTATCAACAGTTCTTAGCAAAGGCAAGTAGTTCGGAGCATTTTCTGGTCAATTCATGTTACCAATTTACCAAGACCATACAATTTTTTGAATAAAATTCAATACACGTTCTAACAAAGCAGTAGATGTGTAGCTTGTGAGTCTTGAGTACGATTTAGCAAAACACCTATACTATACCGTTCTTTTAAAGATATACAGGGTGGCCGAACGAGAAGGTCGCACCTCCATTTGTGACTCTCCTGGTATATTGTGGAAAAAATGCTCGGACACGTCAATTTTGATTTCTAGCGGAACGTCTTTTCATCTATAGCCGTACAATTCAGGGTGATCCGAAAATGAGATACCGAGAGAGTCATAAATAGGAGTGCAACCTTTTCGTTGGTCCACCCTGTATGAATTCTGTAGTATTGAAGGAAGTCTACGCAAGCATACGATCAAAATTTTAATTTGACCCAAAAAATGCTACAGATCGAGGAAAATGTAGATGTTAAAAACATGAAGAACATAATAATACATAAAAAGTTGGGAACTGAAAAATAATTGCGATTTCACTTGTAACCTTGAAACTGTGATTGAATGTATATGTAGTTACACCCAATACACGAAATGGTACAATCAACGTTGCAACAGAGAGTTGGGGGAAAACATGCCATATTTTCTGATATGATATTTTAAAAACAGAACTGTTGTTGGGTTGATTTAGATTTCTTGTGAAAAATATTCATTTGCGTTATGAGAAAGTTCTATTATTTTATGCCATATCAATATTTTTAGATGGTCATAATTTACTCAAAATTTATTGTACTGACTTATGCTATCTTGTAATGGTTTTATCCAATAGGTCGAAGAGGAAGAAGCATGGATCAGCGAAAAACAGCAGTTGCTGGGCGTCGAAGATTATGGTGATACTATGGCAGCTGTTCAAGGTCTACTCAAGAAGCACGATGCGTTCGAAACCGACTTCCAGGCTCATAGAGACAGGTGCTTGGCCATTGAGAAAGAGGGAGCCCAACTTGTGACGCAAGGGAATCATCATGCGGATAGCATTAAGCAGAGATGTCAACAGTTGCAGGTCAGTGATTGAGCATAGTGATATATACCTATAATATAACTTTTTTGCATTCCTACTACAGCCACTAGGGATTCAGATTCAACATTTATTTGTCATCTTATGCAATTGATGGCTAAAATAACGGGTTATACCTTAGCTCATTTTTTGAAGAAAAGTTTATATGAACATATGCCCTAAACTTTCGAGCTACAGGGTGTTGAAATTTCAAGTAAAACAATGTTTTCTTAAAACTTTAATTCTGTACTAGATATTTTTATGAAATTTGGCATGCACCTACTAAGCACCAATAGGCATTTTTTGATGTAGAATATTTTTTGATATTTCTACTAGTGGCATTCGTACGGGTTGTATACTGGAGATTTTTCAAAAATAAAAATATGGTACGCCATTACTTTTCCGAAAATAAACATCATTTTTGAAATCCTCATATATTTTGCAACAAATCTGACCTCTTGACGTTTTTGTCTGATACACCGTTTTTCACGTGAAAAAATAAAAACCATTTTTATTCATTTGTGGTATAACGAAATTATTTTGAACTAGTATTCTGATGTACTTTTTTGTTTTTAAAATAATTATATTTGATCGATTACGTTGTGCTCTTATTTTGACAAGTATTCATAAACGTGATAGTTTTTTACATTGTGAAGGTTTCTTTAATAAATAGTAAACAGAAAATAAGCAAACTGTGCCAAGATTTATAAATTCCGAGTGGAGGCCTGCAACAGTACGAACAGTTCAAATTAAAGAAGCTGTTTTAAATGAAATTAAAGTAAATCTTCATACCAGTACTCGTAAAACACCACAATGTGGTAGATTTTAAGAGACTAGCATATCATATGCAACGTTGCTGAAAAATTTGCCCTTAAAACTAGCTTTTTCTGATTGGTTACGCAGTGAAATGATAAGGAATCCAGGTGTTTAGAATTTGTATTACCTGAAGTTGTACAAGAAGTTCTAGCCATGCAAAGATTCCGTGTGATACATGCACGACGGGACTCCACCACACTTTAGTGTAGTGGCGCGGCAATTTTTTGCATAAAAATTACCATAGTAACTGGATTGAGAGAGCAGACCTACACCTATGCCCCCCTCGCTCATACAATATGAATCCCTTAGATTATTTTCTCTGGGGACATGATAAAAATTGCACCAAACTCGTGACGTACATTTTTTCTCACAAATATGCGTTCAGATCCCGCTTGAGACGCCACTGAACTTGATAAATGTAATTAAGTTAGGGCTAAATTAGCTCCTTAATGTTATTAAATTCCACTATCAAATTACAAAAAAATAGGTAAAGGATATTTAAGATATTTACGAAAAACATTTTTTTTTATTTCAAAACCTTGTATCTTGAAAACGAATAATTTGCGGACCTATGTTATGCCATACTTAATCAACACCCTATATGTTAAGTAACATTAAAAAATCAAATACCTCAATTTTTGAAATAGTACACGATTGCAATACTTGCTCACCAGTTGGCGTGGGAAGTGAAACCATAACGATCGAACTGTTGCGTTTTTGTACGCTGACGTATACGTATAAGGTGAATCATATTCAACAAACCTCATAATCCAATATCTGGAAAATATTGCTATTTAGCACGCAACGTTTCTATATTATTTTGTTTTCGACGACTCTAAAAGAGATCCACATTGGTATTTTGTAAAAACCTAAAAAACGACGAAATGTCATCTTGCAGACTAGGTAGTTTTCAGTGTACAAATAGTTCATTCCACGTTTGGTCGCTATGATTGCTGTTCGCTGACGTTTAAGCAACACGTACAGCTCCTAAACGAGTTCACAAGTGTACAATAGCTTGTAGAAAAACCTCCGTTACGACAAAATATCACTTTTCAAGATACGTAATACCCGGGCCGATATCCTTCCATATGTTCGTACATACGGTTGTAGCTATGATTACAAAAAATAAGTCAATTTTTTCAATTCTCAGACAAAACTGGACCACCTGGCAGCTCTTGCATGTCGTCGTAAGGCGAAATTGGTTGACAATTCTGCATACCTTCAGTTTATGTGGAAAGCGGACGTTGTGGAGAGCTGGATTGCTGACAAAGAGACACATGTCAAAAGTGAGGAGTTCGGTAGGGACTTATCGTCCGTGCAGACCTTGTTGACCAAGCAAGAGACATTCGATGCAGGTATGTTTGTTACCAATATACGTAAACTAGGGTGTTCCAACCTATGAGGACATACAAATGTTTGTTGGAATTGAGATACGCATACCCTCTGATTTTTTTCCATTTGACTCTTAACAACTCAAAAAATAAATATTATTGCGAAGGAACGATATCCCGACTTTGAATTTGAAAGTTAATAGGGAAATCATGTATGGATTTCAAAATCGAATTCTTATTCGACAAATAAAAATGATAAATATACTAAGTGACATATAAATCCGAACACCCAGTTTAAATGATTTTATTTTAATAAAATTTTGTATAAGTACTTAATGAAGCATAATAAGTAAATGATAAAAATTTCAAAATGATTGCACTGCTTTAAAGCCCTTTGACCTTTAATAATGTGTGGATGCACCCTGATGTGCTACGCATTCTCCAACGCGCCTAGGCATGCTTCTGATCAGGTGGTCAATGTCCTCCTGTGGTATCTCATTCCAGGCAACCACCAACTCCTCTCGAAGTGCTTCTAGAGTCTGAGGAGGACGTTACAAATTGAGCAATCTCCTACCCATCATATCCCACACGTGCTCAATTGGGGATAAGTCGGGAGATCTTGGTGGCCATGGTAACAATGTGACATCATTATGTTGAAAGAAGTCTATTGTGACTCTTGCAACATGTGGTCGGGCATTATCTTGTTGGAAAGTTGGATCTGCCAGGGTGTCAAGATAGGGTAAAAGATGGGGTTCTAGAACTTCGTGGATATAACGCTGCGCATTCATGTTACCTCTGATGAAGATTAAAGGTGACCTGGAACCATAAGCTGTAGCACCCCAAACCATAACTCCAACAGTGTAATGAACATGTTTTTCAACAAAAAACTGTCGATTCCTCCTTTCACCACGTCGCCTTCTAACCCTGGCACGACCATCGTGCATGCCTAAACAAAATCGAGACTCGTCACTAAAGACAATACTGTTACATTCCTGATCCCAGAGTGACCGTTGTCTGCACCACTCAAGCCGATTACGTCGGTGTTCTCTAGTTAAAGGGATGACCCAGTGTGGCCGGTATGAAAACAAGCCAAAACTTCTCATTCGTCGGTAAACACTTCGCATGCCAATAGGTCTTCCGTGTTCTGCAAACCATTCATTTGCAATGGACCTGGTAGTGGAGAAACGGTCCCTTAAGGCCAATAATCTTAGGCGGCGATCTTCACGGTCTGTTGTTCTACGGCGGCGTCCAGTGCACCTTGCTCTTTGCGTACGGCCTTCTCGAAGCCATGCCTGACAACACCTAACCACAGTGTCTACACTTCTTTGCACTCTAACTGCAATTGCCCGAAAAGAAAGTCCAGCTTCCCGAAGTCCCACTATACGGCCCCTATCAAACTCACTAAGTTGACGAAATCGTACAGGTCTCCGTACTCTAGGCATCGTAACCGATCGTAAAGGATGTCAAGAACCAAAATCCGCCAACGTTGATTCTTTACTGCGGCTGAAATATTCGTTTTTAGAACGTTAGTGAATTAAAAAAAAGCAGTATAAAAACCGGAATGTACAACTGATAAGGCTGAAAATGTTTTCACTTGTTATTTACAGTAAGATAAATACATTCACCAATTTTTATTAAAATAAAACCATTTAAACTGGGTGTTCGGATTTATATGTCACTTAGTATAAATAATAATAATTTATTTCATTGTTGAATAGAACAGAAAATTCTATAACAAATGACACAAGGTCATAAAAATAGTGGTAACGAGTTGAAAAAGTATAAAAACATAGATCTAAACAAAAAACTCCTCCAATGTGTAGAAACATTTGTCTATCTAAAAAAGTTTTAGTTTTCTTTTGAAAACAGCTATATTTGATTCATTCCTAATATCATCATTGAGCTTATTAAAAATCTTACATCCCATATACCTGTTTTTTGGTATACCGTAGTTCCATGTCTCGGCGTGATTAAAAGCATCTTAGACCTGGTTGGATATTCATGCTGGTGTTTGATGACTTCAAATTCGCACTTATTTTTGAAAACAAAACAAACATAGCCAACTCATACATGTAAATACCTATAACAGTCAACATCTTTAGTGTTCTAAAGGATTCTCTACAGGATTGGCGCCAACCAAGGTTATCAATAATTATAATGGCATATTTTTGCAGCAGGAGAACTCTTACAGTTAGTGAACTATTTGCTCAATTGAGAATACCATAACGGATATGGCAGTTGACAGTGGCATAGTATAAAGTTGTTAAAATTCGTTTACTGCACTGCTTTCAAGCCATAACAACTCCTTCGCAGTCTATTGCACAAATACTCAACGTGGAACCCCCACGACATTCGACAATCAAGTAACATCCCCAGCATGTTAACTGAATTAGATGATGGAATAACTCTGTTAGTATGATCAAAAATGTTGAAATCTTGTTCATCTTTTAATGCGAATTTCACAATGCTGGTCTTCTCTGTGTTTACTCGGAGGAAGTTATTTTCAGACCTTTTAATGATTCTGTTGTATGCTCTCACAGTCATTTCCGGAAGCTCGGTGATGTTTGGACTGGTAACCAAGATATTGGTGTCATCTGCATATGCCACAACCTTATATTCTGGACCACCTTCAGATATAAAGTCGGACCAATCGTTAGCATATAACAGAAACAAAAATAGTCCTAAAATTGAACCCTGTGGCACACCGATGTTTGCTTCTCATGTTTCATGTTTGGTACCGTTGACCCAAACGCGTAGTTTTCTTTGTGTAATATACGAGCGAAACAGCTGCAATGGCAAGCCACGTATTCCATACCTGTGCAGTTTGAAAAGAAGTAGCTCATGGTCCACATAATCGAACGCACGAGAGAAATCTATGAATAAACCACATATATGTTTTTATGATCTAGTGCAGCCACAATATGTTCTACAAAACTATACAATGCACTTTCAGTGCTTCTTTTACTAATAAATCCATGCTGACTATCTGATATGAAATTATTTTTGCTACAAAAATCCACTAGTTGATTCTTCATCTTGAGTTCAAACACCTTAGATATACTTGATCATTCCGTTTATAGAAAGGTATAACCAAGGCTAGTTTCAAACAACTTGGAAAAGTTCCCTGTTCACAAGAAAGATTAATTAATTAGGTATGCTAAAGGCGAACAGATCTCCACGATACATTTTTTGAGCAAATTATTTGAAATTGAGTCAAAACCACTCGAGTTAGAGTTTTTCAACTGAGAAACCAGATAGCACACATCACCCTCTGTAACTGGTGATAAATACATCGACTTTAATCGTAGTACTGGAAGTTCTTATCGGCAGTATGGTTTTTCATATCTAATGTGAAATGCTCATTAAATTTGGTTGCTAAAATTTGATCTGGTACTTCTTCACCATCATAGTTATATTTATAGTTTTCTTAAGATTTTTTTTTGTATGTTATTAATAATCTGCCACATGCATTTACTACGATTGCTTGAGGAATCGATTTTAGAATCTATACATTGTTGCCTATATTTACTAAGTTGTTCTCTATAAGTTTTTGTAACTTGTTTACTAAGTTCTTTGTACCTGCCATCAGCCTTTGCCAAAGAATGACATAACGTAACTCTGTCTCTCAGTTCTACTAACTCGACTGGCGGAACCACTTTTTTCCGTCTTTCAAGGCGTATTCTTCTATAAGGAAATAAAACATTGAAATGATACAAGAGGATGTTAAAGAATGTATCACAAGCGCTTTCCGTAGAAAACTGTTGGTACATTTCCAACCAGCTTTCTTGACTCAATTTTAGTCTGAAGTTTTGTATATATATATATATACATATATATATATATATATATATATATATATATATATATGTCTCGAATATTTGAATACTTATTCGATTCGTTGCACTGCACTTTAGATACCCGGATATTGAGGATTATACAGTAATGGTCAGACAAACAGTGATCCACGCTGCTCTATTTGTATATTATATTTTTTAGATATTTATCATTAAAAGAATATTATTTACTAAATTTTCTTTTCAAAGTTTTCTTTTTACAGTCAGGATATACCTTCTTAGCGTGTTTAAAATAATCATAATGTGGCCGTGAAGATGGGCACTCGTAGAGAAATATGTCATCAATTCTGATTCGACGGAACAAGGACTTGTTTATGATTGAAACAAAGCCATCGATATTTTTCATTGAAATGAAAAAAAGAATAGCTACCATCTAAACATACTGGTTTTGTTCGTCCGACCACAGACAGTCAACGATGGTGATTTGTACTTTCTGGCAACTCATCAGCATCGTATAGGCTTGGCCTCAGGTCAGGACAACAAACGAAAGCATATCAACTAACCTCTACCTAGGTATAAGATCTATCGAAACGAGACAGTTAAGATGCCATTCTGTTGCCAGAATCGCAGTTGATGCTGGCTTATTTTAATAGTAAGCAGATTATATCGAAGCAGTAAAAGAAGACAAAGGAAAATTTATTCGTCAGACTTACCATAGTGGGCCAGAAAGTTCTTTCGATGGAATGTAGCGTTTACCATGGGCTGATGGACTTTCTTTGGCTAAATTAGCACACACTACTTTAGTTTCCTCATCTACGTCGTCGTCAAGCAGAGATAAGTTAGAGACCTCATCTGTCAAATACCATAAATGTTGCCCTAGTTCTAGGTACGTGAAACTTTATTGACATAGTTCAAGCAAAATTAGAGGGTATGCGTTTGAAAAAAAGAACTTTATCTTTTTCGGACACCCTAACGTATATGAATATTGGACATTTCTTTCAATTATGTATTGACGCATTTATTTTGAAAAGTGAAACGTAAACGTGTAAAGATTTATTATATCGCTAAATTTTAAAGATTGTTTAGCGATTTTGGCTGATATAAACAATTTTATATCCTCAGGTCTCACAGCCTTTGAACACGAGGGAATCCAGAATATAACATCCCTGAAGGATCAGCTGATACAGGCAAACCATAACCAGACACCAGCAATTCTTCAAAGACACGCTGATGTTATTGCAAGGTTAGAACTAATTTGAACAAGGAGAGCAATAGCGACATACAACTTCATAATAAGAATTTATATAACAAATCATGTACCTAATGTAATGTAAGCAACAGTTCGACCTGTATCGTTGTCCGATACACATTACCAGCTTTGTCTGTTGAAATGTTATACTTTTAATATGCAAACTCAAATAGACTTCCCAAGTTTTATTAGTCAAAAAACTATAAGGACGTATTTGTCAAACTCTATAAAACATAATATGTACTACAATTGAAACACTACAATTTTATTGGTAATATTGTTTTATATCATATGGAAAGTACATGGAGGGCAACTAAGAATGCGAGGTACTGTATCTGGGAACCTATCCATCGTAGAGGTGTACGGCAAAAAAGGTTCTTACTAAAACGGTTTCAAGTTTGTGAAATGGCCGCTAGGAGGCGTAATTGCAATCTTGATTCTACAATAATGTTCCTGTAAATTCCGCTATATAAAACCTTACAAAAAAATACCTGATCTTTAAAGTCGATAATAATGTAAACTTTTTGTTTGTCAATTTTTGTTGGTGGGGGTATTGAAAGGATTCCGTTAAAAACACTCTGTATCTTCGAAATGGCTAAGCCGATTTTAACAAACTTGGGCTAGTTAAAAGTGCTATCCTTAGGCTACAAATATTATGTTAATTGAAGTTGTGTTAATCGCATGTGACCGCTAGACGGCTTTTTTCGGCATTTCGATATAAATGGTTAATTTTCTCAAAAAAACTAAATGCATTGGTACAATTTCTATTTATGAAAAAGTAGCTAAATGATGTCTATATAAGATATCTTGTCCCTAACCTAATATTTAGGTCCCTTGAATTTTGTTTTTTTTTAACTATATTTTCTGGAATCCTCTTTTATTCATCAGAATAATACACCCTTTTTGAAAAAATTACAAAAAATCGCTAACAGGTAAGTAAATATGCTAATAGCAAAAGGCATATTTTTTAAATGCATATTCACTATGGGTATATACGAAAAAGACGATTAATAGAAGCAGGCAGTGGAATGCAACAAAACAGATACCAAATAAAACATAAATAATCCTCAAATTATCATTAGTTGTCAATAGTTTCGCGTTACTTTTTGCAATATGAGAGTTTTTCTTCGATTACTGGCAAGCTTACGAGCCAATGGTAGTTTTCGCCCTTCGTTTCAACTTCAAATAATTGGAAGACCACAAGAAGATATTAACCGCTAACTGAAATAAATTGAAGGAAACCCTCATGTTAGTACAAGAGCATTCTCCCTTGAGTTGGGATATCACGAACAACGGTTCAAAATATTTCGAAGGACCCTGGATAAGTTCTTATCGCCATCAAAATATAGGAATATATTTAAATTTACCTTAATTTAATTACTTTTAGAATGCACCCGTATCATGTTTTGCATCCGGCCTTGAAAGAGGAAGATTTTGATCGGAGGTTGGACTATTCTCATTGGATGTTAGGCAGTATACGCGAAAATTTTTATTTCAAATTCTTTGGGCCGGTGAAGCCACCTTTAATAGTAACGGGAGAGTCGATCTGCACAATATGCATTATTGGTCTGCAGAAAATCCGCATTGCTGCGTTCTCCACCAGGGGCGTTGGAGTTTAAATGTGTGGTGTAGCATAGCCAGTGTCTTTCTTGCCTTTTTGGACAATCAGTTACTAATGCTGTGCGAGAGCATATTAATACAGTATTTGAACAGCGGTGGATTTGAAGAGGAAGTGTGTTTCCATAGCCTTCACGACCACCACACTCAATTTGTCTTGATTTTTATTTATGAAGTCTGTTAAAGGACATCGTGTTGCAGACTCAACCTAGAACCAGAGAAGATATGAAGAACCCAATTCGCAATGTAATACGTAACATACCGGGGGCCGAAATTCAGGAATGCATAGAGCGTGATGGTCACCATTTCGAGCATTTACGGAGGCATGAAAAACCTTTCTCTTTTAAATCGGTCCTTTTTGGAGCCATAACTTAATAAAAATAAATTCCAGAATAAATTGTTTAAGAAAATAAAAATTTAAGGGATTTCCGTATAAAATTTTCTTTAGCCTAAATTTTAGGTTTAGGAACAAGATATCGAGATGCGCTTTTCGCGAGCTTGTTTAGACATCATTCAGCTACTTATTCATAAAAAAATTACCAGTATAATTTTAATGTTTGTAATGCTAAAGTTAGCTCGTATTATTGCAGATGGCAAAAATTATTGGCAGACTCCGATGCACGTAAGCAGCGCCTGCTACGCATGCAGGAACAGTTCAGGCAGATTGAAGAGCTATTCCTGATGTTCGCAAAACGCGCATCTGCCTTCAATTCATGGTTCGAAAATGCCGAGGAAGACCTGACCGACCCCGTGCGTTGCAATTCCATCGAAGAGATAAAGGCACTGAAAGATGCGCACGCCCAATTTCAGGCATCACTTAGCAATGCGCATGAGGATTTCAACGCTCTTGCTGCACTTGATGAAAAAATCAAGGTACGGTCCTTTTATATTTAAATCTTGTATAATATAGGAATGTACAGGGTCTAATTTAACTGATGGATAAAAATACAGGATATGATTCTTTAGCTCATTTCAGTAAGAAAAGTTTATATGAACATATGTCCTTTGAAGTTTTAAGGTAAAAAAAAAAATGGTTTTCTCAACAGAACTTTAATGCCGTTCTAGATATTTTCATGAAATTTGACATGCACCTACTGAGCTCCAATAATCATTTTTTTATGTAGAATATTTTTCTACCAGTAGCGTCCGTACTGTATACTGTATACCATATACTGGAGATTTTAAAAAATGTGGTACGCCATTGCTTTTTCCAAAAATAAAAATCATTTTTGAAATCCTAATTTATTCTGCCCTAAATTTGACCTCTTGACTTTTTTCCGTACGATGCATCATTTTCGCAGAAAAAAATAATTTCGGAAAAAGCAGTGGCTTACCATTTCTTTTTAAATCTCCTGTATACATCCCGTACGGACACCACTGGTAGGAATATTAAAAAATATTCTACATCAAAAAATACCTGTTGGTGCATGTCAAATTTCATGAAAATATCTGGAACAGTATTAAAGTTATGATAAGAATACGATTTTTTTTTTAATTTTAACACCACAGACGTTTAGGACATATGTTCATATAAACTTTTCTTCCAAAAATGAGCTAATATCCTGTACTTTTAGCCCTCAATTAAATGACACCCTGTCTAATCTATAAGGGTCCATGGGAGGGACCTACATAATATCCACGTTCTAAAAAGTGTTTTTATTGATAGATTTTATCATATAATCTTTAAAATTAGTGGTTTTAAGAATTTTAAGCAGCAAACCATCTTAGGTCTGTCCAGATTTCCTCAATTATTAATAAAACTGAATCCAGAAATTGCTGTACAAAATTGGTAGTGACAACGTTTCGATCATTTTAAGTCACACTATCTACTACTGGTGACTTGCAAAATCATCATCTTGCTTAGAATAAAAATGATAATATTTTCAAGACTGTAAACCTTACGATGTTTTCGATATAAGGGTGGCCGATATGTAACTGACTGGTTTGTATCTTGAATATTTGTGAAATGAAATAAAATACGTTCTATTTTTTCATCTTAATCTTTTATTGAAATTTATCAATTATGTATGAAAAATAATATATCACAAATGTCCGCCTCTAGAAGCCGCACAAACCTAATCCATCTTGATTACATTTTCCGTCAATTTTTGGTAGGTTTCGGGAGGAATATTCTCAATCGCTTCCTTAATATTGTTCTTCAGCTGCTCTACAGTATTTGGTTTGTTGACATAAACCATATTTTTCAAAAATCCCCATGAAAAAAGTCAGGAGCCATTAAATCCGGTGACCTTGGAGGCCAGTTGACATCGCCAAATCGAGAAATTAAACGTCCCGGAAATATTGTTCGCAAAAGATTCATTGTTTCCCTAGCTGTGTGACAAGTTGCTCCGTCCTGCTGGAACCACATGTTTTGCCGGTTAAATTGTTGGATTTGAAGGGCCAGAAAGTTTTGCACCATATCACGGTAGCGCTTGTCAGTGACAGTAAGAGAATTAACTGCAGCGTCTTCAAAGAAATAAGGTCCAATGACACCTTCATACCAAACACCGCACCAAACTGTGACTCGACGAGGATGTAGTGGTCGTTGATGGATGACACGAGGGCTCTCTAATGCCCAGATATGCTTATTAACAAATCCTTTCAAATGGCTCGTTATCAGTTGTCGGTAACAATTATTATTTTAGGTATTAAGCTGCAATATTGCATGACTGTGCTGTCGGTGACTTTCATGGTCACTAGGCTGTAGTTCTTGGGTTAACAGAATTTTGTATGGTTTTTTTTTAAAATAGCGCATAAAGACATGCGACGAATACCCAGTTCTTGAGAACGACGCCTGGTAGACCTCTCAGGGCGCTCCACTACACTTTTACGAACTCTCTCGATATTTTCCGGAGTACGAACAGTTCCAACACCGCCCGACCTTGACGAGTCTTTAACTTCACCTGTTTTTTCAAATTTGACACTGGGCACATTATTTCGACAGAAGTCTTGTCGTAGCTTCCGAATGGTTGCAACAATCGACTCATTATATAAGTAAAACGTTTTAACAATAAGGACGCGTTGTGGGATCGTGTAGCGCTCCATGATGATTTGGACACATGTGCTTTGAACAACTACTACCGCGCCACATACTGAAATGCGTGTATAAAAAATATACACCCCACCTGTATTACCAAAAATTAGCAATGAACTACATATCCTAAACATTTTTTTTCAAGATGTATTTAAACAAAACTTATACCGCTCTACTTTGAAAATTTACCGAAATCGGTGAAACTTTGAAAATTGTATGAAAAAAATTGTGTGGGAGTAACCTGGTCTCACCATAGCATGATAGCTAATTTTATAATCAGGTTTTTCTTAAAATTCCGCAGGAATGAAAATATCTCCCAAACTACTGATTTCGAATAACATATAAATAATTAAAAATATGCAGCTCTATACTTCGTAAATAAACTGTGTCTGATCCGTTTTAATGTATGTAGGGCTTCAAAGTTGGACCGAACCCTTACACTTGGTTTAATATGGAAGCTTTGGAAGAGACTTGGAGGAATCTGCAAAAGATTATCGAAGAACGGGATATCGAATTGAATAAGGAAACGCAAAGGCAAGAAGAAAATGATAAACTCAGAAAGGAATTTGCCAAGCATGCCAATGCATTTCATCAGTGGCTAACTGAAACCCGGTAAGTGACAATCAGAAAACATACCTCTTTTGAGTCGTGAGAGAATTTCAATATGCAATTCTTTTTGTTGTTGATTGAGGTTGTTTAAATGTTTCACTATTATAAAGCTTAAAAAATAATATTTGTACATCTTGGGAGTTTTGTAGCTCATTCTTTATCCGATTTTATTATTTATCCGCGGGATCAAAATTCTTGATCCGGATCAAAAAGGACAAATGAGAAGGCGTCGTTGTAAGATTGGATGAAATGAATATAGGCGATTTCTTCTAAAATATATGTCAGCGAAAAAATATACGATTTGTGTTAGGTCCTCTAATTCCCATATTAAATCAAAAAAAAATTACGGCAAATAACCATAGAAGTAGACGCCGTCAAAAAAAAAAAATCAAAAAAATTATATACAGGGTGTCCGCAAAGTTGGTGTTTTCCATTTCAGAAACAACTACCCTTGAAATAACAAAGGTAATGTGTAGTGAAACGAGGGCGACCAAGTAAAAAAAAATAAAGGAAAAAGTACTCACACTCCAGTTGACGAGAAGGGCTAAGTACGTCTCTGCTTGAAATCATACCGCTCCAACAGAAAATGAAATCAGCTGATGCGCTACCGAGCAGACGCAGGCAAACAAGGAAGGCAAAATGTTGCGTAAAAAGTCTAGGTATTGCATCCCGTCCAATCGATTTGGAAGAATATATGGTCCAATGAGCATACCGTTCACCATGCCAGCCCAAACATTCACCGAAAATGTTTGTTGAAAATGTGCCCGACGGACAGCGTGCGGATTTTCTACTGACCAAACATGAGTGTTGCGAAAGTTATTCACCCCATTACGCGTGAACGTAGATTCGTCTGTCACCAATATGCACTTCAAAAAGTCCGGTTATTGTCATGTTGATGCAACAACCACTCACAAAACCGCACTCTTGCTGGAACATCGTCAGGTTGAAGGGCTTGTACACGTTGGACGTGAAACGGATACAGCCCCTCTTCACGCAGCGTTTGCCACACTTTAGTTTTTGATACTTGCACTTCTCTAGTCACGTCTCTAGTGCTTGTTGTTTTTTGAAACGCAATCGATTATACGGGTTCGTTTACCTCTACACGCGTGACCGTAACCGTCGGTTGAAGGTTGCATACTGACCTGACACTGACCCCGACCCAGTTATGTCGTCGGGTTGAGCTAGTGTCCTAGTACCACTGGGGGATGTCGCGGCTACAGGACGGTATTCAGATATTTTTGATGTTGCAGAGCCCTTTATCTCGGTTCCCTTAAGACATTGGTGTATATGGTACTAAGAAAAATTGCTTATGTTTTCAAGATCTACACTTCGTGTAAAGGAAAACCCCAACTTTGCGGACACCCTGTATAAATCACCTGGTTCAGCTACAAAAACAAATTTTTTCAATTGATCCGGAGATCAAAACCTTTGATCCGGATCAACAATGAATAAAATTAGAAAGCATTTTAGTAAAATCGGATAAAAAATTGGCCAATTGGAAACAAGTATCATAAACCCATCTTGTAGATGAACCAAATTCAAAACAAACAACACCTGAGAAAATTGAAAATAAGGATATATTGGTTGTCAATTAGGTGTAGATTTCGACAAACTCCTTAATTATCTTCCGTTATCACATGCTGGTGTACCTAATTCGCATGTCATCCTTCGAGGTTAATAGAGGTGTTTCTGGGTTACAATTATTTTAAACACCTTTCTCTGGTCTTGACGAATATGATATGATGAGGATGAGTCCATTGCAGAACATAGTAGCTCTACTTACAGATTACTTGTAATAATCTGACACCCTACTGTATTAAAATCCACTATCTTAATTCCGGATGAAATTGTATTAATCTTACTACCTACTTACTTTATTAAAAGGAGCTACCTTAAATAATATTAAACACAAACCCAGAAACAACTCAGTAGCATATTCAAAATAAGTAACTCTTTTTGTAATCAAATTTTGTAAATGAGGCACCAAGTATTTCCCGCCAAGCCGCACCCAAGAGCGAGATGTCATTTTTTGTTCATCGTGAGATCAAACTATCAAACTTGATCTACATAAAACAACCACGGACTTCTTCCATCCTTGTAATAAATTAACATAGCAAGTGTCGGTGTGAATGCTGTGTTTAGGCATTGATATATTACTTATGGTTGAGTCATCCTAATTAACACTATTTGCGAACGCGTCCTCCCAGCCCCATCTCTAGAATTCGTTTTCCTTTACTGACGGTTGATATGAAGTGGTGCTCAGTTACTTTGCAACACGAAAATTTTACCTAAATTCAAATCTCGATATTTTCGGAACGGAAAGGGATATCGAGTTGCGGTATTCGGGAGGTTCTTGGCCAACTTTTTAAAAACACGTTTACAGGGTTTGATCGGTATATTTCTTTTATTTATCAACTTATACAGGGTGAGCAAAGGAAGTCGGGTTTTTTTAGGAAAGTTTTGAGGCTGTATCAGATTCTCAATTTTTGATCTTGGAAATTTTTCTCTGCATCTTTTTGATCTTTGGACTACCGAAAAAAAGCTATTTCTCAAATTTGTTAAAGTTTGTTATAACTCAAATTATCTAATTTTAAAAAAGTGTTACATTTATCCCTAAAAAGGGATAGAGATTTCTCATACTGTTGCATAAAGTGGAATTTGTTGCGCTCGAGAAAAGATTGAAGTACTCATTGAACGTTATTGCCTCCAGTAGCGTACAGTAAAAATTTGCTACCTTGGCAATATGTAATTTAAATTTTTACTTTAATTTATAAATTTTACTATGCAATTGAAGAGTTTAATGAAGAAATCCAAGGTACTACTCTTAATACAGGGGTGTATTTCAGTGGCGTAACACCAAAAGCATTTTTTGATTTGGTAAGAAGTAACTAATAACTTGATAATTTTTATTTTTCAAAATGCTATGATGCTAGTCAACACTGCTATTCATCTTTTATCTTGAATTTTTTATCTTTCTCGTTCAGCATTGATGTACGCGTCTTCATTAGAGATGTTTTCCAATAGGTAATAGACTGTATTAAATTTTTAAACAACATCAAATAATGTATTGATTAACATTAATAATATGTAATATTTTGGAAAACAAAAATTTGAATAGCAGTTAAATTCCTAAATTATTTATGACACTAAACGACCTTGTGCCAATAATCTCATACAATTCTCTTGTACTTTTTGAAAAAGACGATGCATTTTTGAGAAAATAAAATTATACTGTCAAGTCTACAGTCAATATTATTGTTACTTAGCTGTGTGGTGTAGGTAGTTCGGATGAAACCGGAGAGACGTCCTATTTGCATGGAGAGGGGAATTCAAAAAAATACGAGGCCGAGCCGAAAGACATTTAATGCAGGTAGTTAAAAATTCGATAATTTGAGTTATAGAAAACTTTCGAAAAATTGGAGATATCACTTTTTTGGGATAGTACAAAGATCAAAAAGATGCATAGAAAAATTTGCAAGATCAAAAGTTGAAAATCTGACAGAGCCCCAAACTTTGCTAAAAAATTACTTCCTTCACTCATCTTGTATAAGTGGATAAATGAAAGAAATAATCCGGTCGAACCCTATACGTGTTCTCAAAACCTTCCGAATACCGCAACTCGATATCCCTTTCCATTCCGAAAATATCGAGATTTGAATCTGGGTAAAATGTTCCGTGTTGTAAAGCAACTTTCCACCAGTTTATTACACAATATGATTTTCAGTACATCAATGATGGAAGGTACCGGATCGCTGGAACAGCAACTGGAGGCAACTAAGCGTAAGGCAGCTGAGGTGCGCGCTCGTCGCTCCGATTTGAAAAAAATCGAAGATCTGGGTGCTATCCTAGAGGAACACCTTATACTGGATAACAGATATACGGAGCACTCCACGGTTGGTTTGGCGCAGCAATGGGATCAGCTCGATCAACTTGGCATGCGTATGCAGCACAATCTTGAGCAGCAGATACAGGCCAGAAATCAATCAGGTTAGTAGCATTGACTGTAAAACGTGAAGAAATGGTGGCTCGAACTACAACTGACATCATTGTTCCACCGCCGTGGTCAGTAGCTAATTCTTACGTTCGTACCTAGTTCAGGTATATTTTCAACTAATATTGCTAAATTGTACAAAGGACGGATGTTTTTGAAATAGCTAGTACTCTCTGCCTGTTCAGGCGAGAGTGGTGGGGAGAGTGCCGTTTGACTTGGACGTTCCTAGCATTTTTAGCAGTAGACATTATGGAGCAGTGGACGGTTGAGCACCGCGTTTTTTCGTACAACAGTTTTGTCCGACATAATGAGTCTATCACGGCTGTACAGCGTGAGCTTCGTCGCCACTTCAAGATTCATCGGAATCGAGCTGTTCCTTTTCAAACACCATCCTTCGTTGGGTTCAGTCGCTTCGCACATGTGGTGTACTGATAAACAAAAGACCACCAGGAGCTTCTCGAACGGTTTGACTCCCTGAAAATGTGCAACGCGTTCAATAAGCTCTCCGGCTCGATCTGCTCGGCAACATGCTGCTGAACCTCGACTCAGTGGTCGTTCGGTAAGGTGTATTTTGCATATGGAACTCCACTTTCACCCCTACAAGTTGGCCATTGTGCATCAGCTGTAGCCTGGAGACTACGCACAACAAATGAACTTCGCACGTGAGATAGAAGCACTTAACGAGCAAAATGAGAGACATTATTGGGATTTTTTTTATACTCGAACTACCACGAAACCCTAAGGCCTCAACACCCATGGGGTACCGTGCGGCTATAGGGGGATACAGGGCAAAGGGGGGACGCCACACGGACTCTGGCGAGGGAACACGTATGCGTGCAACATGCACACATTCTGGACCCGTCTACGACATCCACCTGGGGTTCCTCCGCGTTCGACAGTCAGGGACCGTCTACCATCTACGGACAATCACAACATTCATAGCCAAGAGAAAAATTTCTCTTGGGACGGGATTCGAACCCGCGCAGCGCACGGTGACTGATTAGGAGACCGAAGCGTCTACCACTGCGGCCACCGCTGCTGCATGAACTAATGAAATCCACGTTAGTTACATGAAAAACCCCAAAAGTGACGGTTTGGTGCTCTGTATCGCAAACTTGCATCATCGGCCCTTACTTCATCGAATACGGTAATGACAATTCCGTTACCATAAACTCAGAGCGCTATGTCGAAATGATCAGCAACTTATGTTCACCTGAATTACGACGACGACGTATTCCATTCCGACGTGTGTGATTCCAACAATATGGGGCGACCGGCCACGCAGCCAGAGCAACGATGAACGTTATCCGCCCTCTCTTCCGGACCCTGTACAGAATTAAATACAGCAATCCTGCACAAATCACCATACAGTTCAAGATTAGCACAGACCTTAAATGCACTATTAGGAACAGCTGACTAAAAGTCCCCATCGATTTCTGGAGCGCAAAATTATTTATTTCTATAAAATTGTCTGCAAGCAGTGTTTGAAAAATACAGGGTGGATCATCATAAAAATCACTTATGTTTTTTAAATAAAACCCCGAAACGCGGAAGTGCCCTAGCACCAATTTAATGAAGCAGTGGTTGAGGAGGTTTCAAAAAACAGATTAAACATTGTCAACAAGACGTCAAGGTCGCCCATGGACTGTACATTCTATTTCACGAGTATCCATCACGCTTTAACGTCTACTGAGGTGAACAGCTGATCAGCAAGTGACATTTTTGTGTTAGTCTGCGACGTTGGCAATAGTGAATCGCGTTTAAATCTAGTAAAACTTATTTGTAGCATTTTGTTTTTTGCATGCAAATGAACTTTTCTAAATAAAAGAGCTGTTAGCAAGTACAAAATGAATCTGTAGAGTTCAAAAAACCAAAACAAAATACAGCTCTGGCTACGTGACGTCCGCGGATCCGTCAGAATTATGTGTCCTGTGCCCATATGGGGAATTTTGAAATATTACTAGATAACTAGCTGACATTGTTCCGTGATGGATACTCGTGAAATAGGGTGTACGAACGGATCACACAATAGAGGTTCGAGTCGATCCAGGGCTCCCGACTATGAGTATTGCTCGTACTAGTGGCTTAGCTGCTGAGTGCCGTGTCATGTTGACATCTCTCTGTCGGCTAAGAGTCAATTTAACTATGTTACACTTCTATAGAATGGAATCGGTTGATGACCCATTTTGTGAAAAGCAAATAGACATTTTCTGACATTTTATTACTGTGATAGATTTATTGTACGATATAGCACTTGTACTGCTTATTTCTTATGGCATGGATATGTAATCGCCAACAACCGTCAAAAGGCCTAAACATGCATCCTTGCACGCTTTTTTTAGCATAAATACAAACCTTTATTTTTTAGGTGTGAGTGAAGATGCCCTCAAAGAATTCTCTATGATGTTCAAACACTTTGACAAAGAGAAGACAGGAAAACTGAACCACCAAGAATTCAAGAGCTGTTTGCGTGCTCTAGGTTATGACCTTCCGATGGTTGATGAAGGTCAACCAGATCCAGAATTTGACGCTATTCTAGGTTAGTATCAATACATTTCCAGTCGTCACCTATTTCGTTATTTTTGAATAGCTCATAGGCCAGTGTTTCTAAATCTGAGTAGTTTAATTTATCTTTAAGTAGATTTTTTGTGCAATATTTCATCAGTTGTGTAACATCATATAACTAAAGTGGTGGACAAATTCAAATATGGATATTTTCGGAACGGAAAGAGATATTGAGTTGCGGTATCGGGGGGTACTTGACAACTTTTTGAGAACACGTACAGGGTTGACCAGTATATTTCTTTTATTTATCTACTTATACAGGGTGAGCAAACAAAGTCAGTTTTTTTAGCAAAGTTTGGGGCCTCAATTTTTGATCTTGGAAATTTTTCTATGCATCTATTTGATCTTTGGACTATTCTAAAAAAATGATATCTCATTTTTTTCGAAAGTTGGCTGTAACTCAAATTATTGAATTTGAAAAAAGAGTTACATTTATCCCTAAAGAATGGCCTTTTCTGGGGTTTCTCTTGAGAATGGGTATTTCTTCTCATACTAATGCATAAAGTAGAATTTATTGCGGCGCACGAGAAAAGATTGAAGCAGTCATTGAACGTTATTGCCTCCAGTGGCGTGCAGTAAAAATGTTCTACTTTGAGATGTAGTTTAAACAGAATTTATAAATTTTACTATGCAATTAAACAGCTTAAGAGGTGCTAAAAACTTAAAACACTTTATTTTTCAAAATGCTATGATGCTAGCCAATACTGCTATTCATCTTTTATCTGGAATTTTATATCTTTCTCGCTCCTGGAATTTTATATCTTTCTCGCTCAGCATTGGGGTACCTGTCTTCATTGGAGATGTTATCCAATAAGCTTTATTAAATTTTTAAATAACATCAAATAATTTATTTCCAGAACATTTAGAACACTACATAGAAATGAATAATCATTACCACAATTATTATACAAGAGGAAATATAGATTTTCATTCACAAAATTGCAATCATAATATAACATCAATTCAATATTTTAGAAAGGATTACTTGAATTTAATAAACTAAATAATGATATAAAGTCTACTTTGTAATTTAAAGATATTTAAAAGAAAATTAAAGGAATATTTCATGGACAATGAAAATTCTTAGAGATGCAAACTTGTTTTTTTTCTTCTAAATATGTGTATGTTATATGTTCAGTTTTTTAGAAGAATGTAATTGTAGCAAACATGCTAAATAAATCTTAAACAAACAAAAAATAAGGCTCCTAGGTTGTATTTAAGGGACATATAGCATATTTATTCAGTAGAATCTTTGCTTTAGGCAAAAGAAAAGGCGTTGCTTACGGAAAAACAAAAGAGATTTATTATTTTTAGCGATGAATCGAAATTTGATATGGGTAGTAATTTAAAGATATTTAAAAGAAAATTAAGGGAATATTTCATGGACAATGAAAATTCTTAGAGGTGCAAATTTTGTTTTTTTTTTCTGAATGTCTGTATGTTATGTAATTGTTTAGCTTTTTAGAAGAATGTAATTGTAGCAGTCATGCTAAATAAATCCTAAACAAACAAACATCAACATTATGTAAGATTTACAACAGTTATTTTAAACAATAATGTTAGTACCTTGTAGGGCCACCCAGCACATCGATCACAGCCTGGCTTCTTCGTGGCATTCTTTCCATGGTTATTTATTAATAGATTCACGGGATACGTTTTCTCACTTTACCTAAATGGCCTCAGACAGCGCTTCCATTGTTTAAGGAGCATTTTGTCTTGACTGCACTAAAAATTTTAGTCGAGACCACACATGCTATTATTATGTTTAGGTCTGAAGACTTTGATGGCAGAGGCAATAATGTAACATTATTTTCTGCCAAAAAGTTTATAACCGTACGAGCTCTGTGCGGCCTGGCGTTATCTTCGATGAAGACAAAATCCTCCCCAAAATCTTGTGCAAAAGGTACACCAATATTGTTTAAAATGTCCCTATAATCTGCAGCATTGACTGTCCTAATTGAAATAAAAGGTTCGATTTTACCAATGTGCATAATCCCAGTCCAAACAGTAATGCCACCTCCACCAAACGCCTCTTGTGGAGACATGTTTTGTTCATCATATCGTTCCCCAACTTACCTCCAAACAAAGACCCTACCATCTAGAGTGGTATAGGTTAAAGCGTGTTTCATCGGAAAACACGCAATTTTGCCACTGCTGATGCCTATTTAATAACCGCTCCTCTGCCCACTGATACCTGGCGACTCTATGATTGTTCAAGAGTCGGGTTCACATGATGTGATGCCTTGCTCTGGAAGAAATGCTAGGTACTTTAAAAAAGTACTTAAAAAATTTTTTATAACATTTACATACCTTAACAAATTAGAATTTAAACTTCTTTTTACAGCACTATTGGATGCTATTATTCCACTATGCCGCGTAAGTTTTCATTCAAGATTCTAGATGAAAGGATCCTTCTTCGCCTTACTTCCTGCATTTGTGTCTTTCGGCTCGACTTCGTATTTTTTTTTTTTTTGATAACCTCCTCCAAGCAAGTAGGATGTTTCCCCGGTATCCTGATATCTAGCCCCTTAAACCGTATATTGAGGACCGATCAACATTATGAATTAACGCTACATCATTCACTAAACGACCTCCCAATCTTATACAATTCTCTCGTACTTTTTGAAAAAGACGAGGCATTTTTGAGAAAATAAAATTATACTGTCAAGTCTACATTGCATTGCATAGGTATAGTTAGGATGAAACCGGAGAAACGTCCTATTTGCATGGAGAGGGTAATCAAAAATACAGAGGCCGAGCCGAAAGATTGGAGAAAGTTAAAAATTCGATAATTTGAGTTATAGCCAACTTTAGAAAAATTTGAGAGATACGTTTTTTTATGATAGTCCAAAGATCGAAAAGATGCAAAGAAAAATTAATAAGATCAAAAATTGAAAATCTGACAGCCACAAATATTGCTAAAAAAACATGACTTCCTTTGCTCACCCTGTATAAGTGGATAAATAAAAGAAATATACCGGTCGCACCCTGTACGTGTTCTCAAAGAATTTGTCAAGAACCTCCCGAATACCGCAACTCGATATCTCTTTCCTTTCCGAAAATATCGAGATTTCAATTTGGGTAAAATTTTCCATTTTGCAAAGCAACTGTCCACTAGTTAAGATGTAATCTGCAGATATAAAAAATGCAATTACAATGTATAGCTAATTATAATCAGAGTTATGTTCTGATCAAGGTCGGCACTCCGAAGTGAGGCAGATTATTTACTGATTGGACAGCCTCACCTCAGTTTAGACTGTTTCACTTCACTTGCAAAACGAACGCAACTAAATTCAGGTAATATTATTTGGTTGGTTTTTGGGTTGTTAGGCCTGTGTCTACACAGGACTCCAAACTGTGAACATCTTATGAAGATGCCAACCACTCGTGTTGGCGAAACGTTAAGTAAACATGTTTTACGACGGCCTAACAACCCAAAAACCAACCAAATAATATGCCGCGAAAGCCCTTCACACTTCATAAATTCAGGTAATTTAAACAATATATTTTTCCAGATGTGGTGGATCCAAACAGGGATGGATATGTTTCCTTACAGGAATATATGGCGTTTATGATTAGCAAAGAAACAGAAAATGTGCAGAGTTCTGAAGAAATAGAAAAGGCCTTCCGCGCGATTACAGCGGGTGATAGACCTTATGTGACTAAGGAGGAATTATATGCGGTAATTATTCTTATTATTATGTTTTTGCTGCCAATCTCGAGGTACTTCAAAACCGATGAATTGCTACTAAAAAATGTATGCGATGAACTGATTTCTGACACGAATACATCAAATGTTGAAAAGTTTCGATGTATGCATCAGTAACAGCTCAGAATGGAATATTGCGTTGCGGGCCTAGCGCTCAGACTTTTGGTATAATGATTTTGACTATACCGGGTGATTTTTCAATGTGGCTCATCCCTATAACTTCTGTATTATTGAAGATAGAAAAACGAAGTTTGAGGGTTGCGTATTAAGGATGAATTTACATTTTTAACATATTCACTTGCTTTGACGTACTTCCGGTTTGATCGGAAACGACTCCAACACCCTATATATTATTACTTATTTCGATCGAGAATGACATTCTCCACTCAACAACGCCTCACTTGTCAATATTTGACACATAAAGTCATTTTTAAGGGTACTATAAACAGACGTGCTGCTGGCGGCTACTATGCACCCATGGGCAACATGCAGCCTCCTGCGTCCGTTTGTTAAGTCATATTGCCAAACTTTTATAGTACCCTTTGTATGAGGTCCGAAGAATATATTTTAATGTCTTATAAAATAAAATAAAAATATTTTTTAGCTTAAAAAAATAAACAAACTTTAAGATAAAATTAGATAATGTCCGAACTATTTTGGGTTAGGGCTCTTACGAAACAAATGACTATGTGGTAAATTCAAGGCCTACCTAGGAAATTCTGTTTTTTTTCTGAAATAAGTAAAGTTTGGGAATGCTAATGTATGAACATATTTCCATTTTTGGAATCTGTGCAAAAATCCAATATTACCTCCATAAAAAAAATAAAGTTGATGCTGATGAGACGAAATCTCATATTGAAATTCTAATTATGCCATTTTATAGATGAGAAAAAATAAAGTCAGGAAGAAATTGAAACTATTTTAAGAAATTCAGGTTTTCTGTCACTCTACGGAAGTACTTTGGTTTTCAAAACTTTAAGCGGCATTTTGTTAGTTACCTGAAAATAAAACTTTGCCCACATTTAAGCGACTTCGTATCTGTTACTGTTTCCGAGATCCCAACGGTGATGGTCGAATTTGAAACACCCAGTATAATATGTACTGAATAGCAACCCGTGATAAAAAATACAAAATCATAAGGTTTTTCAAATATTTTTCAGTTCCTGCCCATTACAGAATTTTTATTAGGTCTAAAGGGTTCGTCTAGTAAATGCTATAGGCCTCACGGCACATTTTTCTGAATATATACTGAAATCATAACTATTACTCTTCTATTTTTCAGAACCTGACCAAAGAAATGGCGGACTATTGCGTTGCCAGGATGAAACCTTATATCGAACAAAAAACAGAACGACCCATTGCTGGTGCACTAGATTACATAGAATTCACGCACACCTTGTTCCAGAATTGATTAATCTTATAAAACATAGATATTCTATTATAGCAATAGTTTTTTAAAGCTTATACACTATCTATCGAATAAGTTCGTGCAACATGATTTACTAATGACACATTTATTCCTTTTTTGTAATCATATTTTTAGGTAAAGTATTGTATGTACTTTGAAGAAGATACACGGTTATTTGAGAGTTTGGAAATGGTCAAAGATCTCGGGTAGTAGTGAACTACCAAATTATAAATGGGGATGACTGATTCGGAAACAACGTTTTATCAAATATTAACCTTCTACTTTACTTCCAATTTACCTATATATGGCAGTATTGTCAAAAATATGGAAACGGTCGAATCTGACTGGTATATCATCCTACTGTTCTAAATTTGGGGCATATCAGTCCACTACTTCCCCAGGAATTCTACTGAATCGCTACCAGACTTTCAAACAGCCGAATATATAAATATATAATTATATGCCCCTACATATGATTGTTTTCTTATGTCTTAGAGACCTTGAAGTAGTGTCTAGAGATGTGCTATTTGGATCCCAAAAAGGTACCCCTCAGTTATTTTCTGGACAGGTCAAGCTAACAAGATGAAGTTCGGGGTGATGAAATTGATGCACGACTACTATACAGAGTGTTAATTATGTACCATAAATTTAACAGACGATTATTTGAGTAATCTTGAGACAAGAAGCTCATATAAACATAGGTCCGCAAATGCTTCGTTCTCATGATATAGGGTGTTGAAATTTTAAAAAATGCATCTGAACGAATATTTGTGAAAAAAAATGTACGTCACTAACTTTTGTACAATTTTTATTATGTTCTTTGATTTAAGCTGAGAGAAATACAACTTTTGCCTCTTCAATTTTTTTTCATTTCTTGCTTAGTTTTCGTGAAAAAAATCTATTTTTCGGCATATCCCTGGACCACACAAGGAATAGCTGTTAAAGGTTCTTTTGGAAATAGTTTTTTACAATTTTTTATTACTGATTATGTAACAACTTGTCGTCCACCTCAATGAGAAAATTCTAGTAGACTGCGATTTTCAGAAACCTATAGACCTCTACCAGGATTGCAGAAACGGCAACAGGCATCGATGCCATGTATTTGAATTTCGTTTTTATCTCATAGCATTAGCAGAGTAGTTTGCAAATCTCCTCCAGTTTCTGTGAACCTGAAAACAAGTCTGCAATCTACCAATTTTAAGAAGCCGTGATCGGCCGTGGGATATTCAGAAACGTACAGGTATAGATCTGTAGCAGGATTGAAGAAACGACCAGGAGTATAGTTGCCAAAGATCAAAGTTTCGAGTCAACATCATAGCATAAACAGAGATCCATTCAGATACCTATCGCGTTTCTGTGATCTTGATAGCAACTCGTCATCCACTATTCTACGAGTCTGGTCGACAATGTAATTGCCAGAAACCTATAGAACTGTATCAGGATAGCAGAAACGGCAAGAGATATCGTGCCATGGATGTGAATTTCGTGCTTATAGTAGCAGCAGAGTACCATTTGCGTACCTCATTCCGTTTCGAAGAATCTGATAAAAAGTCTTCAATCTACCAATTTTACGAAGAAAGCCTGATCGACAGTGTAAATCTAAGAAACTCATAGATCTGCATCAGGATCGCAGAAACCACGAGGAGCATAGATGCCAAAGATCCAAGTTTCACGCATCATAAATAGAGCACCGTACTAATCACATACATGTATCTCCTCGCGTTTGTGATCCTGATAGCAAATCGTCATCCTCCAATTTTACGAGAAAAATCTGGTCGGCAGTGCGATACTCAGACACATATAGATCAGCATTAGGATCGCAGCAACGGCAAGAAGTATCGATGCCATGGATTTTAATTCTCTCATAGCAGGAGCAGAGTACTTGTTTCATACCTCTTCGCGCTTCTGTGAACCTTGTAACAAGTCTCCAATCTACTAATTTTACGAAGAATCTGTGGTTGACATTGCGATATTCAGAAACATAGATCCATATCAGGATTGCAGAAACGTCTAGGAGCATATATGTCATAGATCAAAATTTTGTGCCAACATCATCACATAAGCAGATGACCATTCACATATGTTACCTCCTCGCGTTTCTGTGATCCTGATAGCAACTCGTCATCCAACCATTCTACGAGAAAAGTCCGTTCTAACTTCAGAAACCTATGAATCTGTATCAGGATCGCAGAAACGGCAAGAGCTATCCATGCCATGGATTTGAATTTCATGCTTATCTCATAGCAGGATCAGAGTACCATTTGCAAACCTCCTCGCCTTCATGTGAACCTGATAATCCACCAATTTTACGAAGAAGCTATGGTCAACAGTGCGATGTTCAGAAACCAATAGATCTGCGTCAGGGATGCAGAAACGACTAGGAGCATAGATGCCAAAGATTAGAATTTCGCACCAACATCATAGCATAAGCAGAGAACCGTTCATATCTCTCCTCGAGTTTCTGTGATACTGATTGCAACCATTTTCACGATAAGTCTGATCGACAATGAGATTTCAGAAACCTATAGATCTGTATCAGGATTGCAGAAACGACGAGGAGCATAGATGCTGTTGCGGTTGCGACAATGCCCCAATTTAAGGGCTTTAAGTGGTCAAAAAAAGATTAAAAAAAATTAGGTTGAACCTCAGGGCACTAAAATGGTGCTTACCTTGATTCCTTGGTGCGGACGTCGGCAGGATCCCCTAGTCTCTTCTGGAACTTAACAGCCTCTTGCCCAGTAATAAGCGATTATAGGATAGCGGTTTAACAAAACAGGGTTAGCAAAAGTATACGATTCTAACAGCGGTTCTAGCGATTCGATAGCTGGTTTTGTCCTGCTTGCGGTTGGAGTACGCTCTTCCTATTTCTTCCAAAAAACCATAGGCGCGACACAAGTTAGTGCCAAGAAAAACAGCGGCGGAGCAAAGAATGGAAATCAAAATAAAATTGGCACTACGGTCGCAACAGATGTACAGTAATAATCATATGCCTCCTCGAGTTTCTATGATCCTGATAGCAAGACACCGTCCACCAATTTTACGAGAAAAACCTGATCGATAGTGCAATTTTCAGAAACCCATAAATCTGTATCAGGATCGCAGAAACGGCATGAGGTATCGACGCCATGGATTTGAATTTCGTGCTCATCTCATAGCAGGAGCAGAGTACCATTTGCATACCTCCTCGAGTTTAGATGAACCTGATAACATGGCCGCAATCTATCAATTTTACGAAGAAATCCTGATCGGCAGTGCGACCTTGAGAAACTTATAGATCGGTATCAGGTTCGCAGAAACTACTAGGAGAACAGATCCGAAGAATCCAAGTTTCACGCGACTATCATAGATACAGCACAGTATAATTCACATACTTCCTCGCGGTTCTTTGATCCTGATAGCATACTCGTCGTCCACCAATTCTACGAGAAAAGACAGAGCGACAGTGCGATTTTCAGAAAACTATATATTTGTATCACGATCGCAGAAACGGCAAGATGTATCGATGCCTCGTTCAATCATTGTTACAACGAAGCTGTGGCGATATTAAGAAACTTATAGATCTGTATCAGGATTGTAGAAACGACGAGGAGCATAGATGTCAAGGATCCAATTTTACGAGAAAAGTCTGGTGGATAGACCGATTTCTAGAAACCTATAGACCTGCATCAGGATCCCAGAAACGGCAAGAGGTATCATTGTCATGGATTTGAATTTCGTTATTATCGCATAGCAGGGACAGAGAGCATTTGCAAATCTCCTCGCGTTTCTGTGAACCTGATAGCAAGTCTCCAATCTACCAATAGATCCGTATCAGGACTGCAGAAACGACCAGGAGCATAGAAGCCAAATAACAAAATTTCGCGCCAGCATCATAGCATAAGCAGAGTAAAATTCACATACCTCCTTGCGTTTCTGTGATCCTGATAGCAACTTGTCAACCAATTTTAAGAGAAAAGTCTGGCCGACAGTACAAATTTTCACAAACCTATAGATCTGCATGAGGATCGCAGAAACGACAAGAGGTATCGATGCTATGGATTTGAATTTCGTTCTTATCTCATAGCAGGAGCAGAGTGCTATTTTCATACCTCCTTGCGATACTGTGAACCTGGTAACAAGTTTCCAATCAACTAATTTTAGGAAGGATCTGTGGTCAACATTGCGATATTCATACACATATATCCGTATCAGGATTGCAGAAAAGATTAGAAGCATAGATGTCAAAGACAAAATTTCGCGCTAATATCATCCCATAAGTAGAGGACAATTCACATATCTCCTCGAGTTTCTGTGATCCTGACAGCAAGTCACCGTCCATCAATTTCACGAGAAGAGTCTGGTCGACAGTGCGATTTTCAGATACCTATCGATCTGTATCAGGATCGCAGAAACTGCAAGAATTATCGATGCCATGGATTTGAATTTTATCTCATATCAGGATCAGAGTACTATTTGCAAACCTCCTCACATTTCTGTGAATCTGCTAACAAGTCTCCAATTTACTAATTTTACGCAGAAGCTGTGGTCGACAGTGTGCTATTCAGAAACATATAGATCTGTGGCTGATCAAAATTTTGCGCCAACATCATAGCATAAGCAGAGGCATATTCACATATCTCCTCGCGTTTTTGTGATCCTGATAGCAACTCGTCGTCCAACAATTTTACGAGAAGTCTAGTCGACAGTGCGATATTCAGAAACATATAGATCTGTATCAGGATTGCATTTGCATACCTCCTATCGTTTTTGTGAACCTGGTAACAAGTCTCCAATCTACCAAGTGTGCCATAGTCGTGCTCCGAGACTAGTACAGTCGAGGACAAAATAATTACGTAAGGCTATCTCATTCAGGAAATTTTATTAATCAATTCATATGTGATATAAATTCCTTCTACTAATTTAATTTGCATAATTAAAAAAATGGCAGGATACTATTCAAGTTGGTCCGTTTACAGTGGTCCAATTTTTTTACAAAAGAAAGAATAACAACTTGTTTTGCCTCTAAAATTAATAGTCCAGGCGATAGAATTGTTTTTTTTTTTGCTTTTTTTCGAATATCCGTGATTTCATTCACAAAAATTCGATTTCTTTAAAAACTATAACACCGAATAAAATGAAATTTGAAGTATTGATGTAGCAGTGATGTCGATTATGGCATTAGTGTTTTGTATTTATCTTCTGTTATTATTGTAGATTTTATTATGGATGGATTACTTTTACCTAAAAGAAAAAGCTTTTCAAAAATAGCTGCTGAGAAAATTTCTGGAGCATATTAAAAACTATCCCAGAGTTTAGGAATAAACTGAGCAAAAATCAAAATGATTGAACTACAATAACAACTCCAAAAATTTAGATAAGTGTAGCTGAGCCAATAAACAGGAACAAACAGTCGCAACATTAATTTAAAATAAAACGAACTCCTGCTTTGAAAGAGAGAGTCTAAATTGTTTTTGGGGATTGAAAAAATTGATTTGTAAATAACTACTTTAATGTGTGTAGCCACATTATAGAGCGCATTTAAA